ACCCTAACCCTAACCCTAACCCTAACCCTAACCCTAACCCTAACCCTAACCCTAACCCTAACCCTAACCCTAACCCTAACCCTAACCCTAACCCTTACAGCGAGCGCGATCGTCCCACCATGCAAAGAGAACACAGTCCACTAGTGTTCGGATCTGCAGATCTCACAACCCATGGCTCTATCGTAGAGATAACAACATGACGTGGTCGATAGAAGCGCAGAACTTGTAGGTTGAGAAAGCCCGATGGTAACAGCAGAAACCTGCTTGTGGCCGGTCCGGTGGCGTGCAGATTTCGATAAAGGCATGCATTTTCGCGAGCAGCTCGTTGCCGCATTGCGGTATTGCACTATAGATACATTTGCGATCAGGTATGCGTGGCGGCCTAGTGCATCACCAGGGATCAGTGAAAGCAGACCGCGTAGCTATATGATGGCCTAGGCTGGTGATCGATCAGCAGAGTATCTTCAGCTCGAAACGCAGACGAACTGCCGGTCCTCGAATACCGGCGCCACAAATCATTTCAAAGGAGAGAAAGGTTACTGATCCTGACTACTGAACATGTTATTGTCGAACATGATAGGTCTCAATCCATTGTTCTCTTCGTCAATAACCTCCGGATGCTGGCCGACTTTCCTCCATATTCGAGACATAAAAAGACACTCAACCCCACCCTGTATGTTTGGGCTCGGATACGCAGCTGCAGCTATCATTGAAGCTGCACGTGCTTCTGTCCAGTTGGCTTGCATGTAGTAACGAACTTCAGTCTATTAAACCAAGGTATACCAGCATGCCAGGATGCCAGCACTTCGGCGCCCCACATGATAAGCGAGTGCCAGCGTGGCAAGCCCCACACAGCAAATGCTGCGCTCGGGCTGTCTGCTGATCTTTTGCCGATGAGACCAGCCTTCCGTTGAGTTTCACGTAGTAGGATGTACGAGAGCATTGGTGAGCTCCATGATGCTGTAATATCCTGAAGGAGAGACCTTCATGGAATGTAGGTGTGATCGTCATTCAAAATAGCCCAAGGCCCTCTGTCGCAGTGAACTGCCTGCAGATCAGCGCGCCCCGATTTCACGTCAGAATAGTCGGGGCGGCAGGCACTCCGATGGGAGGTCAAGCGGAGAATAGGGTGGACACATCATTACAGTCCGGCGTCAAACAGGTGGAGCCCGCTACATGGCGCAATCGAGACTAGTGGATCGGTACCTGAGAAGTACGGACAAATGTAACTCCCTAGGTGGGCATTTGACTCAAGCACCATGCGGAAACCGTCCTGTACTGAATAATGACCCTGCTGTAATTACGTGAATCCAGAGCTGATCGTGTCGGCAGAAATCGGCAACTTGGGGATCAGCATTGGCCAACAAAGCATGGATCCCAGAGCGTCTCTCCTGTGCCGTCGACCAGACGCTCTTTATACTCCATCGGCCTCTAAACGTGGCACTCGTTCAAGAAGCGGGTTGGTCGCCGGACACGCATCACTCATCTGCACACGACATTATGACAGCCGTTCTAAAACAGCACAAAAGTTTTATTCGATCAGCAAATCTAGTAAATTCACTCCTTGGACAAGGAACGTGATGCACTACTTCCTTCGATCATCGCCAAACACTTGGCCGAGGACCTTGATCCTGAACTCCCTGAACCAGCGATTGATGTCGCTCTTTCCGGTGGAAACGCTCGCAATGCGCGCGGCTGCACCGGTGCTCCTTCCCATGCAGTACCCTCAGGTAGAACTTCGCCCTTCATCAGTAGCGAAAGACAGCCCAGAAGCGCACCATCTGACACCGTCGAACCTGGCAGGCAGACCGAGTACGGTTTGAGGGTCGCACGTTTACCGATCGAAATGTGACCAATTTTCATGATGCGGTCCTCGAAAAGATGTGTCTAGAGATGCTGTCAGTATGTGGAGGCAAATGGAACAAAATAGATGACACACCTGAGCTCCGCATGATCCATTGATGATTGCCTCGTCACCGATGGACACGCAATCGTATTCGGTGATGTCGCTGTGAAGTAAGGTGACTTTTGATCCGATTTTGACACCCATCAAACGAAAGCACCACGCCAGATAAGGTGTGCCGACGAGCAGACTTGCGAGTAGAGGCTCAGTGATAATCTCCCATGTGCTTGTGACTGCTTCACTCAGCCACACGTTAAGCGACCACAAAGGCCATTCACTGTCACGAAATCGCCCGATGAGAGTCCATTTGAGCAGCGCCGTCAGAAATAGCGATGGAAGGGCGAAGATAAAGAAGTAGAAGGCTGGGAGGAGGAGTAACGTGTAGATCGCTCCGACTTTCGCGTATCCGTCGTACGCAATCTGGAGCGAGAAGCCAAGCCCAAATATCAGAAAAGCGCGAGGCACGACGATCCGCAGGCCCTCCACAATCAGACGAGCAGCGATGCGACCGATGGACGGGTTGAAGAGAACGTTGTCAGCGTGGCCTTCGGCGCGATGACGGGCGGGCATTAGCACGGGTGGCGATCCGAAGCACGAGACATTCTCTGCCAAAGGTCGTTCAGGTGGGGGCGCAATAGACAGAACGCCGACTAACGTGCCCGAAGCGAGAACAGTACCAGCAGGTAACACAGACGCATTCCCAGCGAATGCGCGATTTTCGAGCTTGGTCTTGCGAAGTGTGAGCTCGTTGCCTCGCAGCTGCTGGGCTCCCATAAGAACGGCGTCGGCAACAAAGCTTTCCTCTCCGATCTCAAGTAGCTCGAAACAGAGACCTCGCGCGGTCGAGACCTCTGCCCGACTACCGATCTTGACCCCCAACGCTCTCAGGAACGGAACAATGTAGAGGGAAGCGAATACCGGATGTAAGACCGTCAGTGCGAGATCCATGAGCCGTTCGACGAACCAAAATCTTAGATACCACGTGCTGTATATCTTTTGGGTGCCCTCTCGCAGGCGGCCAAGAAAGACATGTCGGAAGAGCAGCAATTGACCGAAAACGAGGATTTGGTATGCGAATGCGATCGGGACGGATAATACGGCAACTTGAGCCCATTCGCTGATGTCTCGAAGTTGCAGCAGATCAAACAGCATCAGACCTGGGATCTGCGGAACGAAGTATAAGAGTGGCAGCATGAGTCCCGCGATGATCAAGTGGGAAAAGGTCATAGCCAGATGACGGAGCACAGATGGCCGTGTTAGTCGGCCACGGCCTGCTTCCCTGTCGAGGACCACCCTTTCAAAGCGTGCTGGAGAGCCGTGAAATCGCTGGTATTGCGGCACGCAAAGACCACTTGGGACCATTGACAACGGCCCAATTTCGGCTGCGTCCCCGATGATAACGCCACCCTCAATGACGCTGTTCGCTCCGATGATTGTATCGTTGCAGATCTTCACTCGCTTCAGTACCAGACGGCCCCGCTCGACGATGCTGACAGCAAACTTGACGTCTGCGCCAATGACAACGTCATTCCCGATGTGAACGAGATCGCAAGCTGCTCCAATACTCAAAGACCCAATATGGCAGTAGTCACCAACCTCAGCGCCCATAGCTCGCAGAAACAGAGAGTATAGCGGTGAATCCGCGATGAGCTTCGAATCCGCCAAAGCCATGAGACGCTCGGCGAACCACCAACGGAAGTAGTATACCCCGTACAAAGGATACTCTCCTTCCTTTGCCCGGCCGAGGAAGATCCATTTACCAATAATTGCTGTCAGAGCGAGAAAGGGCGGTATGGCGACGAAAATTCCGTATGTTGCAAGCACTGCCCATCCGACGCCAGCGGCGGTGATCAAATAGTCGAAGAGTAGATAGGGCACCAAGAATTCAATAGAATGAGCGAAGAACAGAAATGATATGGCGGGAATTTGTGCAAGACCACAGAGGACGAATTTCAGACGGGAAACCGGTAAGTATTCACCGGTCTGCGCGCCAGTGCCGTCTTGTTGTGGAATTCCAGTCTCCAGTGAGGATCCCTCCTTGCAATACATCGTTGCCTCGAATCTTGCGGCTATTCCCGCAGGGGTTCGGCCTTCATAGACATCGGGAAGTCCGATGGATGCGAAAGGCTTCGACGCTCCGTAGAGCGCTTGTCGAAGACGCGATACTAGCATTGCGGCAAGCAGCGAGTGGCCACCAAGGTCATCAAAGAAATCGGAATCGGATCTGATCCGGGATACTTGAGGAAATAGCTGCGACAAAGCTGAAAAGAGCAGGCTCAATATTGGATCCTTTTCTACCAGGTTAGAGGTTTTGTCGTCGTAGCTTTCTCGGGTGTTAGCTGTTGCTTGGGCTGCTGTTTCTTTCATCTTCTGGTCTGATATATCATGAAGGGCCTTGGCGTTGATCTTGCCGCTGGGAAGTCGCGGCATTTCTTTGGCGTTCAAAAAGATGACTTCCTCCGGGCGCATGTAGGCTGGCAACCGCTGTGATGCCAGCTCCATGATTGACATCGCATTGTGCGGAGCATCGGGATGTATCACCACAAAAGCTGCCAAGCGAGCTGTTTCGGTATCAGCTTTGGCGAGAATGACTGCAGCAGCTTGCACGTCAGGATGTGACAAGAGCAATGTCTCAATTTCACCAAGCTCAATTCGGAAGCCGCGGTGCTTGACCTGAGTGTCAATTCGTCCTTTGAAGAGGATCTTCCCATCTACTTGGAGTTGTACCCGGTCGCCCGTGCGGTATAGCTTTTGGCCCGGGAAGAGTGGATGAACGAGGAACTTTTGCGCTGTCAAGTCGGCACGGCCAACATAACCGATGCCCACACAAGGGCCACCGATCGCAAGCTCTCCCTCGACATCTCCCGCGAGATCTAGCAATTGGACAAATGAGGGTGTATCTTCGTTGATCGCCAAGATGGCGGCATGATACGACGGCAATGGCCGGCCGATGGTGACCGGAACGTCTGGCTGCAGCTCATCCCATGTTGCAGTGACTCTACGCAATGTCAGCGAAACGTGACAGCGATCACATTGGCGTGGCTTCGTTTGTGTCTGCTAAGAAACAGCAGGGGACCGAAAGACTTACGTTGTCTCGGTAGGACCATAAGTATTGATGATGCGTAGTCCAGGTCTCGCAAGGCGATTGACCAGGGCCGGCGGGCAAGCTTCCCCGCCGAGGTTGATGAGGCGTACGGAGGGCGGCAACAGCGACGAACCTGCGTCTCCGTGCACGACACCCATAATCCCAATCAATGTCGGGACGGCGTTCACAATCGTGACACCACGATCAGCCCAGATCGCAGGTAGGCCAGGCACATCGCGGCATTGCTCACGGGTTCCGATGGCGAGTTGACCCCCACCGCATATTGTGATCCACATCTCCTCCACGAACATGTCGAAGGCCGGGCTGAATCCATTCCAGACCACGTCTTCCGAGCACGTCTCAAGGACTTCACGTTCGCTCAACACGAATGTTAGCGCTGCAGACTGAGGAATCGCAATGCCTTTCGGCATCCCAGTTGTTCCTGACGTGTATATCAGGTAGCATGCATCATGTGGTCGGGCAATGGGCAATGAGCCAGCTGAGTCCTTGCTTGCTGTTGACCTGGACAAAGAGTCGATATTTTCGACTCTCAGCAAAGGTTGCATGAGATTATCCGAAGTGATGCTCACACGATCTTGTATTTCTCGAGCTCGTGCTTCGTGGGCAGCATCACATATGATCACTGTGGTAGCCGAATCAACAACACAAGTCGTCGCGCGATCGACAGGGACGTCTGGGTCGAGTGGAAGCCATGTCGCTCCGGAGTAAGTCGTGGCAAGTATTGCAATCACCAGATTCAAACCTTTCTCGAGCCAGACAGCAATGGTCGGTGCTTGATCGTGGCGGAAAAAGGACTGGGTAAGCTGGGATCCGATGGATCTGGCGACGAGGTCCGCTTCGGAGTATGTCATCAACTGAAGACCTGTCTCGGTCTGACATGAGAAGGCAGTGCCATTTGGACGTAAGCTGGCCTGATGTTGGAACAATTGTGCAAGGGTTGTGACGCCACTCGGAGGTGTTGGCGCTCGATCGAGAGGAGCTGCACCATACAGCAATTTGGAAACATGCCGCTCTTTCACCGGCGAAACGCCATCATGTGAAGATTCCATGATCTCACTTCTCAAGGAAAGCGAATATCAGCCGGTCAACGATCATCAAGAGTGAATACATCAAGGCATATATATGCTCATTCGGACACACCCTCCCTGTGGCAATGTCGCATACGCAGCACCAAGCGCCAACAACGGATTGATCGCGAAGCACATTCCCGTTCCATCCGAATGACGAGTCCCACGAGCTCGCCATCTCATAGCTTAGGAAATCAAGCATCACAGGTCAGCTCCTCTGACCAACGATCGTTCAAACATGCGACCCGTCGTGAGATCGCGTCAGCAACGTTGAGATGCAGCTTGTGGCTGCGAGGCCACGCCTCGAGCACTAATCATTACGTCCAGGAATGTAAGATTAGCGTGTAATCGAGGACTTAGCGCCCTTTCACGGTTGCCTTTCTGAACTTGAAGACGCAGCCTCATTATGCGTAGACATCCGGCAATCCCCCAGGGGTTGGCTGATCCGGAGAAGGCTGACCGCCGTGCCGTCCGAGCTAGCGTTTCGAAAGGGCTTGAAGACGCCTTTGGATGTGAGCGAACGTGCGAAACAGAAAGGGGCAATTCGTGGTTCGACCGTTGGCCACAGACCTCGACAACGAGGTCAGCATTACAGAGCCGAGGGATAGAGTGAAGTTTTGGTTTTAACGACCACTAGAAGTCTACGTGTGTCCTGTGCAATGCAAGATGAAGTGCGGGCGGCACGAGCAATGTTGCTGCGCAAGTATTGGTCCGGCTCTGTGTACACGTGCCTGAATTTCTAAGGAACTCGACAGAGAGAAAATTAGTATTTACACCAATGCTTTTTCTCTTCAAACTGCACTGCGCGCTGCTTATTCTGATGGCAAGGGTAAAAGACGGAGCTGATATGCGTTCAGGCAGAGGCTAAGCGATCTCGCTTGGGCATGTGTAGAGGCGGAAGAATCTCATTGGCACACATTTCACCAATCGCGTAATTTGCAGGGGCGGATGAGGGCATTGAGCTGACGCCGACGGAAGGTGGACATGTGCGGTTCGCTCGGGCGAGCATGTGCGAATCCGGCGAGAAATGTTCGAGAAAACAAGCCTTCTTCGGCGTGAGGAACCAACATTGGCAAACGCTAATGGAAAAGCTTAGTACAACGCCCTGATCAGCCCGAATACTCCGATCGTTTGCTAGTAGCAAAAGATGAACGATGCTATACAGGTGGTGGCGGTCAGATCTGTCTGACGATTTGCATTTGAATCTTGACCAGGCCAAACATGGCATGATGCAAAACTCGCAGGCATGGCGCCTTTTACGGCTACCTCTACTTCGTAGGATTCTGATGACAATTCTGGCAGTTGTTCAACGAGAGTACGTGTACTATACCCGCATGCCATCGGCTACGGTCATTGCTACACAACAGAGTCGTCGTAAGCTCCTGCTACACAGGTGATCGGCGACCATTCCGTACGTAATGATTCTGCTGTCGCAGCGATTCGAGAAATGACATGTCTGGTGCGACAGAATAGCATTGGCATTGGCACCACGGTACGAGTCTAGTAGAGGTTGGGTCAACGCCGTGCATTCACCGTCGCTTGGGCTTGACTCTAATAAACATGAGGAGATGACGCGTCGTCAGCTTCTACCGGCCTTGCAAGACTAGTTCAACGCCGGGATCCAAACAGCCAGCCCTGTCGTGATCAGCAGTCTGTCAATTGGACTTTGGAACGCTCTGTAGTTCGCGACATTTGGAAACCTCCGCTTAAACACAGAGTTGACCGACACGGTGTTCGATCGATTGTACTACCATCTGATCAAGCTGACAGACAAGTATGCAATTGCAAGGGGAAAGGAATGAAGTATCGGGCGACGTCGCGCTTTTTTGCTGAGCGTCCACCTGTCTGGACGATGATCTTGTCTTTACACTCCTCCATCTGTGGATTCTCGGAAGGATGCGCATAAGCTCCTCGGCAGTCGTAAGCACAAACTCCATTCGTCGTTCCTTTTGCCTCGACATCAATAGTGAATAATTTGTAGACGGAGTGACGCGCGTGTCGGAGTGTCGATCATGACTGTCGATCATTGCAGAGGACCCAGTGCGGAGTTACCGGACCTGAAATTGCGGATACGCCTCCGCTCGGTGCCAGAAGTGACCGACATCCGGGGCCGCATGTTTCAATTCTCTTTGTTCACAAAGAATCGTCATGTATGTATATTAGTTTGACGCAGTCCATTACGTGTCGATGAATGCATGTTCGCTCAAATCAGAATCTTTAACGAGAGTGCTTACGACCACAAGCACTCGCGACATCATCTTGCACTCGATACCTCGACCTGGCTCGACAAGCATTAATGTCTTGAAAGGTGTAACACTAATTCTCCATGAAGCCCGAGACCTGCTGGAGTTGGAGCGTTGGCGCTTCTTGATCGCCTTCAACATGATGGCAGCGCGGCGTGCAAATCGCACGGCCGAGTCTTATTAAATTGTTACAATTCTTCTACTGGCTTGTTCAGCCCAGTGCCCAACAATTCGTATATCCAGTCGCCGGGAACGACATTGAGCGTGGTGCAAATGTCATGCTACGTAACGGATCGGGAGCCTCACCGGGCCTAGACTCCACCAAATTCTTCGACTCCAGAAATGTCAGGCCATCGCATGATGCGACGGGATCGCAACTCGAAGTTTTGGGCCATCACCCAAGACGAAGCCTTTGTAAACTCTTCGTGGAGAAATCATCTTATTTCGTAAACCTCTCAGGACTTTACCTCAGTGTAGGGATCGTGCAATATAGTAGTATTCTCCCCACCGCCAAAATTACTCTGCACACGGATATGTCCAATTCACAGTGCGGCGGGCAACTTTCGAAGAGTGTTCTCTGTGCTCCATGCTCCTTCATTCTCGACACAGCTTGGGAAGCCCGCATATCTGTACCTCCAGGTCACCGCTCATGGGACTCACCTGTTGATTCGTCTGTTTCCTTCCCGTGGCATCCGACTCTTGCAGATGCAAAAACCGCCGCTGCCGAAGGATGTCATTTCTGCTCTCTGATCTGTCGTTACAGCATCCAGCCGGAATCGCTTGATCTTGAGAGACCTGTGAAGGTCAGGTTTAAGCATTCCGATAACGATTATGGTAGATGGGATTTCGCCGTCATCACGCCCTGGAACGATTTCAACGCACTGCAGCTATGTGTTCGTGGAGCTAGATCCTCGTTATGGGAAGGCATAGGAGATGTGCCATCCTATGGCGCCTATGACGACGACAAGGCTGTCCCGGAAGAGCTTGCAGACATGCTCAGAAATTGGCTGAATACTTGCGCAGGTGAACACAATGGTTGCAAGGTCGCAGAACAGGTCAATTTACCATCCCGGCTACTAGAGATAAGCGACTCTGGCATAGGCGTCCCAAAGATACGCTTGGTAGCTGCATCGCCCGAGCATCGAGGACGTTACATCACTCTCAGTCACTGCTGGGGCCAGAACCCAGAGCTCAACGGTCTCACCAGGACGCTAGAGGAGAACGTCAAAGACTATTACAATGATGTTCCGTATGATGTGTTGACGCAAACGTTCAAGGACGCGGTACAAGTTACAAGAGCTTTGGGCGTCCAACATCTATGGATCGACTCGCTTTGTATCATCCAGAAGGATTCTAAAGATTGGGAACAAGAAAGTATCAAGATGGCAGACATTTACGCATACAGTCTGGTCACGATTGCCGCAGCAGGGTCTCAGTCCGATGGGCTTTTCCTGCATAGGAAAAAAGCGGAAATGACTCCAGTAATATGGCCAACCCCAGAACCAGGCAACCTGCTGGCTTTCCATCCTTTCCTCCTCCGAAACTTCTTCGACTACGAAAGCATCCCACAACCAATCTACGGGAGGGCTTGGTGTATGCAGGAGTTGACGCTCTCTCGTCGCGTGCTGCATTTCCTGCCAGGCCAGGTAGTATGGAATTGCACAACATCGACACGTCACGAATTTGATGAGCATACAGCTGGCACCGACAAATCCGCATGCCTTGTACAGGAATTCGCAATCGCAGATCTCATGGTAGATGGGAAACTCAAGCCTCTACCACCGACTGCAACATTCTTCGATACGAGCGAAAGCCTCCCGGACGCAGACCGAGGTCACAGACATCTCCGTAGCTCTGAAAAGTTGTTGAAAAGCGCCGAAGGACGCATCAGTGTCTGTTTCGGGCATCCGCAAGCATCTGGGGAATTTCTCGGTCGGCTCCGCCAAAGCTTCACGGTCTCGAAGGATGCGTACATGGCCAGGACACAAAAGGTCATTATCGGACGACCGAGGCCGCGCACACTACATGATGAGTGGTTATCGCTTGTTGAAAATTATTCCACCAAGGGTATCACCATGACAGGAGATCGCCTGCCGGCCATCTGGTCATTTGCCGCGCGCATGCGCGCCACGACCGATGATGAATATTGCTGTGGACTCTGGCGAAGCGACATCACAAGAGGCCTGACATTCATGCTGTACAACTCACCAAAGGCGGAGCGTTCAGATACGAAGCCTGTCAGCCCTTCATGGTCATGGGCCTTTCGAGAGGGCAAGCTTCGTTACTACGGCGATGGCAGGCTGCATCCAACAAAGACCGCCGATCCTCTGGCACGGCCTTCCTTGATAAATTTCGAAGACGAAGGTACGATGTCCATGGGCCGATCTACTCGCGCGGTATTGACACTCAAATGTCTCGCCGCTCCTGTCACGGGCGTCCCCGACGAAGAAAAGCCAGGACAACTCCTGCGTTGCGGAGCTCTAGAATTGTCACTTGATAACGTGGAATTCTTCCAGACGCTGGCAGGTGCAGAGATACTCTGTCTTCACATGATGGACTATTGTTGCTTGCTTGTCAGGCCCGCAAATGTGTGGAGGCGGGAATTTGAGAGAGTTGGGCTGGGTTACGTCCGTCATCAACGCGGGAAGGGCTTCAAGGAGGTCAAAGATGATTATCTTAATCTCCCCTGGAAGGAGACAAAAATTCGGCTAATCTAGTCACATCATTTTAGTGAAATCCTAGAATACTGAATATGCGTAGCTGCAATAGACTAAAGATGAAAACATTACTTCATTCTTCATTGATAGATAAGCAAAGTCGTCAGCGGCATACATCTTCAGATTAGTCATCAGCGGCATCATCTTCAGATTAGTCATCAGCGGCATCATATCCAGATTAGTCATCATCTAAGCATCAACAGATTCGTCATCAGAGTCGAAGGAGATGGAGTGCCTATTCCTATCGCGAAACGATTCAGGCAACCTGCCATGCCTGAAACCTCTCATCCACGGACGAAGAGTTTCTTGCGCCGCATGCCGCATGCCGCATTGCTACCGGGCCAGGTATTGCTCCATTCGACGTTGACGTGTAAGCTATTCATGCGCCTCAGTAATCGGACTCAGCTTGGACTGCTTGAGATCCTTCCAGGTTATGTTGTTCAGCGCCATGTCGGATAGCACTTCTGCGCTCGGGAGCCTTCGCAGCAGAGCTATCAGCCACGGTTCCCAAACTTCCTCGATGTACTTCAGAAGTGCGAATTGGATTTCGAGAACCTTAACAATGCCAAATAAAGTCTTCGTGTCTGCAAGAGCCTGGCCGTCGTTCAGCTCATAAAAAAGAGTTTTCAACCCGCCGCTTTCGTCCTGCTTTGATAGTTGGATATACCACTCTGACCCCATTACTAACAGCGAAGGCAATGCTGGCATTTTTGGCAGTTTCGAATTCTGCGCATCCTTTTGTGCTGGATATTGTTTTTGATCGAAGTATTGCATGAGCCGAACTAACTCGTGCAACCAACGAATTTGAGCGTCTACTGCAAGGGCGTTTTGAACCAAGCCTTCCGCCTGATCACCGCGAGCTCGCTTCGTCTCAACGAACATGACTCCGATTTCTCCATGATGATGGGTGTTGAATGAATTGTACGGGTTTCCGGATTCTTCAGGTAATATGAAAATCAAGGCCTGCTCATGACTTCTTGCTTCCACTGGAATCATGAACATGAAATCAACCGCCGAAATCGTTTGAGGGGTACCATAATGTTTAGGGCGCATCGCTTGCTTTCCCTGCATTTGAGTCGTGACATTGTGCATGTTGACCTCGCAGGTGGAACCTAATGCAGCTAGTTGTAGGAGAATACCATGAACCTGAGAGTTCCAGCCGGCTTCAAGAGCTCGTGTCTTATGGCAAAACTTGGTCTGATCGAGGACGAATTGTAGAATGCGGATGTCAGCCGCAGAGATCGTACCACGTAGATTTTCTGGTGGTGCCGTGGCCTTGACATCACTGAATTGGTACGCCTCAACTGGTTCCAATAACAAGATGGCGTCAAAAGTCTCTTTGGAGATCTTTATGTCATCGCCACGAACAACCCGTAAGATGGAATTGACAAGTGCTTGTTCATATGCATCCCAGGTCGGTTGAAATTCTGATCCTTGCCCGGGTTGAATAGGTCTGTCCAATCGTGGCAACGTGGTGAAGGTCTGGGTGGTCTGAGAGCTCGTAGTCGCAACAGACGAACTACTCTTTACGCTTCTGACGCTTTTCGAAGAAGTTCTGGAGCCCCTTCTGTTGTGCTGGGCGCTTCTGGCGGACTCGATCTGTTGGCGAAAACTCTCCAAGCTTCTAATACTTGGCATACTTTTACTTGCGGCCGTCAAACCCCCGATCCCGTGCTGCTCCAGGAGACTGTTCGTAGATGAGTTTCGAGATGCTCTGGTCTCTCGATCATGGACTGAACCGCTTCCTTTGGAGCCATGGTAGCTTTTGTCCTTAGGATCTGATCTTTGAGACTCGATTGAATCGTCCTCAGATTCGTACTTGGACTCGTCGTCCTGTTCCTGCGTTGATTTCGTGCCGCTGGTTTGTAGGGCGCCTGCCACCACCGACGCCTTGGCTTCGAGTACGACATGGCCCTCTTCAACATTTGTAGCTGGTGGACTCGCGGGAGCCTTTGGTCGGTGGGTCAGACTATGCAGGCGCTCCACAATGGAACCTTTAGGAGAGGTCCCCGAGGCCTTGCTTGGACCTTGAGATGCAGTAGCCTCAGGAGAGATCTTGCCCTTCTGGTGATGGCCAGACTTCTGGGCCCCGGCAGACGAAGTGGATCCGGCTCCAGCTTTGGCGCCTTTTTCTTTGCTCCTTGGCATGATGGGAACTTCGGTGCGGCGAGGAGGGAAAGGATGTCGTGAAGTTGAGCCTGCTTCGCTCTGGTGATCAAAGATCTCTGCGATCCAGTCTTGAATTCGACGAGCCATGGCGGCGTTTTATATGCGGCGAGAGAGATGTATCGAAGTACCTTCTGCGTGCCTCAAGCTCCCACAGAAGACGACCCCCGTCAGGTGCGGGCGGGCTGATGTGTGGATGATATGGTGGACTGGCCAGCCTCCTCGCTCCAGCCGCGGTCGCGTTGCGTATCGCGTAGCGAATAGCTAGTGGACTGCGCGACAAGAGAAGAATACCATGCAGCTCCTTGCTTATAGGAGTATCCTGCGAGGTGATGTGATGAGTGTTGCAGCGGACGGGCGTGCGGGAGCATGCAAAGCAGAAGCGCCAGCGCATCCAGGCTTGACTCGAGCAAAGTATTCGTTGGACAGTTCCAGGTCGCACAAGACGATTGAACTGGGATCTGTGGACAGTCGGGAAGCCTACGCATGCAGGTGACCTTGTTTAATATAATGCGTGATCGGGGCGGGATGGAGCAAGGTCCCTGTTGATGAGTAGAGAGAGCAAAGGTGGTGGAAGAACGATGGGAAACACAACACAAGGACGTTCCCATCTAGGCAGGTGCCGGGGCTTGATGCTTGCTGGTTGCTGGTTGCACACTCATGCCTCCGAGGTGTCACGAAGCGCGGCACATCTACAGGTATCGGTCGATTCGGACGTGGCACATCGATGACTCATCAGATGCTCGCTTGCGCTGATGACTAATTGATTGCCGCTACAATTTGTGTAGGATATAGGGCAAAGCTGCACAAGATGTCGTTTTAATTCAGCCATCGAAGTGTCCTATCTGATTCGACCAATACCGGTATTGTTCCACATCTAGGCGCATGTACAGCTGCAAACATGTTATACTTGTCTGAAGGTCCTGGAATTGGTGTTCAGGGGTCCGGTGATGGACGCGCCCGCGCCTAAATGGAAGTTTTCTCGTCAAAAATTCAGTATACTTCGGTATTTACGGGAATGGTTGGGAAAAACAGGTCGTTAGGTTGTACTGCATGAGTACGGACGCGGAGAGCCCTCCGATCGACGCTTTCAGGGACTCCCTCACATCCTTGCCCTACGAGAGCTTTCCCGCATCAGCTCGACAGAGGACATACATGACCGTGATAAACTCAATACTACAGCAAAGAGCTTCCCGTCAAGTATTTGGCTCGGTGTGGGGTTCTGCAGATGAAAGGGGAGGTGGGCCAGCACCTAAATAACGAATCTTAGACGAAATGAGAAGATGAACATTTGTGCTACACACGCGAGACAGTGCGGACACGGACTTGCACAGATGTTACTATAATGCACGGCTACATGATATAGCATTTCGACGGGGTCGTGCAAAATCTTGATCCAAGCGTATAATCTGCAAACGAACGCTCAAAGCTACGACACCCCTGCGCACGCTTGAGGTGGCGAACACCGTCGATGCCACAAACTATGTCCAGGGCTCCGGCAATTGCGATACGCCACAGCCTGGATCACGAGTCGGTCGAGCGTGATGGCTCAGTGATTAGCATGCAGATCTACGCGCCCGCGCCGGACAGATACCTCTAACGGCATCCATGTATCTGGCAGGCGGGTCGCTGAGTGTTGAGGCTGTTCTAGAAGCTGGGAGACGAGGAGCAGAGGGGCGAATCATGATGCTACATGCTTCCTCCAAGATTTTGACGTTGGCTGATCTCTCGATCGTGTGGCGAGCAATATGTTAGAACTGGTCGAGATGATCTAGACGTAAGTAGCTTTTGCAACGCGTAACCCTAGTGGACCCGACTTCAAGACCTCCAGCGCTGCTGCTTCCATCGAGATATTCTAATCCATCTGCAACCGGCGAGATCACGAAGCCAATGCCGTATGGTCTCAAACGTATCTCCGACTGGAATTTCTGTAATAGATTTAATCTCGTCCTCGCTTGAGACATGCTGTTGATGCGAGATAGAAAACCTAGAATCTGGGGTTGGCTCGAGGTAACGAGGTCAAAGAATAGACGCCACGGATCACAGAGTTAGGCGGCACAGCTTCCGAGGGATTAAGCAAAGCCATGGAGAAGATCAAGATGGGCACTCAACATAGAAAGGATTTCAACGCGGGAAATAATGTGTGAAATCTCGAAATACAACAAATCTACAAAGATCTAGTATATCCAGGGAATTGTCGCAACAAATTCTCGTCAAAGGCACGCAACTTCGGGCAGGACAACTGCGTAACAACACTTCCAACGACATCCTGCAGGCGGTCGAGGACAGTTTTGAGCACAAAGTCCGACTTGAATTGGGCAGAAGCCTGGAAAGCGAAGCATCCAAGATTGTTACCTTGAAGGAGAGTCTGAAGGTTGAACACTCCACCGGTCAAGTCATTGATATTCACGCCCGCGAAGTTGTTGCCCTTTCCGCCCAAATTTCCACCAATGGAGAGGAATTTGGGATGAAGCGAGGCGGCTGCAGCAACGTCGCCGAGGAAGTACGGGATGGTGTAGGGTGCCGTCAGCGAGCGCCTGTACCAATTGTCCGGAATGCGCTCATAGCCGAAGGGTGCGGTGTATTGACCGTTCGTACCATCGATGCCGAACCATGCTTGTAGGGTTTCGTAGCTCAAAGCGCCGAGAGGCTCTTCAGCTGAATGGTTGGCCATGAATCGGTAGATGAAGGTGAACGCAGCAGGTTGCACCAGCAGTCCTGTGAAGGGGCCGTTGAAGAAGTAGGGGTTATTAGCGAGCTGTCGATCATAGCGCTGAGAACGATACAAAGTCAGGCTGTCCAAGGTCACGAATCCGCCTGGCGATGCATTGATGAGATCTTGGAATTGATTTGCCTGAGTGATGTAATTGTTTCCTGTCTCGTATAGGTCTGGTCGCGTCGGCGAGATATCGTTCTCGTATTTGTTGTGGGAGCCGCTGAGTCCATGTCCATTCTGTGCAGCAGCGGGCCCGACACCCGGCGGCGGCGTGCCGCCCATCGACCATGACGTGAGATCCCCGCTGTCAATCACAGCCCCGAGCACTGAAAGAAAGAGCGCAAGGTCTGGGCCCATGCCAACCACCTGAGTGGTGACATCAATGTATTGTTGAACGGTAGCGTACCCGTTACGGGGGAGGAAGCCGCTGGAGGATGTCAGTGACGCGGTGATCAATCGGTGTGGAAATGCTCACTGATTTGCGAAAGCGTTAAGACCTGGACAGGGTCCGCGAAGATCCTGGGGCTCAGGAGCCTGCCATTCGTGACCGCTTCCTGGCGATACATCGATGAACTGCTTTTGTGCGTCGAATGTCGGGATGGTCTCGAAGACGGCTTGAGCAGAGGCCGCGCCGGCTTGCCTCTTGCCTGCCATCAGAGCGCTGGCGTGAGCAGCCGTCTCGGGATCATTCTGGAACTTTTCAAGGAGTTCTAGAGGGAACGCAGTGATAGCGAGCACAAAGACGCCAAGAATCAGAGACAACGGGACGATTTTCATGATTGCAGAGCTTTGCGGGAGTGCGAGCAAGTGTCAGAAAATTTTGCGCATCGACCATGAGCAGACATCGTTCAATTTATGTCTGCCCCATGTCATCATTCCTGAGCCCTGGGCGGCCACAAATGCAGCGTTGAAGAGCCGCTTGTATCCTGAACAAGGGCGTCGTGATAAACGTAATTCTGCTTACGACCAGAGGGACAGAGGTTCAGGAGCTAGGCGGCCAAGATTGGCGAGGGACATTCCGTCATCATCCTTTGAGTCCTGTGACGTGCTGTCGTCGTTTGCAAATCGAAGGATACGAGCTTACAGTGTTCCTTTCATCCGACCAATCATGCGAATGATATTTCCCATTTGCTCCAAGATCTTAGAAGGATTCATGCAAGGCCAAGCGTGGCGCTGTCATGTAAGCGCTATTAGTGTGGGCCCTAAACCAAGACTCTGGAGCCTCCTCTTCACAAGGCCGCCTCGACACCAAATCGGAGCTGATCGATGATTGGGACGCGTTTCCTGGCACTTAGTCCGAGAGATCGTGAGGCTGATGGAATCGCGTTGTGTCGAGGCTGTCGTCCCATAAGCCGTGAAGGATAATTTCTGTTCATGCGCATATCCAGCTGACATGGTCTCACGCAGCGGGACATCGGCGCGGCACACGAACAGAGGCAACTACGAGCCTGCATTGCTTCCGGATGGAGTATATTCTACCGAACCTTGGAATGGTGGTGTTCGCGGCAGCGTAGACGTGCTACCACCAATCTTCTGGCGCATTATAGACACGTTCTCTTGAGGGCGGCTTAAAATATTATCTGATGTCGTTTGATCATTATTTTGTTCTCGGATGCACGCTTGACAACTCTACGCCGATGATTAAATAGATCAGTATGGATTTTAGTCTTGCTATTGATATCGAGGTGATGATTTGAAAGAGCTTGCATGTCTATGTGCCCATATTTTCAAGTGGCGTCCGAGAACATCGGACTCTCCGTCCTAACTTGTCCGCAATGCTCGTGATTGCCTACTAGGTACACTGACTCGATGAGATATTGTGTAGTATGGTATCTGCGAGGCGTAGTCTGGGGGTCGAAGATGTTTGCCACTGCACCAGCGCTGTTCGATCTTCGTGCCTCCGGACACCCTGGGACCCAGCACATTTGTTTTGTACTGTCGGCGTGCGAGGACATGTGCCAAGCGAGATAGCGCGACAAAAGCGTCGACACATTCGGAGCCGATGCTGCGAAAGCTTGCGAAAGCTTGCGCGTATTCGCTGCGCGATTCTGATCCATGTGTGATCAACCCGCAGCTACGGAACTTTTGCTCCATGAGTCGCGCAGTGCAAAAGCGCGAGGGTTTACCAATCCAATTGCTAGACGCCCTATGAGTCACCGCGAAAATCGTCGTCTGTCTTGTTGAGATCGGTCGCTTGCAGAGTTGCGGGCCGTGCTCATGAAGCTTTGTTGTCATGAATGACACACGTTTCGCATCGTGATATCACTCTGACTTGCACACAATTGTTCAAGCCAAGCCTGTATCGATTTTCCATGAACCTGTATGGCCTGTCAGCGCTCGCGCAATATACCTAAACGCCGAAGAAGTGCGGCTTACCACTGAATTCATGGCGCACAAATGCCATGGCATCTCCCGTGGAGCCCGATCCCATGTGGCCAACGCCAGGTGAAAAGCTAGTGATGGGTAAGACGACCACGTCGCCGACTCTCTTTCTCTCTGTGAGATTGGCTAAATATTCCCAAGTGACGTTGCTTGGCACTTGACTTGCCGGGTCGAGGAAGTGAAGATCATTGAAATGGTCGAAGACCTTGTCGGTCCAAATCCCGGGACCCGTGAATTCCATAACGGACTTCATGTGCTCCTCGTCCAGCTCGCCGACTGCCTGCCGATGCAGCGTCTCCTCTGTGATGGATGAGACGATATCTGCGAGCACAGGATGCCCCGGGTTGCTGGCAATAGTCCACTGGCAAAGCTGGAGTCGGCGAGCGTACCATTCGTCCCAATCCGGTCTATCCGGGTCCGCTTCGATGCCAACAATCAGACCATACGGCTTCATGTCTGAAGTGACCCAGGCCGCGATGGGTTTCAGGTTGATTGTGTCAATGTCACTGTAGACGCCGCCGCGTGCGAACAAGATCAAATAGCGGAAGAAGTCGGCTTTCAGAACTGCTTTCGGCAAGGCTTCGTAGGCTTGTGAGACCTCAGGCACAGCGGTGAATAATTCCGCGACAAGTTGCGAAGCAGCCGAATCTGTGACGACTTGATGACGGTGGCCGGGGTTGAGTCTTGTCCATGATTCAAAAGCGCTGCGGTAATCGGGGTCGAATTCTTTGTCCTCGGGCGATCGTTTCCAGGTCTGCCATATGAGGTCGGGCAAGCGTTGCCGAGGATCGTATGGAAAGGCGTTTTCAAGCCTTTGTCGGAGCGTTAGCCGCCGCTGGCCAGCATAGCGAGGAAGTCCATAAACTTGAAAGGCCGGGAGGAAATAAATCAGTAGCAGCACTCCGAAGACCGCCAACGCGGCGACTTCGAGAGAACGTCTTCTAGCAAAAGACATGCTTGACGTGAGAATCGCTTCAGATATGCATCGCGCTATGCCAATCCGGTTAATCGTCTTGCACGCGATAATGCGAGAAGATGAATTCCCTTTTGAAGGGAAAGTTGTCACTGAGAAGTATCCGACGGATGCCTTGCATGTTGACTGCGCAAGCGAGATGCATCACATCACAAGATAGAGAAGAATAATCCAGGAAGGACACGGCGCAGCACAGATCTCCAGCAGCCCATACAATCACATCGTTGTGATGGAAATAGGGATAAATTAGGCGCCTGTGCATGTGAGATGGAGGCTCGCAATGATAAGTGGGGCCCAGGCGTGCCAGTCCGTGCATTTCCCGTCAAAGCTTTCAAATTTGGCGCAAAGCTCGGCAATGAATGGAACGCTTTGGCCGTTAGCTCGGATCGTCGCACATGCGAAACGCTCGCGCTACTGCTGGTCATCCACCCGAGGCTGAGTGGTTGTGAAAGTTGAAACCTATCGGATTCGTGCTCTCCCATCGAGGCATTGCACGTGTCAATCACCACCGTGCCGCACGGCATCAATCATCGTTCACATTCGCACCGTAACTGAACGATCGATCTCTTCGCAATGATCTCGAATGCTGTCTTCGGACGACGAAGAACAGGGATGCGCTCACCGTTTTGCTGGTTCAGTTAGTGCTGACAGGATTGAAATGCTTGATGACACGCTAAGGCCGCCTCGAACGATTTGTAGCACCCGAACACAAGGCGGAGCTGACCGGTGTCGAGGGTTCCAAGTCCAACAGTATCAGATGTAAATCCTGAGGGCCAAAAATATCAGCGAAGGCGACAAAGGCGCTGCGTCTCATTTGAACAATCTGCGACAGATCCCCCGAGTTGGAAATGATAGCCACTACAGTACAAGCGTTTCAGGCTGATCAAGCATCATCGAGAGATCCTGTTCCATACTGTCAGCCGGCATCAACTCCGTCACCTACACATGTCGCAGCTTAACACATGGCAATGGCCGGTCTGTCGGGACAATCGACTAAGTTTCGATTGAAGCAAGTAATTAATTGTTACGATGGCAGCGTCATGTGGAGGCAGATACCGGGATTCGGGCTTCGAAGCCTGTATGATCAAACAAATACTGTTCATCTATCCGCAGGACCGCAGGAATTGAAGCATACCCTGCCGAGTACAGTAACACGAGCAGGGCGCAGTTGGAATTTCCGGCAGCGTCGATTAGACCCAGGATAAGTTATTCCGGAACAGGCGAGATTGCAGCGAACAAATGAGAAAACACCACAGCCACACTGTCCTTCACCTGGTCGGTTCGTGTGTTATCCTTTTTGAATCAGGCCTGCGTTCACTGTTTCGATTTTGGTCATCGTTTGTGACTCTCGTTTCCATTCTTTTGCAGCGACCAGCACAATATTCGCACTTCGCTCATTCAGTCATCACAATGGCGACGAAAACCGTCGCCGTCACAACGACATTCACTCCCGCGCCGTCCTGCTTCGCGTCAACGTTCACTGTCGGAACACGGTACCGCGATGTTCTCACCAGAGCATACGGCAACAACGCGATCATTCGAGGTGTTGATCCTGTCTGCTATCCCGGGAAATTCTACAGCATCGATTCCATAGTAGGCGGCACAACGGTGGCACCATTCTACTCTCCAGGAATATGTCCTTCGGGATGGACTACGGCCACGACTACCGTACCAGCTGGTGCGACTGTTACTACTGCAACATGCTGTCCATCGTATGTGAAACAACGGGCGTTATTCACGAAACCTATCAAGCTCTGACGATCATGTAGTCTTATGGGCCCTGAGAAGAATAGCCTGACGAACAGCCTTATAAGCTACTGCGTCGGGGGCTTTTACACGGCATCAACGGGTGGTCCAGGTACCACGAATGTGGTTGTCGTCAGCGCTGTCACAACTTCAAGTACAACATCGCTCTCGACAGGAACCATAGGCATATATGTCAGCTACCAGCTTCCGATCGTGATTCGATACGAAGCGTCTGACGTCTCGCTCTTCTCCTCGTCTACATCGACAGCATCAACATCTTCTAGCACAGCAACAGATACAGCAAGTCCTTCCGAGACTTCAGGAAGCAGCAATGGGTCTCTCTCCTCAGGAGCTTCGATCGGACTCGGCGTCGGGCTTGGAGTCGGCGTAAGCATCATCCTCATCTTGGCAGCTCTCCTATTCTGGACACGCCGCAAGAAAACTCGCAGGGCGGCAAACACGGTCACCGTAGTCCCTAAAGGGCCAACATATCCCACCGAGCCATACGACCCGCACATCTATTCACAACACGAGGCCAAGAGTTCCGCATCTGAGCCTCCGGCCGCAGTACCTTATCAATCCCCGCAACAAGTTTATGAGGTCGATGCTGGCTATAATGGCCCATCAGAACTACCGACCCACTAGGAAGGCCACGAAGCCGGGTCCGCAAATTCGGGCTCTGGACCTCGCTATAGGAACCCGTTATGACAGCACCACAGGACAGAGCCAAGATCCAACGTCCATGTATGGACGAATCCGCGCCGGAAAGATAATTTCACGATCGTGCCTGGCGTCGAAACAACGTCACGTTTGCTTCAATAAAGATTTATTCCACCGTCGTTGAGCTTGGCCGTTCCCACTACCATGGAAGCAAATACATCGTTGCCCAGATCCCCCGCGCGCACGAATCGTGATTTGTTCGAGAAGTGAGCAAGTAACACTTCGCATAATTATGTTCAGGGACACGCCATAATTGCGGTCGCAGCCTAATTCTCAGGACTCGCGACTGGGTATGCGATCAGAGCAGAAGTTGACCTGGGAGATGGGTAGTCAGGATTTGATCGCATTGAAATCTCCGCCTTGCAATTACAGGTTGCCTTTCTGCATTGACCTTCATATACCCTCCCCCTCTTACGACCTGAGAGGGACGCCAAAGGCTCTGGCTCACGAAGAAGTCGGCGTGGCGTAATCAAGGAGCGAAAACATCTCGCTACACCTCTGACTTTCTCAAGGCTTTACTCTACGGGCAGCTCGTGAGATTGCGCTTTGTGAAAAATGCTACCCGATTGCAGGCCCCCAACCTGCCTGGGAAGACTTGTGTCCAGATCAGTTTTTTTCGCGGAGCAAAAGCGCCTGAACAGCGACGCGACACGGCGAGGAGAGCTTGATCGGGCATTTCAAAAAGCATTGTACAATGTATGCTCGCGAGCAGGAGGGGGAGAATCAGAAATACAGGTTCCGTGATGGAGTAGAAAGATGCAGAAAGGGATGACGCGCATCGGCTGCAGCGCGCCAGAGGTTCTCGTTCCAGAGACGAGACTTTGATAGGAGGTGCCCTTGCAATCGGCCTGCTGGAGATCAGTGTCGGGGGCACGTTACATGGGAGATTTCGAGATCTCCATTTTTCCGCCTGGATATGTGGCTGTGGCATTCGCCTGCAAGCGACCAGAGATGTAGCAGCAAAGGATGAGGTGGATGATTTATTGGACATGGGCTCGACCAGCTTTGAGGGATTGAATTTGGAATCGTGACTACGACGAATGATATTGGCAATCTGGTGCGGTCATTCATCAATAATCAGACGGAACGAAAAGAAATCCTCACCAGTACGAGAAGACACTAATCCGGAGCCCTTGAAGAAGCACATCACCCATAGACGAGATAGTAGAAACAGGACCAGAAAAAAAAAAGCATGTTATTCATCGTTCAGAAGGTGAAGATTCCATAAATAGATTGTGCACACAATCCCCGCACAAGGTCGGGGAGAGGGAGGCAAAATAGATAAAAAAGGTACAACCAGAGAAGATAGAATCACCCATTCTAAATAACATCCCAAACATCTTCAGCGGCGTGGCAGAACTTGCTGCACGCGACACTAGCACTGAGCGACCAGTTGCTAATACTGATCGCATCGTCTTTGTACTGGTCGGCGAAATTATCGTTACCCTTAGCCATAGCTCCGACGAAAACGCAGATGCTCTCCTTGGGGCCGAGGTCGGCGATGTAGTCGCGCACGCGCACGACGGGCGCGTCGAAGGACAAGGTGACTTTGCGGCAGTTGGGCGGGAGGTGGTCCGTGATGGGGTTTTTGATGACCTTGAGCAGCTTCTCCTGCGAGGTGGTGGAGCGGATGGAGAGTTTGTGGAGGAGTTGGACCATGAGACCGGCGAAGCGTTTGAAGGTTCGGGGAATGCGCACAGTCGGGCTGACCTCGATGAGAACGCCTTTGGCTGTGTGGATGTAGATTTGTAGCTTTCCGGCTTTGTTGATGGGTGAGTCGAGCAGGGTGAGCAGACACTGCGCATAGTCCGTCAGCGCGGTACTTTGCCTTACAGCGTGTGGTTTATTCTCACCTGATGAGTGATGTCGGGACGCGCATCACTAATATCTCGGTTCATCTTACGCATAACACCAATGTGCTCGTCGCTGTTGAGCAGCGAGTACTTGTCATCTTTCATGCCATTGCGACCACCGTGGGCAGCCTTGTAAGTCTCAAGACTAGCATTGGAGAGGACGACAATCAGGCGTTTCGAGTCTTTGTCTGCTGTTGGAATGGGTGTCCTCTGCTCCGCAACGAGATTAGGCAGAGCAGGTGGCGGGAGGGATTGAGTTTGTGTTCCTGTCATGCTCGTATCGAGCAGCTGGTCAGCCATACTGCAAAGACCTTGTTGAAAGGCGCGATGCGAAAGTTGTGCGATGATGATGTTGAGATTATCAATGCAGCGATGGGAGAGGTGTGTAATAGTAGTAGTGTAGATCATGCGATAGCCAAATCGACGTCAGCGGACAAAGTTGCCAGGCGGCGCGTGCGGCGTTATGCCAGCACACATGAGCTGCCTGCGTCTACGAGTGTACTCCGAAGTCCGGAGAAACGCCTCAATGTCCCGCGCATTGCTCGTCCTGCCGCTTCCGACTGCGAAATTTTTCTTTGTGCTACACAATACATTCTCATCTTCTCTTCACATCCAGCTCGTTCTCATCTGTGGTATTAGGGAAATTGGTGCGATCGGCATGCAGACATGTGTTGAACATTTCAGGGTGAGCAAGCATTTCTTGCAAAGAGGTGACCCACTGGTGCGCTTAGTATCTCTACCTGACGTTGAGGGTCGTCGTCCGATGTAGTCGGCCGCGGTGGCAGATGCATCGAGCAGTGATCTCTCAAGTCGCTCGGCCTCTGAACTCGAGGAAGAACGGTCGGGAGAGACCTCGATAGCCATTGTGGGATAGAAGTTCGGAAGTAAAATACAAGTGTAGCTGGAGTTACTTGGTGGGTTAGGAAGAGGTTCGTGAGAGGCGTCCTGTGCAAGTCTGTGAATGTGGTGAGCAAAGGAAAGTCCGGACGATGCACACTTTGGCAGGCGAGGGGCCTTTTCTATATCGCCGCGAGCGAGGTGCCAGTGCCTACCCTCGGGGACTGATGAGAATGACCTGGCCAGGGAGCTTTCGGCTTACGATGACCACTTGTTGAGCTCGGAGAAGCTAGTCTGGGTGGTATAGTGGTTTGGAGATAGTCCGGTCTGCTGTTGGCTGCGTGGGTGAGGATGGTCAGATTCGTCCAGTCTCACTACCTCCAGGTGGTCAGGCGAAGGTTGGGAAAGTTGGTGATGGACACCGATGGCGGGCTTTGGAAGGATTTTTTTAGGCGGCCGCTTGGAGGAATGGCTGACATGCAGCTGCTCAATGCACACACTTACAGCAGATACCCTGTCAACCACCATCATGATCCAGTATAGCGTACACATAGCCGTGGTTTCAAACTGCATCATCACCGACATCGCGTGAACGCACAAAACATTGGTATTTGAGGGAAGATGATCCCGTCCAGTTAAAATCGAGCACGTGCGCACCTTTCGACAATCCGACTGCCAATACCGTCCGAGTCGCGTGCCGAGATGGCCGATCGCAAGCAGCAGCAGGGTGGGCTAGTCGAAAACAAATCCCACCTGGGCACAATGGCACCATGGCATTTTCTGCGCTGGAAATGCCCCGAATATCCATCGGAGTCAGCTGGTCCGAAAAAAATATCATCGGCGATATTCTTCACGCCGACCGACGACCGTAGAGGTCCGAGGCTAAAGACGGGCTTTGCAACTCCGTGCGTGAAGCACAAAGGTCCGACTATAAGATAACAGTGGTGCTCATTGTGCCTTTCCTCTTTCCAAACGTGATTTGATAGTCCCGAGTAAAGAGAGCTTCAATACATCTATGGATGGTGCAGAAATCTCCCAGGAACGGCACAAAGGGTCACTGTGGGTTTGAAGGGTCGACCCCACTTCTGCAAGCAAGCCGACTTATCTGCCGACCAACGACTTTGGCACAACGACGGCGTCAACGACTAAGGTATGAAACCATCACAATTTCGTCCGGATCGTGTGCTCAAGAAAGAGATGTGGGAGCAGAGTCCACGTGAGCACTGAGGTGGACATGGCGCTGGCGTCGACCGTTCAGACCAATTACCAAATCTCCATTGTCATCACCTGGCAAACGACCGGCGAAAACGAGTAATAAGAATCGGCTCATTCAAACCTCCATGGAGAAATGGTCCTACTACACGTTTTTCCCGAGCTGAAGGTTACGTGCCTACCTAGGAGGTGGGCACCCACGGAGTCCGAGCTCAAGCCGGAGAGAACAATGACGCCTAACAATCCAATGGGTGTACTTTCACAAAAATCGTACAATGTACAGAACGATACAGTACAACCGAACCCCCACCAGCTTCCATCATCATGCAAGCCCAACGAGGGAAAATATGCAGGGTGCAGCACAACCAATTCTAGACTTCCCCAATGGCTGATGAGCAGGTTCACCTGCATGCTCTGCCAGCCCTCGTTCGTGGCATTTTCCCAGGCCACCACGATAATCCCTCTTGTCGTATTGCAAGTGGTCTTGTGCGTAATGACGCACAAGACCACTAGGTCAATTGTGTATCTCCACTTCACGTTTCCTTCTGGCTATACGAGAGGCTTGCGTGTGTATTTCTTTCTGCTCCCAGTGACATATTCCCGTCGGCTGGTGAAGCTGCGTTGACGACGCGGATGCACGTCGCGAGGTCCGCGTTACCGACTCACGTCCAAAGATTGATGCTTTGTGCGTCGACGCATGTGCTTGAGCAGAGATCTCGTCCAGAACGACTGCCGCTGTTGATGACGATATGAGCGCGCTGGAACCAACTAGAAGCTGGCCAGCAAATGCTTCTGCCGACGTGCATAGAGATGACCATGACCCCAATTGATCCAAAGATTCGTCTCAGCATGAGCAATGCTTATTGGCCACTATCGAGTCAGAGCGCAGTTCCATCTCACGGCCGGATAGAAATAGATTGTTGTAAATTCCAGAAGAAGATCACCTCGGCGGCTCGGTATCGTCCCTACAGACATGGCCCATTGTCTCACTCGAGATCGAACCTCAAGCTAGTAGGAAGGCCCGTTTCATAGGCCATTTCTGAGCGCACCAGCAAGCAAATTGTTTCCTGGACCATTCGGATTCCCAGTCATGTAAGCATTGGGCGCGTTATTCTGCTGATAGTTGTTCATTCCTGGATTCCGACCATTAACAACGCCGGGCATATTTCGCATTTGTTGCTGCTGCTGCTGTTGTTGAAGCTGCTGCTGTTGCTGCTGTTGGAGTTGTTGTTGCTGCTGCTGCTGCTGCTGCTGTTGAAGCTGTTGTTGTTGCTGCTGCTGTTGCAATAGTGCCTGATGATGGGCCGACTGGAGACTTGGATGCAAATGAGGGTTCTGCGCCATTGCGACGCCGGCCATGACATGATGAGCTGGGTTGGTGATAGATGGATCGACAGCCATCCCCATTGGCTCCGTCACTTCCGATTCATCGGCGTGAGCATCAGCATCACCGTCGGCGTCAGCATCGGCCTCGTTCGCGTCGATATCGCCAAGGGTTGTCGAGTCTGGTCCGTTGACCGTGGCCTCCGCAGCAGCAGCTTCGGCGGCGGCCTTTTTCGCTGCGCGTGCAGCATTCGTGGGCCGGCCGGTGGGCTTTGCAGGGCGCTTCGATACACCGTTTGCCCGAACGTCCTTGATGATGCGTGCAGTGGTAGACTTTGGCACGCCGGAACATTCGGCGATTTTACCAATGGTGAAGTTGGTATGTCGCGTCAGACCAGCGATATAGCCGCGTTGGTAGTCGGAGACCCATGTTTTGGAAACTTTTGTTGGAGTAGGCGCGGCGACGAGAGGAGTTGCTGGCTTATCAGGCACAGCGGCCATTGCTTGGGGAAGGCTCATGATGTTCCGTGAAGTCGCAAAAAAATGGTGATTGTTCTTGATGATGGTCTATCTTGTGGAATAAAAAGTGGTGTCGACGCGGCGCGTTGTTGTGAATGAGGGATGGACGAGAACGGGGCGGTCGCAAACACAACGGATGAGACGAGGGAAGTGGGAATTGCCGCACTGTTCAGGTGACATCACCACTCTTGGCGGCAAGCGGGCTCCCACCGATTCAGCAGGAGAATCCGAGCAAATGAACCATTGATTCTAGACCCGAGGTCCACGCGTTCCGGCGCATGGACTTACGAATGCGCCTGCGGTTGCAGATGGAAGCTGACGGTAAACTTGGAACGAGGATGAGGTCACTGTAAGGCCTAAGGCATCATTTCACGACCTGTGCTCTCACACAAAGGAAGCCGGCACTCACACGGAAGAGACCTCTATTGAATGCACGTCAGCACATTCTTTGTTCAGTATCCCGCTCGCACGTGCACTGAGGAAAGCAGAGTGAGGCCATGGATTCATGATTCGTGAAGGTTTTAATGGTACGGCAATAGAATTTTTTCCAGCGACGCTTCGGAGTGCATACATTTCCTCCATCATCAGAGTCGTCATCGGCACTATCCTGTGCGGCTTGGGATCTAGAACACGACGTGCTTCTTCGAAACCGTCCGTACACGAAGATGCTCTGCTCATCATGCTGCCATGACAACCCAGTGCCCATAGCATTTGGCGCGGAACCTCGCATACAATAGTGCTTGCCTTTTTTTTTTATCATACTCTATTTCATCCCGTGTCCTTAGCTGTCAACAAGTCATCGACACATGCATCCTGTTTTCCTGCCTGCTTCCTTTTCAGTGACGCTGTATCGAGATCACAAACTAAGTATGCAGTGTCCTGCTGACTTAGGCCTTGCAAGCTACATCTGGCTGGAAGGCGCTGTATGCGCGTGGTGATCCCCTCTGCCGATCACATGAAGCCCGATGCCACATCTTCCAGTTGAATTTTGCGTCGGATGGAGCACACTGCGAGGCGTGATTGATCGTGGTGGTCGTGAATTGGGGTAACGAAGGGACAGCGACCCCCAAGCGCGAACACTCAGGCTGGCGGCACTCATATGAGCTCCGTCTTCAATGTCGGTGTCGCTTCCGCGCGCGCTACCAGATCCAATCATGATTGTCTCCTGGTCAGTGATTCATCCAGCCCGTGATGATTTTCGATTGCTGTCTGAAATTCGTGCGAGTGTTGAACGCAGAAGTCTTTCAGGTGCTAAGCCATGGCGCCGCTATATCGCTCCATCCAGAAATAGGCTTCCGGCATGATTCGGCAGATCTTTCGTTGGACGGACGATGTGTGCCATTCAATCAGCCGTAAAATGGGCGACAAGGAGCTTGCTTGCCATTCGCGATTCTTTCGATTCTTATGGGCTCACAGTTGACCAGACATCGAACTCCAAGCTCCTGGAGTGGAATTTTCGACAGCTTGATTGCCCCGACGGCCTTTCCGTGGAACTCTCTGCGTCTCTTCAAATGAAGACCAACCGTGGGCCAAAAGCTCTGTATTCCAAACGAGGAAAGGCAATAAAGTAAGTAAAATGACGATGCAGGTATTTTGGACGCCCTTTTCGAGGGCATCCAGCGTAAAGAGAACTTTTCATCGTGGGTGCGGAGAAACGAAAAAGTATAAATATGTGCAGGGGCGAACGACACCGCCAAAGTTGAAGAAGAAGTAGGATAGATGGAATAACGAAGTGGTGAACAAAACTCAACATAACGAGGAAGTAGTCAAGGTCAGGCTCCGATTGCAACATGGACTTGGTTCGAAATCGTGCCGCCGTAGCTGTATCTTCACGTCCGATCGAAGAACTCGATTGGACATCGGGCATCTGGATGCGCTCTCGTCTTGAACAGAGAGTGGTAGTGATGATGTGGTGAAGAGGAGTCATGTGGATGAGAATGTAAGTTTTGGATATCGGGCGTTGGCTCACCGGAACGTGAGCTGGAATGGTTTGAACGCAGGCTCAGTGGTATGACACTTGGGACATGTCGGAACGTGGGTCCGACCAGGGACGCGATCTGTTAAGATGGCTGTTTGGCATTCGTCACAGAAGCCGCGAATGCAATTGGTGCATGCACGGCAGTCAGTTAGGAGGAAGGGCTTTGAACAGCCGTCGCAGTATATATGTGGTGTTGTGTTATCGATGCTTCTGCCACCTTGCTCTCCTCGGCTGGCTGGTGTGAATAATGGCGATGACGTCGAATCGAGGCTCTGAGGATGCATGATTTGGAACTGAGAGCCGCTGTCGGTCGAGACGTTGTGATGGTGGTGAGAGAGGTTGGTGCTAAGACTGCTGTCGACGGAAGGGAACGGCTGCAAATCGAGGGCATTTTGTTCTGGAGGTGGAGGTGTGAGTGCGCGATTAAGCGGCGATGCCTGAAATGAAGAGTGGAACTGCGAGCCCATCGCAAATGGAGGCATAGGCGTTCGGTTTGTGATGTTTGGCGATTGATATGGAGATCCCGGCACCTGTTTTCTTTGTCAGAGACGATCGCAAGGGCATTACTTCTTGTTGTCATCTTCCTCGGGCCTTGGCTTACAGGAGTCAGATCCCTCGAACCTTCCTCCTCGGTCGCACTAGCCGCAGCTTCAACCAGATCAAGCCACCTATGGTCGGCAAACTTCTCACCACTCCGTCTTTTTAGATCTTTCGATTTCTTACGCTCGTGTTTTGGCATGCGGCCTTGTTGAGAGAGGCTCGATTTCCTAGGACGATTAGCATACCCACCACCTCTTGAAAGGCTTCGATGAAGTGACGGCATGGTTGCCATTGTTGACGGTCGACCATTTGGCGACGACGATCTGACAAATTCGGTCAATGGTAATCCATGTGAATCGGATTCAGGTGCAGGTGGAAAGTTATGGTCTTGTAGGTAGTCCTGCTCGTCAAGTGCAGGATCGACGGAGAAATGGTTCGGTTTGAATTCGTTATCGGCATGGTAGCTCTGAAGAAGGTCGGCTTCAGTGACAGTCGGTGACATCTGCAGGGAAGGGAAAATCACCTGTCCGGCAAAATCGCCCTCGAACTCTGAGTCTGCCCGAGAAGAATGCAGACCCGCCAAAACTGCCGCAGCAGTTTGTGTACCAATTATTGACCCACGGCGATACTCATCATAAGGCGAACGAGGCTGATGTAGCTGCATGCCATTGTACATGGCTGCTTCGGTATCACTCGCAGTATAGTAACCCCCATCATGGCCGCCCAACGGATTATACCCTCCTTCGAAGGATGAGCCAAAGGGATTGTCTGAATTGAGGGCGAGTGAAGACAGACCTGACGGATGTGCGTGCTGGGTGTGATGATGGTTCTGCTGAGGGACATGGCTCGAATGTGGACGATTGTTCTCTGGCGGTGGAACCTCATGAGGTGGAGTGGTGATCATCTGCTCGAAGCTCTCTTTGGTGGCCGGCAATTTTGGAATGTAATACTCGGGATGGGCTCGGCGGATGTGCTCCTGCATCGACCGATAACGCTTCTCCTGTATCATTATTCATGATCAGCTTGGTGCTCGCGATGTCGCTCCATGACAACATGCTCGGATAGCGTCAATGGCAAGCAGAAGAGACAACACTTACCCCGAGACATCGTTTCCGACATGTTGTGCCATCCGAATTGCTGAGCGGACAGGCCACTTCGGCAGTAGAGGCGCTGTCTACTGCGAAGCTGCTCTGTCCGTTGTTGCGCGGAGGCATCATGACACCAGATAGGAGTGTTGGCAATGTGTGTACCTAGGTCGACAACGATATGACACACAAGAGAGAGCTTGGGCCTTGAGTGAGCAGGGCACGGAACAGAGCTGGGAAAGCTCGAATCTGCCTGAATGAGATAGCTTGATTGTAAGGAATTGGCACGATTTAGATCCGATCCAGCTCTTGTATGGAGTAGGTCAAGCTCCAAAGCACCGATTGTGCTGGTTCAAATCTCCTTCGGATGTGCCAAGCTCTACTATCACTCCGATGTCTCGCGTTTGATGTTTTATATTCCTCTCCGCGTCTATCCCGTTAGCTATACTGAGATGACCAACTGAGGCGCTTGTGATCCAGTGTCCAGACTGTCACCGGCTGGTGAGTACTATCGTCGGAAGAGCGACGTGCGAATGGCGGCTGTATCGCCTTGGCCAACCTTGCCGACGTGAATCGCACAGGCCTGGCGCGATACAAAATACCTGAGACAGCGTACTATAGTGGCAAGATCGCCACCACCCATCAGTAATGGTGAGACAAGCTCATACGCCAGCGACCGAGGTAGGTCGTGCAAATCAGGTTCGTTATGCTGCCCAGATGATGTCGCCTTTCCCGTTCTCTTCCTCGTTCGTCGGATTAGCTGAGCAGGATCCGAATAGCTGGAGCTTGGGAGGTGGGTGGGAGCAATAGCTATAGGCGAGCTTCAGCAATGGCTCTGGCTATGAGACAGGAGATTGACCGGGGATCCCTAGGATGATGACAGCCAAATATGTGGCGTGAAAGAAGCAAGACCGAGTGGTGAACAGCTTTGCAGGAGAATTGACTCAATCACGGTGCACAATGGGCAGCGCTGTCTACACCCGCACACGGGTACGACGCGATTGTGTAAACACTCTCTGCTGTGGGTCTCAGCAGCAAAGCAGGATGCAGTAACAGTGGTAGTAGGAGCTGCGACGACAGTCCAGGTGGTGCTGGGTAGATCGGGTGGTAGACAGGGCGATTGTTTTGTTTCGCCCGCTAGGTTTCTTCCAGTAGTAGTAGGCGGGGTGGGTAAATGGAATCGCCTGGACAGCGAGTGAGGGTACCGACTGTGCTGTGTACTAAGGGCGCGCAGCAGCTCACGAACGGTGACGCTGTGAAAAGTGGTGGGAGCCCTGGAGGGTTCCAAAGATTGACCAGGTGGTGGGCGGAAATAGCTGGAGGGGCATTGGCTGAGTCCTGGTGCACTCTATCTGCGCCCGCAAGAGGGATGTTTGACGGCAACGAGGGTGCGTGGTGAGAACAAACAGCGGGCGGGTGTTGAACGCGGGCGCGGGGCTCTGAACCCGACGTCACGAGTATTTGGCCCACTACCCATGGGCGGTCCCTCCGCTTGCCTCTGGCTGTCGTAACACCATCTATCGACTGCATCAGACGTCCTTCCACCATGTATCACACTCCCTTACCTACACAAGACGTGACTATCACACCGCACGCATGTTCTTCAGATTATCGTCTCTTTTCTCACGCGTTGTCTTTTGGAACAATACTCCTGCCACGCCAGGGCAGTGCACCGCCCTGGCTGACCTGGTTAGCGGGAGGGTAGATGAAGTGCCCCGCTCTGCGTTCAAATCTGCTCCGTAATCGGGCCGCGCCAGTCAGAGACCAACGAAATGACTTGTCTTCCGTCTAACCGGCCACTCCCTACCTTGGTATCCCACAAAATCGCAAAGCCTTGCGTCCGGCCGCCTATGCCATGCATGCAGAAGCTCCTGCATTGTGGTGACCGGTGAGCAACAACATCAGAGACAGTGCGACGACATTGAGGAATTGATACGACCGGCTTCGCGAACAAGAGCAAAGTTGTTGTGGGTATTCCAGCCAATGTTGAAACACGTCACTATGCAGACGCCCGACACCACATTGGTAGATATCCAGGAAAGAGTGTCGCGCGGTGGTGGTATGCATTGGCGCCGACACTACTACGACGTTTTGGAAAACCCTTTCACAAAATTGAACAGGACCTAGTGCGGTCAATCACGCGAGGTCCTTGCGCCAGCTCAGCTCAGCTCAGCTCGCCCTCACCCTCCAATCTGGTAATGAGATGTAAACAAAGCACATAGCTTGCTCCTAGCGAGGTCTTTTGACGACCATGAAAAATGTGACAAGCGAATGGTGTCCCATGAACATACGGTATGGTGAAGTATGAGAGGACCGGTGGGCGCAACGCCGGGATCGGGAAATTCCGGGATTTCCAGACCGCAGCCCGGGAATAGCACGTGGTGATGTTTTTCGGTGACATTCCACAGTCCTGTGAAGAAACAATCAAGCCGTCTACATCGGCACCTGGGCACACAATGGCTTTGTCCAGCCTAAAAGACTAGATGGTGCTAATTCCACGCCATAACTCCCATTGGCTGAACTGACGAGCGTGTGCATTACGACTTGACCTCATCTCAAGTCTCGAAGACATCGGCAGAAGCAACTGGTCAGATATCGAATCAAACAGATAAACAAACTCGGATAAACTTGGACCGCAAGACTACGGACCTCTAGATGGTTCTCGTAAAGAGGGGGATGCGTAACTTTCTCCAGGAGTAATGAACAGGACGTTCGATCCAGCACTACCTTGCAATTGTTTGTCAGATTCACAGCGAATAGTGAACAGTCAATGCGTTAGGGTTGTCTTCGATTGAAACTGCAATGCCCAGGTGAACAAGTTTGATAGAAACCACCATCCGGCTCTGCCTTGTTGACGAACTATAGGTATACCGGATCAATGAGATATCCCTCTGATGAGAAACACAATCTGAATCAGACACCTGCAGGAGCAGCTCTGTAAGAGGGTTGAAAGCAATGTTGTCAATTCACTGCCAACATGGTATTCGTAGATCGTCCCTGCTGTGATGATCTCCAGGGCTGATAGGATCCTAAACGATCGCATAGACCTTTGATGAACGGAAATATATCGAAAATCAACTTGACATCGATGCGCCCGAGCACGACTGTGTCAATCATCATAGGAATATTCAAACAATGTGTCAATGAGGTTTGAGGTTTTCAGATTGTAACAATTGCATTGATTACTGACATTTCCTATTGTCCCGACCGGCTCGAGGCAACAATGGCAACAGGAAGTGAATAGACGACAACACGTTCCCTAGGCTTCTACGATCATCCAGCTCTTCAAGTACTTTCTCGACACTTTCAACCGGTATGAGTATTCTTTGTGAAGTGCGACCACAACTCTTTCATCTCCAGATCCTACACTGACCAACGCGAAGAACACCCGCAACTCGCTATGAAAGGATTTCCCTCAGATTGGTACAGCTCCCTCGAAATGCCTCCTCACGTGGTGAAGCTCGTTAACTACGCGCCTGGTGATGGACGACAACATCGCCATATTGTCGCCGACGACCAGCCAGCGACACGCGAACCAACAATCATCCACGAGAGAAACGCCCGACATGCTCTTTACACGGACACGCGTCGAACTCTCGGCATTCTATGTCCTACACATCGCGAACAACTGTCACAAAAATTCGGTGATGATTCTCGACGAACTCTCCCGATACCCTCGATAACCCAGCGGAACTTAATGCCGCTGGGTCCGCTCTGCACATCCAAACATCTCGCCTCGCTCTACCGCGACCCTACGGTTCTCGCCGCACCTTTCGACACATGCGTCTGCTCGAGTCGAATTCTGCATTCGGAAACCCTACGAGGTCCACAAGATTGCAGCGCTTGCGCTATGGCCCAGAACAACTTCAAGAAGAGAGCCTACCTCACCCGCACGCAACGTGAGGATCACTCACGTATGATCTGCGGCTGCGAATGTGAAGAGGTTCTTACCGGCGCAAGCGAGGTGATGCGAATTTGCGCATGTTGCGAAGGTCTGGTGAGTGTACCTTTGCACGCGTTGGATAATGTCACGCATTTGGCTGCGCCGGCCGGTGCGCCTAGTTGTGAGTATGGGAGCGTATCAACAATGCAGCAGGATGAGAGTATCCTGTGTGAAGCCGAACATCCCATTTGCAGGGAGTTCTTGATGCCGACTCCGGGCTTCGAAGTCGTGCAGCTCGGAGGTGAGATTGGAGACGAGGAGCAAGCGGCGCAGGAAATTTTCCGGGCGGGAGCGTCATGGCTGCGACGACTAGCTACGAATCACCGAGGACTTCCTGAAGCTGGAGCTTCGGAACTTGAGGACGCGACTAGATGGAATTTTGACCAGGTCCAAGATCGAGTCCCACCAGTTGATCAAGAGGTTGGCCATAATCATCGTCGGGATTCAGTGGCAACGTGGATGGCTGACCTGGCACCATCCAACGATACCCAATTGTGGTCGCCTTCAACGTCCTTCGCTGCTCATGAGGGACAAGACGACTTCGCTGCGCCGCTCGGAGCGATCACAACACCAATATATCGCCCGGATCTTCCGCGGTTCCCCTCGTTCGATCTTATAGGGCACCAATATGATTGATATCTAGAAGACGGGGTCGAGTGCGAGCGCCCAGTAAAGATGTCTGGACGCTGGAGAAAAGTTGAGTTTGCTATCTGTAATGACGATAGTTAAGCCAAGATCGCATTGGCAACGGGGAAATCATGGATGTGCGTAATCTTCGTAAATTTTGCTGTTGATCAACATACTATCATCACTTACTCCACCAGTATCCTTCGCCCTTTTTGACGCCATTGGTCCTCCTTGAGGTATGCGCATGATTCGGGTGAAGCCGTCCCGTCGCGCCTTCAGGCACAAATCCTCCCACTCCGCCAGCAGCATGACCATTCGCCATTTTCCCACTAGGGGCTGAACTTGACGCCTGTGCCGCATCGAGTGCAGCACTCATCATCTCCCACAGCTCACCCATCGACACACGCTGCACGGGCAACATGCTGTATTGTAAGCTGTAGAGGTTTTTGCGGTGGATGGGAGGCACAAATTGGCCTGAGAGGAGGCGTAGAAAGACCCGTGGGGAGAGGTAGTGCTTGCGGATACGTTGACCGAGCTGAGCATATTGCGACATTGTCTGGGAGAGTGGAAGCGGAACAGATTTGAGTCTGATATAGGCCGTAGGTGCCGATGAAGACAATGGTGCTGATGGTTGTCGCGCATGTCCATTGGATGTGGTGGTGGTCGCAGGAGACTTTTTAGAGAAACAGAGAGTCGAAAACAAAGACGGAGCATCCGCTTCTTGCAGCTCAAATCGTATGCCTCCCGGAAGTCTCCGAGAATCCTTAATGCGAAGCATTAATGCGAAAAGCGGGAAGTGGTTGAGACACGCCAGCCAGGTGTCAAGTGCGGCCTTGAGAGCGATGATCGTCATTCGTGCGCCAGCGAAAGTTGCGTAAAAGACAGCAACGGTAGGCAAGAGAAAGAAAAGAAGGGTGAAGAGGATGGTGCCGAGAAGTAATTGATCGAGGTCATAGTCACAGCTGTCAATGCGGTTCCGGAGGATGTTTCGTTTCTTGCCACGAAACAAGTGGAAAAGCGAAATGATGATGGTCAATTGCCAGTTGTAGATCCGCGCTGATGCCATGTAGAAGCAGTAAATGTGGACCGTCAATAGCGAGAGTAAGTCGGAGAAAAGACTTATGGGCAGACTGGCGCCGGCAAAGCTTGATATTCCAATAAGGCGGATGATGACCGGCAAGGCAGGGCGAAGTTGCAACATGCAGCTACTCCAGTAGTCGATTACCCACAGAAAGAGATCGCCAAGGAATGTTGCAAGTTCATTGTTTAGTTTGAGGCCAGCTGGGTAGTCCATTAGCCAGGCAAGCATACGCTGCAGACCCTCAATCGCGTATGTAGTGATATTTCGATCTACCGCGGCGGCGACAAAGTCGACGTTCTCCAGAATGTACGCTCCGAGGGCGATTCCGATGATGATGTCGTTCGCCACGAGCCATAGACTGTTGAAGAAGCGAATGTATTCGGGATGACTGTTGGTGATACTCTCCCAATCATTTCGCCGCCGGAGCAAGGTGAGGTATTGTGGCGGCCAATAGCAGAATTGCTGTAAGCGGATATCGACTTGTTGCGCTGTAGCAGAAAGATCTTTCAAGGCAGCATGACCAAACGGCCGCCAGTCTAGGACGGTGAGAATTCCTTCGGCTATAATTCGCAAGACCATGATCCATCGAATAAATACTTGCGAAGCAAAGGGCCAGATGTGATGGACGAATACTTGTTTCACCCAGATCCAGATCAGATCCCACAGGTTCGTAGCGGTATTCACCACTCGCTCGCTGACACTTAGACTTCTCTTTGCCCGCACACCGACCAGGCCAATGTTTTGTTGCATCAACGCATTGATCTCAGCGGAGCAATTGATTTGCTCAATGATCTTCGGCAGCGCCAACTCCTTTGGTGTGTGAGAATGCTGTAAAACAGTATGTTGTTTCAGCTTCTCTACCAGCTTCTCTTTCCTCTTTCTCTCGACCTCCTCGTCTTTGTCAATCTGGTCGAAGGGAGCGACGCTACCAAACGCACCACGCTTGTCACCAAGAGCGAGGGAGATTGGTTTAAGTGACAGGTATTCCATGCGCTTCGGATTGGGTCTGTCGAATGTAATGATTTGAATATTGATAGCGAATTGTGCGGAGCACTCGATACGCGGGACATTGCTACGTCCGATCAGTCGTAAGGAGAGGAGCTTCGGGTCGAAGGATTTGACGGCTTCTGTCGCGTTCAAGGTTCCCAGCACTTGAATAGACTGCCCGCCACAGCGATTGAGTATATTGTCGATGGGGTGACGGCTGCCGCGAAAGAGTGATCGCATACGCAGCGCATGTTCAACGTTGCGTACCTGTTGGGACGGTCAACTCATGTCCATCCCTGATAGATATGCTGCTCGCCACGTACGTCGACTCCTTGCAGTATTCCCACCACAAGAACATCGAACTCGCCATTCCGCCATCCTATTACCACACCAGGGATGTCATCTGAGGGCGAGTTTGAGGGCCAGAAAATGCGCATCAAGCCATATTTGCGGTCGGTCATGCTCCCATTGCGAGAGCTCGTTCAGAAGGAGCCACGGCGACGAAGCTGTTCGCGCGCTGAAATACCTGCGGCCGGCTCCCGTGGATGCTGATGAAACAATGTCAGAGTCGCAGTCGGTTATATCTGCCGATGACTGCTGTTTCTCTGGACTTACTAGCGCTGCCTCACGGGCGGCAATGCGCTCAATGGGAACGAGGATAATCAAGAAGAGAATGGAAAGAATAGCGAAGCCTTTGGCGGCGCGAGTCTGTTTGTAGGATGGATCATGAGCCTGACGATTCTGTACACTGAAAGCATGCCTAAGAGTGAAATACGCACAATGACTCCGTGATCCCAAGCGAAAATAGCCAGCTCATAAAGTCGAGTGACGAGGTCCCACCGAGCAGTGATGTAACCAGCAAGGAAGATGCCGAAGGTGAGGACGGAGACCGGGTGCATGAAGCGTCTAGATCATGTCCCAAGGACGATTGCCTGAGCATTTATATCGTTTTCCGAGAGCTGCGAGATGTATCGTCGGCAGCGGACGAGATTCGATGAGTATTCCGCCCAGCATGGAGGCCATAGGTACAATTCTTCCTGCCGATTCGGCGTGTTCTGTGTCACCGAAAAGTTCACCACGTGATTGTGCATCGACCATTGGCGCGCTGCAAGCCGCTGCCTTGGCCGTCATCACCGACGGCGCGCGCGTTCACCTTGCACATGTATCCTAATGTCGACCATATTACAATCAATACAAGATATAGAGGTCGAGGGGCTCCAACTATTGCGACCTTCGTCCATCGCATTGCTGCGACATTCCTCCCGTGGTCGATGCGAGTGAACGCGCTGATCAACGTCTAAAAATTCGGTCTGCGCTCTTGGGATCCACCGTTCGCGATTCACGCTCAGCCCTTGGTGCTTACACATCCGCCAAAAATGCAGTCCTGGTTGAACACATTACGAAGGTGACATGTTCGGTCACAACAACAATAGCAATAGCCGTGGTGGCCAGAGCGGAAACAATCAGGTTTGCCAATTCTTTCTACAAGGCCGGTGCAAGTTTGGCGGTATGTTTGAGTTGCAGCATATTCTATCTCTTCAGCCAGAGATTCTAAGTGTCATTTAGATGGCTGTCGTAACTACCACCCAAAGGAGCAAGGAACGGATCAAACTCAGCAAAACAGATTCGCGCCGCTGCAGAATGGCGTGAACAATCGCAACCAAGGGTCTAACGGCCACAATCAATGTATGTCAAAAGATCACCACAAAATTCCTCAATTCTGATTTTGCGGAAAGATAATGGCGAGAGCCATTCGCTATAGTGCTGCTTGCGCCTCTACTTCTCTGTCCGTCACATAGATGCTTTCCTAGATTTTTAGATGACATGTCGTCAATGTGCTGACCAGAGACATCAGCATCCGCTTCAACCGCAAACCAAACGTAGGTTGTATTTAAACTTCATCTCGCGGAAGGGTCTCGCGCTGACTTGCGTTCGACAGTTTCCTGGTGACGGTAGATGGCATCAAGGCTGATCTCACAACAGAGCGTCCGCTATGGCCTTTGTCTGCATACGGGCCTGGTCTTAACGCTCCTCGACAGCTATTGGAGGGCGACCTGGAGCAGAGTTTTGAGGAAGTCCGCTTACAGCATTATATTGCACAAGCGGCAGGCGCCATACCGGCCTATGTGAGTGTACAATCTGCGTCATTTTGAATCTGCCGAACAGGTGATTGACTGATATCCTTAGGTAAATGAGGAGCAAGCTATGCTTAATCGGTCCAATGAGCGAGTGCAAGCAATTCTCAGAGATCTAGAGGGGGCAAGGAAATATGTCATCGATGGTCAGCATGAGCATCCGAACCGGAGAGATGCCGTGATCACGCCAGCCAACGACTTCCCAAGAAACAGTGTGTCCAACACTCCCGCTGCCAATCCACAATCAGGTGGGTTTGGGGCATTGAGCAGTGCCGCGCACAACAATGGCAGCGCTTTCGGCAAACCGTCGGGCCTCGGTGCAACGAACTCAGCATTTGGCGCGCCTTCTCAACTCGGCGCTGCAACATCTGGCTTTGGACGTTCTTCTTCAGTCGGAGGTGGAGCTTCGTCCGCCTTTGGTCAGCCTTCAACTCTCGGCGGAGGCGGTGCGTCTGGCTTCAGTCAGCCCTCGACGCTCGGACAGACAGCAACCTTCGGTCAACCTTCGCAGCCAAGTGCATTCGGAGCACCGAGCGCACTGGGTTCACAAAAATCCGCATTCGGGCAGCCATTTCAGCCATCTCCTTTCGCGGCTGCTCAACAACAAACGCAGGGGAACTCAAATACAAGCTTTGGCCAGCCCCTGCAATCATCACCCTTTGGTGGCGCTCAGCCTCCCGCAGCCTCGCCTTTCGCTCAGCCTCCGGCTGCATCTTCTGGTGGTGGTTTCAGTCAACCATCAACTCTGGGCAGCAATCTGAACAAACCTTCGCCATTTGCACCCGCAAACAATCAGCAGGGTTCATCCGCTTTCGGCGCTCCATCTGGACTAGGTCTCGGTGGACAAGCCAGCAACAGCGTGTCGCCTTTTGCTCAAGCGCAACCCCCTTCACAGCGAAACGCCTCGCCTTTCGGGCAGCAGCAACCTCAACAAGCACGGACTGCGTCTCCTTTTGCAGGCGGCTTTCAGAATGCCGAAGCAGGTTCGCAACTCAATAAACAGGTTCGGCGTGCCGATGACGGCACTTCCTTCTACCTGAAGCCTCATCCAACAGAGCCACACAAGCAGGTCAAAGTCAAGGTGTGGATGCCAAACGGTCCTCCGACCGCTGCGCATCTCGATGCGGAAGGGCCGGCAGAAGCATATTCTGATGGCAGTGCAGTAGAGGAGATTAAGAAGATTTATGCGACGGCTATGCAACGTGGCACGTTTGAGGGTAGTGCTATGCCGGAGCTTCCTCCGAAACGAGAGTGGCTTGAGTGGGATGTCTGATGAGTAACTTATTGAATGGGCAGGACTAGCTATTCGTGTATGATTTGTGTACCTTTATATTTGCACGTGCGATAAACCATAGGTAGACCGTTCTAGCTCTATCGCTTCCCCAATGCTGTGAATCTGATGGAAACGGCTAAAACAGAGAGAGTTCTAGCACTGTTGTGCGTCCAGGAACAGAATTTTGATACTGCGGGCTTGCGGAACTTCCCTGCCCATCTGCGTAGGGGCACAGGCCATAGCGAGGACATCAAGTCCTTATTTTTATACAATGCTTCCGAACCCGCTGTTGGACATCTTGTGCACGATGGCATCTCTTTCGCACAGACGATGTCTCCGAATGATTTCTCGCGACTCTTGATAGATCCGGACCATACGATGGATATGCTTGCTAGATTGATGGAACCTGAACGTGTAAACGCTTACGGATCAAGCTTAAGCTTGCTATCAAGAGATCTCCTCTCACCACATGAAAAGAGGTCTGAGATTGTGCTGCAGCAAGCGACTTCATGCAGGGCTTGGGTAAGCGGGGCTTGGAGCCGCCTGGCGCTGCAGGTGTCACCATGCATGCATTGAGTTACTCTGTAGCCTGGTTTTCTCTTCAATGGGGGCGCCCAGCGCGTACCTTCTGCATGATTTGACCATCGCGACAGTGAAATATCCACCACGATGGCTGACGCTCAGATTCTGGCCATGTGGGACCAGGCGGCCAAGAAATATGAAGAAGTCACAAAAATGAAGCTGACGGACCTACCCAGGCCAACATCCGTTGAGGACCTGATTAGCCGCGCTGACGAAAGCATCAAGCATTGTGAAGAGTTTCGAGCTCGAGCAGGGACCTTCTTCAAAGTTCTCAGAAACGTCGGGAACGCCGTAGAGACGGTAAGCAAGATCGTCGCCGGCGTCGCTCAAGCCGCGTTTCCTGCCAGTCCCACGGTTTTTGGCGCTGTGCTCTACCTCATCGATGCTGCCAAAGGCGTCTCGAAATATCTAGATGCGATCGTAGACCTTCTCGTAATTCTGCAAGACTTCGTTGTGAGATTGAAGATATATAGCATGGTGGAAATATCAGCAGAATTGCGAACGAAACTGACGGAGATTCTGGTAAGCATTCAACAAGCGGCCGATGCAATATAGCTCACACTCGCACAGGCATCGATTATTGAAATCCTGGCAAAGTCAACAAAGAATGTCAAAGATCCTGCTTTTAGGGCGAGGGCTTTCCTCAAGAATGTGTTTACTGGCAACGATACCGACATGAAAGAGCTTTTGGCTCGAATGGAAAAGCTGACAAACAGTGAGGGTCTTTTAGTACAGGCTCAGACTCTGACAGAAGCCAAGTCCACTGGCCAGACCGTCCAGACTTTGCAACAGTCTCTGGACGACTTACAGCTCAATCTAAGCGAGGTACACAAGGCTGTGTACTACTTTTGAGACTCGGGCTGAGACGCTATGATAGGTTCCGTCAGATGTCTTGAACATCAAGAATGCGTTGGAAGTATCCAGAGCGGAGGCTCTCGAAGAAAAGGAACGAAATGCTAAGAAGTTGCTCACGAAACTTCTCGCTCCAACCGGCGCAGGGCCGGCTAGATTCGACGAGATTAAACGGGAACGCTTTCGACATAATGTGGACTCGGGAGCTTGGATCCTTGAAGAGCCGAATTACCTTGCCTGGGTGTATGGTGACAGTCAACCATTGCTTTGGATCTCTGGCCCTTCTGGAAGTGGCAAGTAAGTTCTTGAAACACAAGCCGCCGAGAATTGATCTAAAAAATGACAGGAGCTTTCTGACGTACAACATAATCACTTCACTTACCGCGCAGACATTGCAATCGGACGGAACCAAACCGCCGGTGGGTTACTTCTTTTTCGGCGACAACAATCACGAATCGTTTAGACATGCCTTGCGCGAGGTCGCATATCAAATCAGCCAGCGCGACCGTGAATACAGTAAGCATCTCGACGAAAGCATAATCAGCGAATCGCAAATGATGTCAGTCTCGCTGGCATGGCATAACCTTTTTGCCACTTATTGGCTTCATGGACAAGACTGTAAACCGGCATACATCATCTTTGATGGCCTCGACGAAGCATCGTCTCAAGAACGAAGAGAGTTTCTTGAGGTCCTTGATTATGCAAAGGAATCGGACTCTCGCTCAAAACTACGCATTGTTATGCTTGGCCGGCCGCATATAATCAACAACATGACGCTAGCAAACATCGAGGGGCCACCTACGATTCATGTGGACTCGACCAAAAATGGCGACGATATCAAATCATATGTGCGCTCGAGCATTACAAAATCAAAAGCGCTAAAGAGGGTCAGGGAATCTTTGAAACAAAAAATCGTCGACACATTGACGCTCAAAGCTGGAGGCATGTTCATGTGGGTTCGGCTCATGGTGGAAGAGCTCAACAAGGCTGCCCTCCGTGGTCGCGAATTTCAGATTGAGAAGGCTTTGAGCGAGGCCCCAAGAGATCTTACAAGGATGATCGAACGCGTCTTAGAGGGTTTCGCAGACAGCTTGGAGGCCGAAGACACAGAAGATCTCAATGACTTATTGACATGGGTCGCACTAGCTACTCGCCCCTTGTACCTCGGAGAGCTGGACGCTGCATTGAGGCTCAAGTCGGAAGATGGAGAAGGCGTAACAGATCTGGAAGAAAAGCTGCGCAAGGTTTATTCGGGATTTTTCACGCTCACCCGGGAAGATGGTCTTTCAACATCGGATTTGGTTGAACAGAAGCGATTTGGCGATTTTGAGGAGGGCGAATATCCGGGGATGACCAGGGATGGGCAAGACAACTTCGATGCTCCGCTCGATTTTCAGTCAGATCCGAGAACAACGACTGTATCTTTCTCCCATGCTTCGATCTCGGAGTTTTTCGCGGACCCAAGTCGCGGCAAAATAGCTGGTCAAGATAGCCAGGGTCTTTCTATCGGATTCGAGCAGGTCCAGGCCCAAGCCTTGATTGCAGATACGTGTTTACAAATAATTGGAGATGCGAACTTTCGGGACCGCATGACAATTAGGGGCGGTGCTATCAGCCTTCTCGATTATGTTCGCTCCTCTTGGTACAACCATCTGCAGGCCGTCGATCATGACAGTATCGATCCTGCAATTCGCCTATCCATTAGCTCGAAGCTTGCGAATATGTTTCACAAAGAGGACATCATATCCAACTGGGCCTGCTATTGGGACTTTTCGCTTTTCACTGCTGAGCGTGGAACAACGATATTAGTCTGGCTTGGCAGTCTTGCTCCAAATAACAACTCGAGTCCTGACGGCGACGAGAACATATGCTCATCTCTCGTCGAGGATCCTCTAGACTTGTTTTCTCCTGCAATGCAATGGTTGGTCAGGTTGTGGGTCGGCCCAGCGCTTGCCAATGTAAAGCCTAGTATGTATGGGTTGCCCATCATCATCCATAGCTGGCTGGAGCGGAAAGCCGGCAAGTCAGTGGAGAAGTTGCCATGTCTCGGGGCAGACGATATCATCGCTGCAGCAAGCTTTGCAGCTCCAGAAAAAACACCCGAGTATCACCGAAACATTGCCCGCAGTCTGCGCGAGCACAAACTCTACAAAGAAGCCAAGAAGATCTATGAGATGACTCTCTCTCAAGACAAGACCGATGTACTCGCGATGGGGGGCCTCGCACGGACACATTTCGAGCTAAAGGAGTATGCTGAGACAATCCGCGTGTCGGAACTACAGCTCGAAACCATTCGAGAAAACAATCTGGAATCTCAAGATGGTTCCACGGAATGGATAAGTTATGAGGATATAGCCTGCAGCTATGTCGAACTTGAGAAACTCGAGAATCGTCCGTCAGACAATTCACTGGAATTAGAGAAGAAAGCTTGCGAGAATTTCACAAAAGCAATTAGCTACAATAAACTGTCTGCATACAGCCTTCGCGCCAACGTAAAACTCTGGCACAATTGGGCAATGGCGGGATTATATCCTGTTGCAGAATCCAAGTACATTTCTACTGACGATCTGCCCCACCCAGACACATGTTTCCAAGAGATCATCAAGATGACGCGTGAAATGGACGAAGCCTGCTCCAAGCTATACGACGCAGATGCTGCTCACTGGCTATGGCTAGTTGGCTCTGATCAATTTTCGTTCGAACATAGCGTTGCGTTCGCTGCCCATGAGACAAATGAGCTCCCTTGGTTGGAACAGTGTTACCTCAATGCACTCGTCAAAGCGCGGAAAGCACTTCGGACTTCTATGGCTGCCAAGGTAACGTACGGACTCGCAAATTTATATCACAAATTCATCAAAGACGACGAGAAAGCCGTCAATATCTGGGAGAGCCTTGTTCTACAAAGCTCATTCTCGGTATCAGATTGGTCCGTCATTTCGAGAATGGGCAGGTACGCAGTCACGTCGCTGGCCGGGTTCTACTCGCGCCAAGCACTGAAAGACGACTGTCGTGCTGGCCCATGGCTCAGCAAGATCAAGGCATTGAATGATCGGAGCGATAGGTGAGGCCGAGATCTACCTTGTCATAGTTTCTGAGGATGATTAACCTGGATATTTCAGGAAATCTTCATCGCCCGCGGATGGCTTGTCCAGTGTAAAAAGCGCACTGGCATTTTGGCATTCGCAGCACGGCGAGATCGAACGTAAGAGGCCACGATGGCGAGAAGTCCACCGCGCTACTTTGCTGACCATGACCAGGGGCACGCGAGTTATGTCGACCGGCGGTCAAAGCGGCCCTCACGATTCTGGAAGACAATGAAAGACCCAACGACCTTGTTGCGTTCACCTTTCTTTGTAAGGTGTTCAATGCGATCGGAGATGATATTAATATGTTGGCCATTTTTTCCTGCGTGCGCACATACAAGAACGAGTTTTCTACCATCTCTTCAGATTTCCCTCGCGAGCCTTCCGCAGCAGGTCTCGCAGCTGCTACTGACGCGGGGCAAGGGCGCACCGCAGCAGAGAATAACGGTTCCCGGGATGATGCGAACTCGCGATCCGTTGTGTCTGAGGAGCAAAGCAATGCCAACGTCACATCCAATGCTCCAATCATCTCACGGTTCAGGATGAAGGACTGGATTCACGACGATGACTTCCGACCGGCCACTTGCGATGGACCCTGCGGTCGTAGATTTTCGAATTACGATCATCTACGTATGTGCCGTCAGGACATGTCGGAGCGTTGCAGCGATTGCTTCGCTTTGCCTGACGGACAAGCTTGGGTAAGCCCGCTGTACCATGTGACCGGCAAATGCTCGCCACTGCACGACTTTTTCCAGTTCCCTCCCGTCACGACGCGATTCAGGTATGGCGAGATATTGGTGGATGGGAAAGCGATGGGCATCGGAGAATGGGTGGTCGGAATCCGGAAACTCTTTGATATCGAATGAAAGAGCAGACACGTCGACGAGCATGGGATGTTCGGAATGTGAAAGTGATCAATACATGGCGAGGAGCGTGAGTCGAAAGTCCCTTTAACCCCCTTTTTCGGTGTCTCACTTGTCATAGCCAGCCTGGTGGCACGAAATAATCCTCGCCCTCCTTTGCTCCTTTTCCTGCTCGAACTACCAAGAGCGAAGGCATTGCTGTAAGTTGAGCAGAATCTACTTCCATCTTCGTGGTTTCAGACCAGCGTACCGGATAAGGAGCTTGTAAGGCATATGCCTGTCGCTCCTGGCGATGGTCGCAAAAGGTCGGAATCCTCTTCGTTTCAATTGCTCATGCGTCGCCTCATCCATTTTGCCTTTGTCTCCGAGGTTGGTGCCATCTGAAGCCAGAACAGCAGGTCTAAGGGATTGTTCGTAAAGCAGAATCCCATCGTCCAATGTCGACGGAATGGTAAACACAGAGGACAGAACAGACACGTGCACGGAGGAGAACGAAATGCACAAAATAAGACATATACAATTGGACACATACATACATGGTTGGCTCGCGCGGGATTTTTCAAATGCAATGTAACATATCCTCCTTCAGACAACAACAACTACTGCAGCTGCGAGCCTGCCTTTCCATCAAACCACCATCAACAATATTTTGCCATCATTTGGCAAGATATTCTGTGCGCTTCGCGGGTCCGCCGTCTCGATGGATATCCTGGCCTTTGCAGGCCGTCGTTTCCTGTCGTCAGGTGTCATGCGTGAGCGTATCTGTATGATGGCTGACTGCGTGGCGCAAGCGCTTTCCTTCACTCTACCGGGGATTTGCCAAGCATGGAGATATTTTGTCCTGTTCTTCGTCTCCGAGCTCTTAATCTTGTCAAACATGCAAAATTTGATTTTGCACTTATTTGGAAGACTTCTTGGCCATGGTGTTCAGGGCGGAACCGTTGTGGAACCACTCGAGCTGGCTCTCGTTGAAGGTGTGGCTGAGCTTGACGTCGAAGGTCTTGTCGCCGTTGGCGGGGTGGACGCGCATAGTCAAGGGCTGGCCGACGGCGAGCTCGGTGCAGAGCAGGTCGATCTTGTCATCGGGCTGGAGCTTCTCGTAGTCGGCCGGGTCGGAGAAGGTCAAGGGCAACATACCCTGCTTCTTCAAGTTGGTCTCGTGGATACGGGCGAAGGAGCGGGTGATGATGGCGAGACCACCGAGGTGGCGAGGCTCGAGAGCGGCGTGCTCACGGGAAGAACCTTCACCGTAGTTCCAGTCACCGACGACGACCCATCGAATACCCTTCTTCTTGTAGTCACGGGCGGTGGCGGGGACAGCATCTAATCGAAGCGAAGGCGTCAGTGAAAATCCCTTCAGATCTCAAGCTCCTGGAAAGTGTAGAAACTTACCGTACTCGTTGGTGGTGAAGTTGCGGACCTTGTTGGCCTCACCGTTGGCGCTGTTGATGGCACCGATGAGCATGTTGTTGGAGATGTTGTCCAAGTGACCACGGTACTTCAACCACGGACCGGCCACTGTAGAATCACGTATCAGTAAAATGCTCACAAATCAATGCAACTCGAAAATAGCTTACTGGAGATGTGGTCGGTGGTGGTCTTGCCCTGGGCCTTGATCAGGATAGGAAGGTCAAGAGCGTCCTTGCCGTCCCAGGCGTTGAAGGGAGAAAGGATCTGGAGACGGTCGGAGGAGGGGGAGACGGCGACCTGGACGGAGGCACGGTCGGCCGGAGGGGCCTGGTAGGTGTCACGGCCTGGGTCGTATCCGCCAGTGGGCAGACCGTCACCAGTCGGGGGCTTGAGCTTGAAGTCCTTGCCGTCCTTGTCCTTGAGGGTGTCGGTGAGCGGGTTGAACTTGAGGTCACCAGCGATGATCATGGCGACGACGAGATCGGGCGAGGCGACGAAAGAGTGAGTGGCAGGGTTGGCGTCGTTACGTCCAGTGAAGTTACGGTTGTAGGAGGAGATGATGGAGTTGGCAGTGCCCTTCTTCACATCACGACGGTCCCATTGACCAATGCAAGGACCGCAAGCGTTGGCGAGAACCATACCACCGAAGTCCTCGAGGGTCTTCAGCTGGCCACTAAAGGAAACAAATGTCAGCTTCCTCACTCCTTCTTCTTATGCTTTTAGGAGGAATCACTTACTCGCGCTCGATAGTGGCACGGATCTGCTCGGAACCGGGAGTGACAGTGAAGAGAGACTTGGCCTTGATACCGTGGTCCAGAGCATCCTGGGCGATGGAGGCAGCACGGCTCATGTCCTCGTATGAGGAGTTGGTGCAAGAGCCGATGAGACCGACCTTGAGCTCCTCGGGCCACTTGTTGTCCTTGACAGCCTGGGCGAACTTGCTAATGGGAGTGGCAAGATCGGGGGTGAAGGGACCGTTGATGTGGGGCTCAAGCTCGTCGAGGTTGATCTCGATGAGCTGGTCGTAGTCGGCCTTCTCGTCCGAACGAAGCTCCTGGGCGTAGCTGCGGGCGAAGTCTCCGATCTCAGTACGCTTGGTGGCGGCGAGGTAGTCGTACATGCGGTCGTTGAAGGGGAAAAGCGAGGTGGTGGCACCGATTTCAGCACCCATGTTGCACTGCAAATTCGAGATTAGCGTTGCTCGGAATTCTGATTTCTGCGAACATTTTGAAGTTGAAAGCGAGACTTACGATAGTGGCCATACCAGTGCAGCTGATGCTGTCAACACCAGGACCGAAGTACTCGACAATGGCACCAGTACCACCCTTGACGGTGAGGATACCAGCGACCTTGAGGATGACATCTGCGATTTCAGTTAGCATTCCCATATCCAGATTCATGCGAATTTCACGACTTTATCGAAAGCTTACCCTTAGGAGTAGTCCAGCCACCGAGACGACCAGTCAGCTTGACACCGATGATCTTAGGGGCCTTGACCTCCCATGGGAGGTTGGCCATGACATCGACGGCGTCAGCACCACCGACACCGACGGCGACCATACCGAGACCACCAGCGTTGGGAGTGTGAGAGTCGGTACCGATCATCAGACCACCGGGGAAAGCGTAGTTCTCAATGACAATCTGGTGAATGATACCAGAGCCTGGCTTCCAGAAACCAATGTTGTACTTGGCGCAAGCGCTGCTCAAGAAGTCGTAGACCTCACGGTTGATGTCCTGGGCGCGAGCCAAATCCTTCTCACCACCGACCTGGGCCTCAATCAAGTGGTCACAGTGGACGGTGGAGGGTGTTGCAACAGAGGGCATGCCGGCGCTCATGAATTGCAGGATGGCCATCTGGGCGGTGGCATCCTGGCAAGCAACACGGTCGGGACGGAGCTTGAGGTAGCTCTTTCCACGCTCGATCTCTTGTCCGTGCGGGTCGTCGAGATGTGAGTAGAGAATCTTCTCGGCGTATGTGAGCGGGCGGTTAAGCCTTGATCGGACAATGCCGAGGTTCTCGTTCATCTTGGCGTAGTTGATGAAGTGACCCTTCTCCCAGTTGGTCATCTCGACCTTCTTGGTGAGGGCACTGTCATTGACAGTCGCGAATGATCGGCGGTTCAGCCCGGCCTGTGAAGAGCAGGAGCATGGTCAGCATGGATGAAGAAGGGGTTTTTCGAGTGAGTGGGATGTGAGGCAGGGGTGTCGCGAGACACAATGTGATGCCACAACGGCACCGAGGCCATTGGCAAGATGAAGCAATCGAGCTGTGAAATACTTGTCCGGGTCAAACATACGACTTGCCGAGCTGCCCTTCGTGCGGCGAGCATGTTGACGGTGAGGCGGCTGCTACTGCGCTCGTGATGAAAAGAAGGTCACGTCGAAACGGAAGAGTGGAGAGAGATAATACTCGCAGGTCCAGCAGAAGACCTGATGAAAGAGAGTATTTTCGAGGTGGTGGTGGTGGAGCAGGAGGACAAATGACGGATGAGGGAAATGATAATAATAAAGAGTCGAGAGGCACACGACGAGGCGGCGGTGGTGGTGCTTCTGCTGCCGCTCCGCAACAATAGTCAATAGTTCTTCACACAGTGACTACGGCTAGCAATAGCAAGCAGCAAGCAGCAGAGAGGGAGAGCAGTTCGGCCGGTTCCTGCGGGAATGGCAGCAGGGCCCAGCTAATGGCCGCGTTGTCAGCAACTTGGTTGGGCGGTGATTGGCTGCCCGGGCCAGACAGCGAGGGAACATGGCCGAGGTCTACATGTATCACGGGATTCTCCCACACGGTTTCTTTTTTCTCCCTCTCTGTTTTCCCTTGGTGTAGAATGGGCTAAGGGAAGCTGTCTGAGCCGGGCATAAGCCGAGATTCAGCGGCTGCACCTGATTCTTTTGAACAGCACCTCTTTTTCGCCTGGCCCGCCAAACTTTTATTGCAGCCATTGATAGGGTCATGAGAGTCCATCGCCAGCGGAGATTGATGCTCACGATTCATTGCCTACGATTCTAATGTATTTGCATCCCTCCATAGCGATCCTCCCAAATCATCATACAGTTACGAAGTTATAGTGGCCTCGATACAGTAGATAAGGCCGAGAGGAAAGAAACAATATGTTGCTCCAAATGCAGTTGCGCGTCATTCGGCTCCTCCCACGCTTGGCTTGCGCGGTGGTGTGTCTCGTGTCAAAGCTGGTTTTCCCGAGACTTGCCGCAGAAAAATGTCCAAGTGCAGGCCACGATCTCGTTCATCGCAGTTGGGTGTGTGAGGAGCGAAGAGCGAGTCTCATATGTACGATCGCTCTTGTCTACTGCCAATGCCAGACTACTAAACATCGCTGTCCCTTCTAGTCGATCGACATCATACGCACGAACGTTTTGGTATTGGCAAATATTACCTACGTTGTTTTCCATTGGTCTCAGTTGCGATCTGCTCTTTCACGTGCACGCTGGCGAACCCCGACACTGGAACAGTCTTGTTGTTGAATGTCTCCATAGCTTGGCAGCACATCTGATCTCCGCAGTATTTTCATTCTTACGTATTGAGAGACTGTAAACTCCAACTTGATAGACGTGAATGGTCGCAGTGTACTCAGGCGGATGTATCAACAAAAATCCCGCGACAATCCCGCTCTAGCGATGTCGGCAAGAGTACTGCGGCACTGGAAGCGAACTCGGTGTCGTCAGCGCGATGTCAGAAGGCACACCTGGGTACGAAATACTTCGCGAACAGATCATCTTACACTGCCGCACCTTCGCCAATTTTTCGGTAGATGAGTCGAACAAGTACAAGGGATGTAGTAAACGGTCAAAGTCTGCCCCAATTGTGTCTAAAATGTTGTTGCTGCGCGTGCATGTGGTCTCCAGACCACTTGCATATTTTCCTCGTTCGCTTACTGGGCAGGCGTGGTTTGGCGCCAAACTCTACTTCGACCCTCCACGACGAATTTTATATGCCGCGAGGCGAATGCTCTAGGAACACCAACGATACCTACGATCAATCAACACATTACTGTCGTATACTTCGTTCGCAACCGGCTGCATACTTTTACTCTTTCCAAGCAACATACCAAAGAGGCGATTTTCTGATGGCATGTGCCAGGGTTAGTTGACCAAGTATGTCTGTGATTTAAGTTATGAGGAGACTGTGAGCCCAACTCACTCTCCAGGGTTTCGCAGCCATGGAGAGGTTAGGGTTCATGTCCATATCTATGCATCTTGGGATCAATTCCGCGAGAAGGCATGAAGGGGACCGACGTTGCATTGCAGCACGAATTGGCGAGCTTGCCTTGCATGCTTTTCATCTATCATCAGACGAGAGGTAATGCCTGTTGCTGAAGACTTTGTAATGCTGTACTAGGTTGCTTGATCAATCTTAAAATTCGTTCACGTAGTAGAGCAAAAGATCTTGTATGTTAGCTCCGACGCTGCTGGCCAAACACATTGATCTTGATGGAATCGATCTTGAAGAGACACTGATGAGCTTAGGCAACGTGAAGCGTTATCTCAAAAAGGGCGACGAGGCCTACATGCCTAACATACTAAAGTAGGCACACGTCTCATCGATCCACCAGTGCAAACATCCTGCAAAAAGTCGCTACCCTATTCGGAGACTGCTCTCCGGCAGACTCCAGATGTTGTTGTTTCTAGTCTCCGCCCCGGACGGAATTCCATCCACCAACTGCACGTTATATTATTACTGTACTTCACACCACACACAGTCACCCAGCATTCGTCAATATAAGAGATTCCTTTTTTCCACGTTTGGAATGTGGCGCCCCAGATCCCCGCTCGAGGCTGGCTGATCTTCAATATTCTGCCCTGCAAGCAGCTTCCATTGGACACAGCTTTTGATGCTGACACAGGAGGAATCACGACGATTGCAACAACTGATCGAAGACCAATAGCCAGAGGTTACTTTGTAATCACGATTCATCACTTGTCATATCCCGGTCCGCCATCTTTTCGGGTAGCCATCTTTCCAGACAGCCCTGATTCGTACTCGTACTTGCCTGGGCAAGATCCTTCTCATCGGGAATAAAAAACAATCAATGGATATGGCCTGCTAGGCAAGGTACCCATGAACATGAGGCAATCGACTTGTCCATTTACATACACCCGGCAGTGACAAATATCTGCTTCCGCTCTTTGAAACTCCACAGAAGCACAGATGTGACTATTGCGTGCAAGCTTTCTTCCACGACTGCCTGAGAAATCACTTCTACGAAAGGCTTCGAGTTCCGCTTCACTGACAATGCCATTGAAACGTGACATCTTCGATTCTCATTGTTTGTTCAATCCCAGCATCCAGCTTGATACCACTACGTAGGGATCGACTGTTCATGGAAGCCACAGGACTGGAGGATGCGCCCACCCTTCCCAACTCAGAGCATCTATGTACGGCCTGCAAACCTGCAAAATGTTACAGACAGGTACTTTGAGGTCGAATTAGGGCATATAGCACCAAAGCCAGAGGATTCTCAGCTATTTCGAGTTAAGACTGATGTCGATCTCACATCCATCCGACCTCATGTCACTCCACAGATACATTGTAGTCGACGCCTCATTGTCTTCGCAGCACTCTCGAGCATTCTCGCAGGATTCGACAAGGATAAAGATGACCATGTGTCGTCCCCGCACGAGTGGTGCATCTAGCGGGATAGCCAGGGACTTGGTGGACTTCATGCAAGTCATCCAAAGAGAAACGATCGAACATATCTGGATTTGGACAAGCAGCATAGCACCTGTCTTAGGTATAAATACAAGCATGCGGACTTCGGATTGAGCTCGCCGTTGAATGACACTCTCACATCTTTCCAATCCCCATCATGAGGATTCACACAGCAGTGTGGCTTGCCTGTGGCGCGTCATTCGCGTTTGGCGATGTTTTCAACCTTCCAAAGATCTTCCAGCGGTCTCCTGGTGCCTTGTCATCAACTCTCAAGCCTACCACAGTTCGACCTAGAGCGTCTGTCTACAAAACACGTACGACCTCCGTCGGATACACGCGGACCTCCTCTCCAAGCTCATGCCTGTCCGTCACCATCACTGTGACCTCCACCAAAATACTTGCTCCGACAACAATCACATATCCTGTTAACAGCGCTGCAACTACAGTGTTGGGTGCCTATCTCACTTCGGCGCCTCAAATCGCACCAGAAACGTACTACCCCGACTCAGCCTTGCCGCCGATCAATATTACCTTGGCAACCACGACTTCTACAGTATTGGAAACTCCCACATTCCTTCTTCCAAGGGTCACAGTCACCGCGCCGACACCATCGGGCTTTGTCCCAATCAGAAGCTCCCTACCCGATGCTGCCTATAGAGAAGGGATAAACAAGCGGGACGCAGTAGCTGATGTAGTTGCACTGGCGCCGCGATGTACCTCGACCATCGTCAAGACATCAATCGTGACTGCCCCGAGGATCACCAAGACGGCAGTGACGACGCTTTCGGGTACGGAGTATGACTTCGACCAAACCACCTTCGACGGCGTCGGATTCAGCTCATTCCTCAAGACATATACCGGTCCCACGACGACGACTGTGACTGGACCATCCACCAGTACCACATTTCTTCAGACCGTATACGCAACCGTGACTCTCCCTACACAGACAATTACCCCCACGAAGACAGTTTATGCCGCCTGTGCTACCAACAATGTAGTCAACGTGTACCACAACTCGACCAACGGAACGGACTACAAGTTCCTCACGGTCGCCCCCAGCGGCGCCTCCGTCGGTCTCCCATTATTATTCGACGACTTCCCGACTCCCTACGATTGCTGCAACGCTGTAAATCAACTCGGAGGCGCCATCGCATACGCATGGGCGATATACCCAACGTTGGGCAAGCCAGTCTGCTTCGGCTACGGATCGCAGTGTGGCGAATTGGGATGGGAGGTGGCCGGTTTCGGTGATGTGCTCCTCGATGGCCCTCCCGCGTCCATAGGTAACGTCGGGTGTGGGAAAGTCACCAGTGTCGGCTATCGATATGTGGGTGCCGTTGAGTGAATAACGGTGGCACACATTCAGTGTCTGGCCAGCCTAAGGCGATTTGAGGATGTGCCGAGACTGAAAGCATGCCAGGACGAGAGCTGACCCGGGGTTATTTGAACAACCTTCAACTCGGAGTGAACACTCCAACTTCGTGTGCATTCAAACAATGTCACTCTTGGGTGAGGAGAAAGGTCCGCATTTCATAGAAGAGGCAATCACGTCATGTTTTCAATGGTGACCCGTTAAAAATGAGGTAAATTGTCTTCATAACTCCTGTCATGTCTTCAATCGTAGCATCTTCGCAAACCGACATAACACTCCGAGATCGTTCCCATGTTCCGAGATTTCAATGTTCCCAGGGTTCCAAGGTTTGCTACAATGCTAGGGTTGGCGTCCGTCAGAAGATGCCGCGAAATTTTGGAATTCTGCACTTCACCCGCTATATCCTTATCGCCGCGCTTATCGTGGGCTCCACATATTTTTTTCGCTTCCACTCGTGATGCGCTGAGATCGTCCCAAACTTCAACAACAAGCGGGCTTTTTTTTTTGTCTAGCATCGAGTGCTCACATTCGCGAGGGCATCAAAAGTTTCACGATCCACACAACTTAAGCACGCAAGACCCTGCCGCACGCGCAACAGCTTTTCCACCACCTCGAAGCCGTCCAACAACACAAACGAAAATGCCCGCAATCCGAGGCTCCGCCTCGGTCAAAAAGACCCGGCGACACACCCGCGACCTCGACCAAATCCACAGTGACATCAACGTGCCCAAGCATCTGGAAAAGTTCGTCGCGACCAAAGCCCGCGAAGAGCTGCCCGGCTTCGGGCAGTTCTACTGCACACCCTGCGCCAAATGGTTCGAGTCGGATCTGAATTTTGGCAAGCATGAAAAGGGCAAGCCGCACCGTCGCCGGGTGAAGCTTTTGCAGGAGGAGCCGTATAGTCAGAAGGAGGCGGAGGCTGCTGCGGGGTTGACGACGGATAATGGTGTTGTGGATAAGATGGGGAAGACAGTGGAGGTGGAGATGCAAGAGGAAGAGGAGGAGAAGGAGGAAGACGACACCGTGAAATGAGGTCGATGTGATATGAAGAGATGGGCGACTTATTGCCAGCCTACTCCTCGGGTTGTGTTCCTAAGTCTCACCTCGAATGATGCGCTCATTCCACGTTCTTCCAGCACCGACGAGAAGCACTCGTCGATCTCCAAATTCTTGGGTGTGTCGCTACGGTGTGTCGCTCGACCAGACAAATTGAGCATCACCTCCGAGACACGGGCCTGGCTCGCTCAACCATAAGAAAGGAAGCCTAAATTGGGTTCGGATCTCTGCTTCGGCACACCAGGCACTCAACACGTCGAGCCAAATGAACATGGCGATTGCCGTCACAGCGCACTCTCTTATTTTCTGAGAAATGCGCTTTTACCAGAGATGGCTCATTTCCGATCTACGATTGCGATCCTTTAGATTGGAAGAAAAGAATACAGCTGGGTTCTTGGGATGAGACTAGTGGTCAGAGAGGGAGAAGTCGAGCAGCTGAAGCCATTCGGGTGTCGAGAAAATGTTCGAAAGCGTGGAGAACAGATGAGTGTAAGATTGTGTATCAAGATTAGTGTCGGCTGTCGTGATCGGAGAAAAGATTTTATTAGACGATCACTTGCATTTCCATTCCACGTTCTCAATATTGAGCTACTTACAATCGCAGGCTCTCGAAGTGTGCTTGCTATACAATTCCCCAAATACCTCACCATATGGAGCACTAGGTAGAGATTCAACCTTGATGCGTCGTGAGAACGACTGTAAAAAAATTCTGAGGAACGATACTACGAGACTGCGATGACAATTACATGAGAAAATCAGTGGGTGAATTATGATATTCAATTGTATAAGTACATGAGGATCTTCACTCGGGATCGCCTTGTCGAATAAACCATCGGTGCGAATTGTAGAATCCACATGAAGATGGATATCTGAGATCAACCAGGGCGTGAAATAAATCGGGATCGACAAGAAGTCCAACCGAGCAATAAATCTCAGGGTCTCGTCGCCATGGCCTTGTTGTAATCCACGTACACCGACGGGAGGAATGCGACCAGTTTCGCAGGGTCTAGGCGGACTTGATTGTAACTCGATGCGTTCGGGAGCATCTGCAACAAGGCCTCAATGCGAGGCGGCAGAGGTGCTGGAGCCGATGATTGAGGGATGAACGTCTTGGTGGCGAAGCCAGAGTTGGAATTGCCGCCGATGCTGTTGCTCGCGGCGTGCGCGCTGGCTTTGTTGTTTTGGATGCGGATGCCCGCGGCGCCTTTCAGTGGGGACTCTGCGCGTAGGAATTTGCGCTGAGGAGCCTCGTTGTCAGAGTCCTCGAGCGGCCGTTTCGGACTGGCGACGTAGGGTCCATTCGGACCGAGGAGTATTTCGGGCGCTTCGATGGAGGTGGAGACTTCGGCATTGTTGTTGTTTGGTGGTGCGGATTGGACGATCGGCTGTGGGTGCATTGGACGAGGGAGCGCTTGTGTTGGGCTTATGATGAGTTGGATGTCGATGGCGTCGAAATCAGGTAAAGCGTAGCGATGGCTGAAATGGCTGATGTCGGGCTCCTCTGGGTAGAGCTCCCTCATGCGCTTCTCAACCTTGTGTATCTGAGCGAGGTCACCATACTTGCTTTCATGTTCATGCATGTAGCCCAATAGACGCCTGCTCTTCTGTCTCTTCTGCTCAAGAGCCATGTCAGGGGCATCTGCGATCTTCTTGACTGTTGACTCAAAAACAACGCGTGCATTGGTCAGATCGCCGCCCGCAATCAAATGCTTGATGTATTCCAGCACAAAAGTCTCGTCGCTAGGGAAAAGCTTCATGCCGCGCTCGAAGATCTTGATTGCCGAGGGATCGCGGTAGCAGTTCCATTCCATTAGAGCTGAAGCGATGTATACATCGCTGGACAGCATACCTCGCGGTCTAGAGTCAGAAAACACACCGCGGAAACCCTTGACAGTGTTGGAAGCAGCCTCCCCTTTCTTGGAAGGTTTTCCCTGGCCTTGGACTCGGCGGAAGGCTTGCATCTTCGCCACCCATACTGATGAGATGGTCCGCTTTAGTTTGTCCATTTGGACAGAAGATGCATGGCGCACAGCCTCCACTTGCACCTTCATTGCTGCTTCGTGGCCTGTGAGCTTCGTCCCATGGGCTGCGTCTTCTTCGTCCTGCTCCTGGATGGCATCCTCGTTGGGTGGCAGGCTTGCAAAATGATCTTGGATGTGAGCGATTAATCGCTTGTCCCGATCCTGCATTCTCGTTCGTAGTGCGTACAATGCTGTGTGCACACCTTCGAATGGAATATCCAGCTTTTCTCCGTTGCGGATGAGGACATCATCTGTGTTCCCAGTTTCCAAGGAGGACTCGACCCGATCAGCCTTCATGAGTGCTAAGAGGACCGATTCAGGGTTCGCCGAGATACCTCGATCCAGAAAGCCCTCGCCTTCGGATGTCATCTTCTCTCCTCCCTGAGCGAAGCACCATGTAGCTGCCTCGAACCAAATATCGGGGTAGAAACAGAGGAACATTGTCGCTTGTCGGTACGCGTAGAGCACACGTTTCTGATATGCTTCGTCTTCCGTGCCACGGAAGACCAACGGATCCTCGTTCTTTTCCCATCCTACCCATGCTCTCCACCTGTCCACTTGGTCGCCAAATTCATCTTCACCCGCACAGCCATGGATTGGAGGCAGACGCGGCATTGATGATCGATCGAGACCTTCACAAATTTGATCCAGCCTGGTCTTGGCTGTTCGAGCCTGCATGTAGTGCGGACTTTGCTCCGCAATATGCTTGCGGACCATTTGAGGGCCAACAGTCCTTTCGAATGACTCGTATTCTTTCCACATCTTGACGAATTCGGAGTGTGGGATTTTGAAGGCTCGTTGATAAGCCTTGCGCAAGACGTCGACCTTTTGGAGATCTTGCCATGATGTGCCACCAATAGTGCCAGGTCCATCTTTGAGGAAATCGATGTATTCGCGCCACAATGATCCAGAATCCGGGTCAATGCCCACATTATCGAGAGTTGCTTCGAAGGCGCCTGCAATCTGTCCGCGGTTCCTACCGTCGGTGTCATTCATTAGTGGTAAGGCGCGGCGCACATGATCAAGGTACAACTGCCATAAATGCACATTGGGAACCTTGGTCAGGCAGTCATTGAGAATAGCAACAATATTGTTGGTCTCGTCAAGCTCGCGCTCCATCTCAATATATTTGATCCACGTCGAAACCTGTGCAAACAAAAGGTCAGCGTCAGATATTTGTTTGTCATGCGCGTACCAATGAGATTCAGCCGCTAATCAGACGCTAGGAAAGGATAACAAAAGAAAGGATATGCATACAGCGTAGGGAAAGACTTTGAAGAATCGCTCATAAACATTGCGTGCAAAGTCATGCTGTCCCTTTTCACGATAATGATCGATCAGACTGGTCCAAGCAGTCGCATCACCTTTTGGATCATCCTTGATCCGATCTTCAAGCTGGCCGACCTTGTCATGCGGGAGTCTGGCAGGTAATGATGTGGGCGCCTGAGCTGGGGCAGTAATTGTGGAAGCTGCTGTGCTCAACGTCGGTGCTGTTGGTTGTAATGTTTGTGTGGTCGGCGGCAATGGCGTTGTTGGCTTACCCTGAGTTGGCACAGAAGATTGGAGAGAGGGAGTAGGGACAGGAGAAGCAGATGTAGACACAGGAACAGTGGTGGACCCGTTGATACTTTTGCTTGATGCAACAGTCTCTTGTGGTGCACTATGTAAGGAAATATCCTGAGCTCCCGCCAACGAAGTGACACCCAAATCTGTCCGACCGCTCGCTGCCTCATTCAACTGAGCTGAAGATGCCCCATTTTCATCGTCTCTTTCATCATCACTCTCATCCACAATGAAGCCTGCTTTGGTCTTGATTTTTGAAGGTTGTGTAGTTGTTTCGGGATTGACCAGAGTTTGCGCTACTTGAGGCGTCGCGGTCTCTGCCTGCTGGTCACGATCGCCTACATCGAAACTCGACGGGTCATAATCGCTCTCATCATCACGCGCATCCTCCTCGGGCACATCGCCGGGCTCCTCCGCGTTGTCGTAGTCATCGGGATCGTAGCTTTCATCGGCCGCATCGTAGGTAGGAGGATCAAGCGGGTCATACTCTTCTGCCATGTTGAGTTGCGTCGGGTTTTGTCAATGTGTTACAGTCAGCTTCCACCTGAAGCAGCTATGGTTTGTCGCAGCGCGACCGAAGGACGGTCCCGCGATCTATTGCCGGTGAAATCAAACTCGATGGCCGGAGCGTCAGTCCTGTAAGCGCGAGGTTGACTTTACAAAAGTTGTCATAAACGAATTCAAAAGTGTAGGCGGATGTAGTAAGAAGGCATGTGAGGATGATGATGCGAACCACAGTTTAAGGTTGCGCAGAATAAAATCAGGCGTTGCTCATGACGAAGCGCTGGATTTTGCTACGGGAGGCGGAAGGAGACTCCCGCAGAGTCGGCTCCGCGGGTGTTTCGCTCACCAAGAAACTTGCGTCACAGTAATGCTCGCGTGGCTTGTACTGAACATTCCGTCTGTGGACAGCTTTATTGTATGCTGCACGCAGCGCCGACCGGAACGAGTGACCAGGAACATATAAACAGCTCGAGCGAATATTTGGCTAGTTTGGCCTTGGGTAAAACCTTCAGCAGATTCACGTCTTCGGCTACACATCTCCGCCAACAAGTACCAAGAACACAGCGCTTTCCAACCACCCATTGGTTGGACAAGACATCTTCGAGAACAAGATGTCCTCACAGCGACGAAGTATGCGACTGCCGCCATTTTTCCGGCGTCTGTTCAAGTTCACTTCTATGGACTTTGAGACTGTATGTGTGAAATGACGTTGGAGAAAACACTTTAGCTGAGAGAGGTCACAGGCCGTTTGGGAGATGACCCATTTAATCATTGCTCCGAAGAAAGTATTCAGAAATATCTACTATCACGTAAGTTGACTATGCTGACTTTACAAGGATAGCAGACTGATTTGAAGCAGAAACGTAAGCTCCTCGCGAAAGCTGAAGTACTTGAATGAAGCCAACGTGAATTTCTAGAAACCAAGAACTCATATCATAGACCGGATCCGGCCTTCACATACCTCCTTTCATTGTTCTTCCTACTGACCGGACTGGCCTGGGGCCTTGCTTATGCAAATGGTGTTGGTCAGACCATCCGGATAGCTTTGGTCTTCGTCCTCGGCCACTTCCTCGGATTTTCTGTCCTGGTGGCTACGCTGATGTTCTTCCTGGTCGGTCGAGTGCTGGGCAAGCGAAAACAAGGGCTATTTGGGCCACCGAGTGGAGGTGAAGAAGGCCTTGAGTTTGGATATTGCTTCGATGTAAGGCATCACAGCGGATTTATTTTGTCGTGTGCAACGCTGACCATGGTTTCAGGTCTCCATTCGAGCATTCCTACCCGTATGGACTTTTCTCTACGTCCTGCAATTCTTGCTGTTGCCACTCATTGCGCAGGACTATTGGGTCTCAAACCTTTTCGGAAACACCATGTACCTGATGGCCTGGAGCTACTATTTCGTCATCACATTCCTCGGATATAATGGTAAGACACTGTTGTGCAAGAAATGTTTGCCACTCATTCTAATCGCCAAACAGCGCTTCCATACTTAAGTCGAACGGAAATCCTGCTTGCGCCTATACCGATACTTGTGGTCCTATGGCTGATCAGCCTATTCACGTTCGATTGCGCCACAAATCTGGCGCCAGTGCTATGGTGTGGTGTCAATCTGCGGAAGCCTGTCTGATCAACGATCAATTCACTCAACATGCTGTACCATTACATGTCAATATTATCTACATACATCGTACAGTGAGCATCCCGCTCATTTCAGCCTTTAATGGCGCTCGGAACTCTATAAAAATGCTTGTTGCTCTCGAGCAAAGAATCAAGCTCCAATGGGAACAAGAAAGAAGGGCCACGAATTCTAGATAACTTGACAAGCCACCTGCACAATTTGAAGTGATGCCTGGCGTCAAGGTCGTGGACCTGGCTGGCATCACACTCACATATACCGCTTCTCACTGACGATGTCGTAGGTCTGGATCTGATCGCCCACCTCGAATTCCTCCCACTTGTTGAAGCCCATACCGCACTCGCTGCCCTTCCGCATCTCCTCGACATCCTTCTTGACGTTCTTGAGCGAGGTGATAGTGCCTGTTGTAGAAAACATGTTAGCGAATTTGCGCCAGCGTATATCGCCCTTATGGAGATCGACTTACCATCGTAGATTTTCTCGCCGTTACGCAAGATGCGAACATAGCTGCCCTTCTTGATGGAGCCGTTTCGGATCTTGCATCCGGCGATTTTCTGGTACTTCCGGCCCTTGGTGTTGATACTGAAAGAAGCACCGATCTCGGCTTCGCCGGTGACCTTGTGGGTGATCAATGGTGGCAATGCAGCTTCTAGGACAGCCTTCACGTCGTCCAGGACTCTGTAGATGATGTTGTTTTCCAAGATTTTGACTCCTTTAGTTTCAGCGTCGCGCCGGATGTCGTTGCTGGTCGGCAAGTTGAAGGCGATGATATGGCCCTTTGAGGCTTCTGCCAGATCAACGTCCGACTCGTGAATTGCGCCAACGTCGGCATGCAGAATCTTTGGAGCGATCAGTGGATGAGATACTCCTAAAACATAGGCAGACACGGCTTCCACAGAACCCGACACGTCGGCTTTAATGATGAAAGGAATCAGCTGTTGACCTGATTGTTGTTCTTTGTTCTCGTCTTGTGTCTCGGTCTTTTGTGAAACGTCAACTTCAACTCCGGCTTGCTTGGCAGCGTTGGCGTTTCGGCGTGCTTCTTCCTTTGCCGCCTTATCTTTCGCATGTCTGATCTGTTGTTCTTGACGATTGGCGTTTATAACTTCGAGATCTTTCGCAATCTGCTCTCTGTCTTGTTTCTCGATTCTGAAGTCAACCACACTTGTCGCCTTCTGCTCGTTCGGGGCTTGTAAAACTTCGTCACCAGCAGCAGGTTGTTCGTTCCAACCATCTACCTCCACAGGCATTCCAGGTCCGACCTCTTCTAAAGATTCGCCCGCTTCGTTCTTGAGGGTGCGAGTACGAGCCCAGGTTTTGCCTGCAACGATAATATCGCCGACGCGCAAAGTACCACGGCGAATGAGAACAGTTGCCACTCGCCCGGACAATTTGGTGGAGCTTTCGATGACCCATCCTTCCACCTGTCCATCGACGGTCGCGCGATGATCAAGGATTTCGGATAATGTGACAATATTTTCTTCCAGAACGTCCATGCCTAAGCCAGTCTTTCCAGAGACAGGTACGACTTGCGTATCACCGCCGTAGTCTTCGATCTCTATCCCATGACGAGCAAGATCTTGCTTGCAGCGCTCGATGTCAGCCTCTTCTTTATCGATCTTGTTCACGGCGACGATTATTGGCACTTTGGCTGCCTGGGCATGTCTGATGGCTTCGATGGTTTGCGGCTTCACGCTATCGTCAGCTGCCACAACCAGAATGACGATATCGGTCACGTTGGCCCCACGCTGTCGCATGGCCAAGAACGCTTCGTGGCCCGGAGTATCCAGGAACGTGATGGTCTTGCCGCTGCTTGTCATGGGTACACTAAAAGCACCGATGTGCTGCGTAATGCCACCAGCCTCACCGGCAGCCACGGAGCTCTTGCGAATGTAGTCCAAGATGGTCGTCTTGCCGTGGTCGACATGTCCCATAATTGTCACCACAGGGGGGCGAGGCGGGAGATTTTCTCCCTCGGACGTAGGCAGCGCCTTCAAATCACGATCATCGTCTTCATGCACACCAGTCTCGAAGATTGGTTCGTAGTTGTACTCCAAGGCGATCATGCCACTGATTTCGGAATTGAAAATCTTGCCTGGGAAGATGTCCTCGTAGCCTAGTTCTTCCAACCTGTCGACGAATCGCTCGTATCGAACGCCCAACGCTTGAGATAGATTTTGCACACTGACAAATTCGGGTAGTCTCACGGTGAGCGTTTTAGCGGCAGCTCGTGCTTCACGTTCTGCCTGAGCGGCTGCTCGCTCGCTTGCCATTTGGGCTGCTCGCTCAGCTTGACGGGCCTGCTTGCGGGCACGCGCTTCTTCTCGGTCCGCGGCGCTTTCGTCATCTTCGTCCCTGAAAGAACGTGCACCTTTCCGATCAGAGCCCTTCGAAGCTTTCTGGAGTGCTACCGAATCATCCTCTTCGTCCAGTTCATATCTATCACGTCTGTCCGAGCGGCCTGCGCGCGAGGATTTGGCGTTGGAGAATTTTGAGCCCGCAGAGACAGCCTCATCCTCTTCTGCGTCACGCGCCCACCTGTCTCGACGGTTATCTTTGCGTGTCTTTCCGGATACGACACCATCATCCTCGTCTACATCGGTTGCCCACCTATCGCGGCGACCGCGCGGACGTTCCTCAGCGGAGGCGCGGTCATCCAATTTACCCATTGTGTGCTCGTAGGAAACACGTCTAGCGCGTGGCGGATCATCAGACCATGAGTCCCGAGGAGTCGGAGCCGATTCTTCTGAACTCCACTTGGGTCGAAACGCTTCGAACCTTGTGGTCTTTGCCCTGCGGTCTTCGCCTGCTTCGTCGTCTCGACCTTGGGCAAGCTGGCTTTCATTGCGCGACGCAGTTTGAGGATATGCAGGAGCTGGCCTTGGCTCCTCACGTCTTACTTGATCTCGCGGACAGTCTCTGGCTATGTGGCCAACCTGTCCACAACGCCCGCAGCGTTGAGACAAACTGTCGGTCTGTGCATACTTTGTCGCGTAGTTGTTATAAGTGTCTGTCGACGGCTGATAAACAGGTGGCGCTGATGGTCGACCGAGGACGTGCTTCCGAAAATTCTGCTCAATATGATCGTCGCGCTGCATATGTGGATCGGCGCGTGCAGGATCGTTACGTTGCGCTTCCGGTACATTGGCAGATTTCTGGCGAAGATGTTGCCATGTACTCGGTGGCGTATCTTCAGCAGCAGCTGGCTCGTCGAATCTCAGGTCTTCGTTCCGCACGAGGACTGTTCGATAAATACCGTCGCTGTCCTGATTGCCTTGCTGGGTTGGAGATCTCACATTGAAGGGCACAAAGGTAGTAGACCTGTTGCTCGGCTTTGCACCAATGCCAGGAGAGGCTACAGACGCGACTGGATCTGAAGGTATACCATTGCGGGTTGGCCGATTTGACTGTGATTCACCTTGGACTCTTGGAGCGACATAAGTGCTTCCCGAACCCCATCCCGATGTCTCCGGGCCACGAGAAAACCTGGCATCAGCACCTTGTGGAGGCTGCGAGAAGACTGGTGGTTTTCGGGTCCTTATTTCACTATCAGGAACTCTATGCTGGAGCATGGAATTGTCGGGCCTGTCAGACTTTAATGTGCCGCTCGAGGTCGGCCGGCCTCGGAATCGTGGGGGGACATTCGTGCTCTCGGACCCCCCTCTGGATGATTGTGGATTTTCGGAAGGGACGATGTCGTTCACTCGTTCAGGCTGCGAGACAGACGGCTTTCCATCGGAGTTTCGATCGCCTTCAGGGGTTATCTGCTGGGCCGAGGGAACTTCGAGTGACTTTGCGTCCAGTGTAGTTGAGGCTGTTGAATTTGTGGGGGTAGCTTGTGGGACCTTCGGCACTTGGTACGTGAATTCTGAATTTGATGGCTCAATCACTCGGGGTTCGTTTATTGACTGTAGGCCCGCTGGCGCATTCAAGCGCTGCTGAGGTACATTCCCGCTCTGCTTGAACGATGGCAATATTCGCTCGAGTGGCGCGTCTCCATAGACCACCTGCTTGGTCTCCGTGTGTCCTGAGCCCCAACCTGATGCCAGACCCATGCTTGACGAAGGTGCTATAGGTTGAGAAGCACCGGAGAAGCTTGGTCTGGCTACTTTCTGCACTGGTGGCGCCGCTTCCGCTGCAAAGGTCGACTTCGGGGTCGGCGTAACTTGAGAAGCGGTTCGTGATGACAGTACAGGATGACGGCCGCGATCTGTCCCTTTCTGCATAGTCCCGACTGTGTCCTGAGCAATTTCTCTGATTACCTGTTGCCCTCTACCCGTACTCGCTCGTCTCGCTTTCTCCTCGTCTTTCTCCCGCTGATCTGATGCTCGCACGATCGTTGCGTTTCGCATGGTTCGCTGTGCCTTCAGTAGGGCTGCCGCCGTCTGCGATACTCTCGCATCCTCTTCATCTTTCCGGCTCCGACCTGTCTTGCGTATTGGTAGACTGGCCACTGGCGAATTCGCTGCTCGCACGTCCGCCGCGCTTTGCCTGGTACGCCCTGCCTTCTGTAATGCACCCGCAACACTCGGTCTTCTCGCATTGTCGTCCCCTTTCTCGCGCTGACTGGTCTTCTCTATTGGTAAGCTTGCCCCTGGCGAGTTTGCTGTTCGTACGACCGCCGCGTTTGCCACGCTTCGCTTCACATTCTGTGCCACTGCTGCCTTTCTCGCCGCCTCCTCCTGCCTTCGAGCCTCCATGCGCATATGCTTCTCCCTCTGCTCGGCCGCGCTCAACGGTGAGTTCGGGTCGGGCGTCCATGCTTCTGAGCTGCTGGTCCGCTGGCTTGTCGGAGATCTTTGGAAACGAGTTCGAAGTAAAGGATTATTTGACCTGAGTGACAGAGTCCTAGGAATTATCGATGTCGAAACACGCCTCTTTGGGATATTGGGCAATAGGATGGATGCTGGATCGAGCCGACATGAACAAAAAATGCAGATGTTTTGAGCAGTAGATGCCTATAGTCTGTTCTTAGCGTTACTGTCATCAATCGTTGCACACTGCAAACTAACCTTGATGATGGAAGTTCGTTTCATGATGGCTTTTACAATCGTTCATCCGACGCAAGCCCATACCACGCGACCAGATTATGACCGCCGACAACGATGATCGTGCTTCATTGGAAGTTTGTAATTTATTCGACGTTTGCGGCCCTGAAGGGCAATAATTTACTCAGTACTACTCGGTCGCACGAGTACCAGCAGTTCATAGCACCATTATCTTTCCGCATTTGGTCATTAGCCGCGGAGGCACTAGACCCTTTTAGTCCGGGGCACATTCATGGAATCTATGACGGTTTTAGTCGAAGAACATGAATGATAGATATCATTGACACAACTCAGCCCGAAAGAGAGAACAGCAAGTATCAGACATCACACCATCAGACCAATAGACGAGCAAAATGTCACGCGTAGTGAGTGTTAATCGTCCACACTATCTTTGCGACTGCAGCTAACAATCTGCCACAGCAAATCGCCGCCAACTACACGCGCATCCTAGCACAGTGGCCAAAGGATGTGCTGAGACCAGAGACCAACTTCAGCAAGGTCCTGGAGAAGCGCGTGCAGACCCCACCAATTCCGTTCCGAGACGAGGAGAAGGAGATTAAAGCTGCACAACTACTCTTGGGGAACAGATTCAGCAATCAAACGAAGTTACCACAAAGCCTGCTACGGCCCTACAGCAATCCACAGCATTATGACGTTCTCAAGCGCGAACTAGAGGAGATGCCGAACCGGACATGGCTCCAAAATTTCCTCAAGAGACTTCAGAATATGGTCCGGTTTCAGTGAAGCGAGAAGCGATCATTCATGGATGAACTACCAGAGAGACTGTCTGCACTGCGGTCATTCCCAACTGCGATGCCACCCTCTTGTTTGAGACTCGAGCCACCTATTCCTAAGGCTCGGTAGAAAGCGCATGCACTGCCTGCAGCGCGACCCCGTCTATCATAGAAGAATGTCACTTGCCCTGCGGTTATCAAGGCGTCCTATGAGGCATCGCACATCCCATAGCGATGCGCAATCGCCCCGATGGACGCCTACGTGCTGCGTAAGGGGTTATAGGCGGATACTGGAGAATCCCTCTGCCAGCAACCCTCCTGGGCCAGCAGCTCCCAACAAAAAGAGGGCCTGGTCACCATTGGGTGTCTTAAGCTACAAGAGCACTCTCTCGCTCGACTTTGCTGCGATTTGTACGATGAATGGAGTGGGCACATGTACCAATAGCAAACATAAAAAGTGTTTGAATGATTGAAGTAAACTATGTTGCAATGCACTGAAATCGTGTCCGTGATCATTACCTGCAGAATGCACAATTAAAAAGAAGCATTTTCCATGCGACAGGCGTGTATCAATCCCTGCCATCCGAGGAACACGCCATAACGCCTATGCAGCCTCAAACCCAAAATACCCTTTCAAACGGTAGACTCTGGTCTCTCGTTCTCGGCGATAACCGCCGTACCCAGGCCGCGATCAGGAGATGATCGGACAAGAGCCTCCTGCCGTCGAGCACGCATGAAGTCTGATAACGCCCGGATGAGAATGAACCAGCCCACGATCATGAGAGTGTATGACAGCCAATCGGTAGTCGTCATGGCCGACAATGCGGCTGAGGTCGCGCTGGTGACTTCGCTCGGGTTGAAATCGTGAGAGTTTGGATCATCCGGTACTCCGTCCACAGGCGATCCGTTGCCAGGATCTGCTGGCGCAAGGCTTGCCGAATATCGCATTTGAAAGCCGTATTGCAGCAATGTGATGCCGAGACCAGCCCGGGAGCCATGCTTTGCAGCGTGTGTGGTGTGTAGAAGATATGTGAGTAGGAAGCCGATGATCTGGAATGACATAGAGATGAGAGCGTTCCAAATGAAGGAGAACATGGACCCAACCAAGAGGCCGTCCACAAATACGTCGTTTGGATCGCCAGTCATGTGATATGGCGATAGAACAGTCGTTTCCCAGTAAGGTGGTGTGGCATCAGCTGCAGCTTGCTCGTACGTCTGCAGGGAACAAATTAGTTTTCTATTTCAAAGTTGCGGTTGAGTGTCGCTGGACTTACCGGTGGCTTCTCCTCCAACTCTTCGCCGACGTGCGGCTTCGCAGCCAAATTTGCGAACACGCCATCATTTCCGTGACCGCTGCCCGCAGGCCGTCCGCTCGAAGACGCAGAAACGAAAGTAGGCAACGCAGTCACTGTACGCCTAGGTTGCTCGGGCCTTTCCATATCGCTCGATTGTGCCGCGTCGTTCGAGTCCGTCGGTGATGATATGTCGTTATTTCTTACAAGACGCTGTCGGTCTCTGGTGTCTTGGTCGGCCTCGTCATCGTCGGACGGCGCATCGAAGGCATCGTCTAAATCTCTCTCCTCCTCGCTTTGGCGGATATCATGTCTCGATGTGCGGCGTGAGGACGGATATGACCGAAATGAAGGCGGTGGCGAGTTAGGGATGGTCGTATGAGTATGCTGTATCGGGCTATTCTCGGATTCATCTGCGGCGACCTGGAGCACGAACGTATTAGAGTGACCATTCATGATAGCGGAAGGCGCGTGGACTGGGAGGCGGTGGGACGAAGGCTGTGATGTGATCTTACCCGCTCGTAGCGGCTCATGACTCCCTGTGTGGTGTCCAAGTTGAGCGCGAATATGGCAATATGCACTGCTGGTAGTAGAGAGTGTTGTGAAAGAAGTATCAAGATAAAGTACGAAAGTAGTCGTAGAAACAGAAGCGGTATAGTAGAACAGAGGAGATGAGGTGTGCACGTAGTCAGGGAGCGTGACCCAGGATGGGCTGCTCAGGTGTGTCGATGATGTGAGCCCATTCCACGATAACGGGGTTAAGCGCCACGCGGCTGGCCCAGCGTGTCACGTGGCCGTCACCTTAGCAATCGATAAATGACGAGCATCATGAAATTTCCATCGCATTCCAAGGTTGCACTATGCATGAATGACTCAATTTCATAATCGGATTTTCTCAGCTGTGTCTTAGATACAGACGTGATTGCTACGCAAAATGGATAGCGACGACGATGTTCCGTACGCAAAATCGCAAACGACCTTGCAGCATAACATCTTCTTACTCACGCGCCATGCAGCCAGTTGTCCGCTGACACCCTGAAACTGCTGCAAGAGTTTCGCGATGACCAGGATACACAAGCTAAACAATTTGAGAAGCTGAAAAGCGAAGCCGAGACCAATTTCGAGAACGGATCCGGAAAATTTAGTATGGACATGTTCGGCGAGGATTGGAATGCAAGTCAATTCTGGTATACGGACGAAACGGCACGAACGCTTGCAAAACAGCTCTTAAAGGATGTTACAGAGGACTCGGCGATCGCTGTTGTGTCTGCACCTAGTGTGTATGTTGCTATACGCAACATTTTGTCTGAGACACCTTTGCCGTTTAAGCTCAAGTTGCGCTTGCTGGAATTTGACCGACGGTTTGAGGTCTTCGGTACAGACTTTGTCTTTTACGACTTCGAGCAACCGCTCCGCCTGGCAAACGAGCTCCGCAGCGGTTTCGACCGCATTATCTGTGACCCGCCATTCTTGTCTGAGGATTGCCAGACTAAAGCAGCCATGACTGCTCGCTTCCTGGCGAAATCATGGTCGAAGGGAGGCGATCAGGATTTACGCTTCATCAGCTGCACTGGTGAACGTTGCGGCGAAATCATCCACAGGCTCTATTCTCAGCTCGGTGTTCGAACAACAACGTTTCTACCGAAGCACAGCAAAGGTTTGAGTAACGAGTTCTGCTGCTATTCTAATTTCGAATGTGAGGACTGGTCATTGCAATAGTCCTTTAATGGCGGGTTGCAATTTTGGAGTTTGGGCTTTGGACCTTATTACAGCTTTACGGACTAGAACATGAGATCGTCAGTGAGCTATTTCAGTATATCGCCTTCTCGGCTTTATCACGCTACGAGCCAAAGAGGAACTGCTCGCGGCAGAGACAGCATCTTAAGAGCGCTCTCGAAATTAAACAGAATAACTTCACGACCTGCCCCGCCTTGATCATCACTGAGAGACCGAATGCATGACCGTAGGCATTTACGATTCCTATAGGTAAAGTCGTGATGGAATGGCCTTTATTTTTCAGCCAGTTGGGTTCCCGGTATCAGAGCTCGAGTGCCTTCCTGCTACGTCGGCGACCTGTGGACTCCGCGAATCGATAGAGATGCGATAATGTTCTCACGATGCTGGCCCATAGCTTGTCACTGCGATTCTCTCGAGTATCGACCAACTGATCTTGCTCAGGGAGATCTTTGGGCTATGGCAGCATGCAATCGACATGTGCGTGTCCGGAACACTCGGCATGTGCCGAATTCGCATGAGCGCGCCCTTTGATGTATTGGGTACAACTTCGGAAGGACGCTCTCAATCCCGTCGTCTTTTGCCTGATGCTGGTCGGATTGAGGCGCTACAACATGTCCTTTTGCCTCGTCCGCTGGTAATTCTGGCTCCGTCTGAAGCATGGGAGTAGATGATTGATTATTGAAAAGTCGGCAAAATCCTTGAGGGGCTGCTGGCCATGTCACGTTACAACCAGGAGACACAATTGTGCCATACGGACATCTCCTCGATTTGGGGATGCGATGTGTAGATGTATCCGTGCACGCGTATAATTCGCAACAACCACTTTTATGATGACACTGAAATAGTCCATCGTACTTCCGAAGCTCATTTGATTTAAGTAAACATCGCCTATTTAGATGAGCTACACGCGATTGTGTGCGATGTGTGCAGCACGAGTGGTAAGATGGGCATCGTAAACGAATACATTCCCAATGAACGCGGCACCGGCGTCGTCAATCGCGTGAGTCACGGTCAGAGTCATGCCGATCTCAGAGGTATACACATCAGTTTTCGATAACCGCATCTCGACATGATTCCGACTTGTTCAAGATTTCGCAGCCGAGCGAATAATTTTGTCGAACCACGATTGGCATCACATCTCGCAGTATGGCCACAACGACACGCACTGGACAAGCTTTCGAGCGCACAGCGTTCGATGCCGTGATCAAGCGAAGATTGTTCTTCACGGAAGCCTTCGAGGTCTATCGTAATGCAAGCAACTTCACCGGTGACAACCGCGGTCTGTACGACTATGGTCCACCAGGCTGTGCTCTACAGGCAAACATCGTCGATCTCTGGCGCAAACACTTCGTGCTAGAGGAGAACATGCCCGAGGTCGACTGTACTGTCCTTACGCCCGAGGACGTCTTCAAGACCAGTGGCCACGTCGATCGATTCGAAGATTGGATGTGCCGCGATGTAGTGAAGGGCGATCACATTCGAGCAGACCACCTCATTGAAGCGGTGCTGCAGAAACGATTGAGCAATCATGCCGCCACGCAGCCTGCCGATTCGAGGGACTACGATACAAAGAAAGATACTAGCAAGGTGTTGAGCGATGCGACAGTGGTCGAATACGAAGAGATCCTCGCAAAGATCGACAACTACGATGGTCCAGAAATGGGCACATTGATTGAGAAGCTCGACATCAGACATCCTGACACCAACAACAAGGTCTCTCCACCCGTGCCCTTCAACCTCATGTTCAAGTCTAGCATCGGCCCAAGCGCCGCCGCGCCAGTTTACCTTCGCCCTGAGACAGCACAAGGTCAATTCCTGAATTTCCGCAAATTGCTCGAGTACAACAACAACTCAATGCCCTTTGCATCTGCTTCGATCGGCAAGTCATATCGGAATGAGATCTCTCCGCGATCTGGTCTCCTACGAGTCCGGGAATTCCTGATGGCTGAGATCGAGCACTATGTCGATCCCGAAGGCGCGAAACGACACGGGCGCTTCGATGAAGTATCTCATGTCAGGCTCCCGCTACTCGATCGCGAAACTCAGCTTTCCGGCAACACCAAGGTTCAGGTACGGTCCATTGGCGAAGCAGTTAAAGAGAGGATCGTAGACAACGAGACATTGGGTTACTTCCTAGCTCGCATTCATTCTTTCCTGCTCAGCATCGGTGTCGACGAGACGAAGCTTCGCTTCCGCCAACATTTGCCGAACGAAATGGCCCATTATGCCTGTGATTGCTGGGATGCAGAACTTCTGACCAGCTATAGTTGGATAGAGTGCGTCGGCTGCGCCGATCGAAGTGCCTACGACCTGACAGTCCATATGCGCCGCACCGAGGAGAAGCTGCTGGTGCGAGAGCCGCTCGCAGAGCCCAAGATCGTGACCGAATGGCAAGCCAAGTTTGACAAAAAGGCGCTTGGTAAGACATTTCGATCGGCAGCGAAAGCCGTCGAGGAAGCGATAAATTCGAAGGATCAACCAGCCCTTGCCGTGTTGGCCTCGACGCTCGTAGATGCCGAACGAATCACTATCACCTTACCTAGCCGAGAAGACGTGGTGTTGGACCGTGCAATCGTGAAAATCGAGCAGAGCACTCGCGTCGAGAACGTCCGGGAGTATGTCCCAAATGTAATCGAACCTTCTTTCGGCATCGGTCGAATCCTCTACAGTCTACTGGAACACGTATACTGGCACCGGCCCGACGACGTAGCCCGCGCGGTAAGTTCCTCCCACCATCACCTATCATTGATCACTCGTTTGATGTACCCCAAGAAAACCGAAATCTCCCTCAATTCCATGGTTTTCTTTCCTTTCCACTAAGATCTCTTCCAGGTCCTCTCCCTGCCACTATCAGTCGCTCCCACCAAAGTCCTGATCGTCCCGCTATCCACGCAACTCGACTTCGCGCCCATCGTGCGTCATCTCTCACAGTCCCTCCGCAAACTCGGCATCCCGACCCGCGTGGACGACTCGAGCGCGGAACGACGAACTGGGCACACCCTTGGGCATCACGGTGGATTTCGAGACGGTCAGGGACGGCTCCGTGACGCTGCGCGAGCGCGACAGCACCCGGCAGGTCCGCGGCGGTCAGGAGGCTGTTGTGGCCGCGGTGAAGAATCTCGTCGGGGGTGTGGAGACGTGGGAGGAGGTCTGTGGTAGACTTCCACGTTTTGCGGCAAAGGAGTGAGAAGAGTTGAGTGACAGGTAGAGGAGAATGCTCTGCCTCGCTTTCCCCCGCCCAATGGAATGTGGATATATGTATGTGATCGGCGGTGCTTTCGATTTCAGAAAGATCTCTTTTTCACAGATCTCCCTGATACCCCGTCTTGACATATAGACATTCGTATACAGCATTTACTGCACGACATGTTCATGGTCCTTGGAAACTTCCGAATTGGTGCCAGAAGACAGAATCGGATAGAGCATGGGACAGATGACAAGGCAGGACACGGGGGTGGTTCCGACCAAGACGTCACTACACGATGAGAGGCAGAAGTTCATGATATAAGGATGAATTGTTTTTTCTTATTTCGACAAAATACAGAGGTTTTCTTTCCGAGAGGCGGGCCAGGACATGATGCAAAGGGAGTCCAAAAATAAATCCTTTGCAACAAACAACATCAAAAAAGCAAGAATCAAATCGAACAAACAAAGAGGGGGATCGAGAAGTCTATTTCCTCAGATCCCCTTCTTTTCATGAATCTTCGTACGCTTCTCTCCGGGGGAGAGAGGTAATTGGCCATGATGGGGGGGTAAGTAGTAGTGGTGGTAGTGGTTGATAAGTATTCTTCGACAAGTGAGCGGAGCGAAGAAGGGTGGTGGTGATGGTATGGAGGTAGTTTCGATTTACCATCCATGGGTAGAAGTGAAGAAGAAGCGGAACAATGTGTCAACAAAATAACAAAAAACACCATCCCAATGCTTTGCCCTTATTTTCCCAGTCTAGTAAGAGAACATGACACGGCGGACCAACCGCGCACCAGCGGCCGCAGCAGCCGCGGCGGCGGCGGCATCATCGCCGGAGGAAGATCCAGAAGTGTCGGTGCTGGCAGCGCCTGATGCACTACCAGTGTTGGTAGCCATGTCGTTGGTCGCATTACCAGTGCCGGTTTGAAGGCCTGTCGTATCGTTGTTGTTCCAGTTGACAGGCTGTGTGAGGATCAACTTGCCGAAAGCAATGGGCTTCATTTTTCCAGTCAGCTGGTTGCCGAGGAGAGCGGGCGCGATGACCAGAGCCATGAAGAAGACAAAGAGCGAGAAGTATAGGATGGCATAACGAGTGACACGACGCTTTCGAAGCTTGGTCTGCTTGAGCGAGTAGATCGGAGGGCGAATTTGACGGCTGAGAAGGATGAAGTTAGCATGAGATCATTGATGTGGTTCAAAGGAGGGAGCAAACATACCTTGGTCGGAGCCAGAACAGCATAACCGAGTGGAACTTGTCAATGTACGGCACCAACAGCGCAGGCAACAGCAAGAAGAGAATGATGTGACCAAGCCAGAAATCGGCGGCGAAGAAACCCATCTCGGTGATCTTACAGAGGAATTCACGACCAGGCTGTGACAGGGTGTGCCAGCCGAGAGCGTACCATTTGCCAGTCCACCAGGCTATGTTGGAAGTATCGGCACGGAACTCACGAGACAGAGCCAAGGCGATGATGAGCTTGAAAATGAATCGCTGAATGGCAACGACGGCGATCATACCCAAGACGGTCTTGGGGAAACTCCAGCCCTCCAAGAAGTACATGGCTTCGAAGAAAGCGAGGAGCATGACCACAGCGATACCGTGAGCAATAGCGGCGAGGACAGCACCGAACTTCTTGCAGCACATGCTGAAGAGAGGACCCATACAACAAGCCATACCGAAGAATCCAATGGCGACACCGGCGTTGATGGCGATCGGTCCGAAAGCAATAGCGGCAAGGCGGATGAGAGACGCGGTCGGACGAATGTCAATGCCTGGGTTGTGCTCCTCGTCGACACCGGTGCCCGAATTGATGTAGATGAATGGAATGACGGTGACGGCGGCATAGACAAGCGGACCGATAATCTCGCTGAAGAAGACGTTGCTGAAGCGAGCTCGGGGAGTGTCTCCAGAGAGCTTGGCTGAAGGCTCACCAAGGGCCTTGCGCTTGAAACCAGTGAGACGAGTACGGGACAGGCGGACGAAACCGATCCAAGAAGCCGAGTGCGCCTTGGTGTTGCCGCGAGACAACCAGCGGAGGAATTCACGGTAGTCGATAAAGAAGTCTGACCAGGCGAATTGATGCGGGTTGAACACGAAGGGCGAGATGGTCAAGGCGAGGGTAGTGACCCAGAACCAAAGCAGCCAGTAGCCCCAAACCGTGAGTGTTCCAAAGAGCAACATCAGCATGGCACGAGCACCCAGGTAGATGGACGGGGCGGCGAAACGCGAGTAGAGGACACCGAACGGCATGCGCGCAGTGGCGAAACCACGGCCAGTACCAATGTATCGAGCACCACCGAAGGCGATATCCTGCTGGACGGAGTAGGCGTAGATCTGAGTGACGAACACTTCGAAAAGAGGAGAGAGCGAGGAAAAGTGCTTTGCCAAACGAGTCGCCGCACGCCAGAAACCACGTTCAGTCAATTCTTGCACCGTAAGCGGGACGAAGGAGATGAAGAACACGATGAAGATGGAGACGATGCAACGCTGGACCCAGTCGGTGATCGGAATGATATTCGCGCAACCGGTAGGCATCCACGGGTCAGTCCATGGCACGTTGTGGTTGTACTTGCAGGTGATGGTCTCGTGGCGGAGAGCACCGAGGTTGACCAAGCACCACATGAAGAGCTGCACCGACAACATGACGAACAAGTTGTTGATGTGGAAACCCGGGTGAGCGTAGTAGAAAGACAAGAAGCGGTCGAGAGGCAGCTGAGTTCCGAGATAGTAGTACTCGCGAGACAACATCTGCTCACCCATACCAGTACCGATCTTGGTGGTGAAGTTGAGAATAGAGCCGAAACCCAAATCACGACCCTTACCACACTGGTAGTACTCGCAGTGCTTGATGCGACCACCACGGAGGAGAGCAGTCATACCAGCATAAATATCTTCGTTCAGGTGCAGACCCTTTTGAGCCTTGGACACACCACCACGGGTACACATGAAAGTTGCGTTGAGGAAATCCGGGTGACCGTAGTGAAGCTTGCCACCAATTTGAGCCAGAGTACGAGCGAAGAGGGTACCGAATGTCTGTTCCTTTCCGGCAGCGACGTCACCAAGGATACCAATGTTCTCAGAGAAAATGTATTCACGGGCTCCGAGAATGGCGACAGGGTTGAACTTCGTGGGAGGCAGACCAGGAGTGTATGGCGAGACGTTGTCGGTGGTCATCTCCTCAAACTCGGCGAGGACCGAACGGATCTTCAAGCACTCCTCGAGGTAGTTGTCCTGGTTGGCGTCGATGAGCTGGATGTACTCTCCACGGTAGAAGATGATGCAATGGTTCTGGTTGTCAGACTTTCCGTCACCGAGAATTGGATTACCAGAGAGCAGGATGCGGAACTTGGGACGACGAGCGCCGTTCTCCATGATTTCAGAGTGACCATCAATGAGAGCAGAGTAGATTCTGGGGTCCTCGCCATCGGCCGCTGGGGGCTCCTCGTCGAGGTAAGCAATCTGGAGGTCGGGGTAGGCACGGAGCAAGAACTCGGCGTTCTCGCGCTCTTCCTTGGAGAACTTGGCGTAACGTTGCATGGAGACACAGATCTTGAACTTGCGACGGGCCATGCGCTCCAATTCACGCTCGAGCTTGTCGGAGTTGCCACCGAACATCTGGACGACTTCAGGGTTCTCGACACGGTAGAGAAGCTTGATGGCTCGGCTGTAGTTCATGAAACCAGAGATGGTACGGTAGAGAGTCTGAGAGCGAAGCGAAGCCCAAATTCGAGTTCGGAGAGTGTACTCAGGAGCGGCGGACTTGAAACCAATGCAGTAGAACGGCAGATCATCGATCTTGCTCTTCTGGGTATCCTTCTCGTTCTTCTCATAGTCGCCATTAAATTGCGAAGTCTCATCAGCCAAAATCTTGGTGTCCTTAACAAAGCAGTCCCATTCGTGGGGGTGGAGCTGCTTGAGATATTCCAGCTGGGTGACACGCGAGTATGGCTCATCTTCACGAATGATCTCACGGAGTGAGAGCAGAATCTTTTCGCTGTAGTGAGGAATCATGACGGTGAAAGTCGGCATGTTGTCAACGGGCAGAGGCTCCGGAATGGGAGTCGACAAGGACTGGGCGAAGAAAGAGATACGACGCTCAGCCTCGGACATGGCTGGGAAAAACTCGGTCTTGAAAGAGTGGTCTTCCTGGGACACGAAGAAGGTAGGTGCACGGAGTGTACGCTTGCCTTCTTGCTCAGACGGGACCTGATGGTAGAGCAACTTCTGAACGTGGTCGATGGCGAGCAAGTGCTCGCGGTACATGGAGATGACAATGGCGTTCCAGATCTGAGAGATGAGAACCTTTGGCTTGTACTTGATCTCCATGTCGGTGGTTGCCAAGATCTTCGAGTAGACACGCTTTGGCAGACGCGAGAAGATGTTTCGCCACGGGGTCCAGATAGACACACCCAAGTAGAACGAGCGAGCCACGGAGAAAACGGTGTTCCAGATGACGTACCAGAGATAGGTATCCAAGAAGAACAGGACCAAATCGGTAAAGTACATGAGGATCAAGAGCACTGTCGGCTGTTGGAAACAGAGAACGTTTCCGATCAAGGCATCTCCGAGACAGCTGTTGAGCTTCATGGTCGACAAAATTCGGATAGGATCACGAATGGAAAGTGTCAAGAAGAAGTATGACTCTGACAACTTGGCAGCGAAGACAAGAGTCCAGAGACCGTAGGACATCCACATGTCGTTGCCAGTGAGGCGAGGGAAGCTTGCAGTGAATGTCTGACTAGCAACATACTGGCGGCGCTTGCCATTGAGGTAGCTTCCGAAAAGACCACCAAGCGGCATGATTGCGAAGAAGAAGACGGTGGCGAGTGCGACGAGGAACTGAATCACACCGAGAATCAGTCCGATCTGACCTTGGCCACCCTTGACTCCAAAGATGTAGACAGAGGGACCGAGGTTGACGGCGAAACATCCGAGGAGCGCAAAGAGGCGCTTGGTGAGATGTTGAGCACCAGCCCATTTACGCGGGACGTAAAGCCACTCAGCGAGAGTTGCGAGGATTTGGATGATACAAGCGACGGTTCCACCAAGAGCGACAGCAGAGAAACTTGCGGCGGTCTCGGGTGAGTTGTTGAGCTGTTGCTGGTAGTTGACAGTGTAGAGCGTGGGAGAGTTGAAGGCAGTGTAGAACCAGTATGTGCACACGTGGATGATCCAGATACGGTTGAAGTTGGTGATCATGTGGAACCATGAACGGGTCTCAAGGTAAGTCTTGAAGAATGCCTTCTTCCAGACAACGTCCTTCAAGCGCTCGTATCGCTCAGCCGGAGGCAGATCGACCAAGCGGGTCTTGTCCTCGAAGCAAATCAACTCGATACCCTCTGGGTACCAGAAGAGCTGGTTCATGTCATCATATCCGATGATCTTGTTGTGATCACGCTCCTTACGAACGTACTTGCCCTCGGAGATTTCATAACCTTGGTCTCTGCAGTAAGTGTACAGCGGTGTGATGCAGTTGTTCAGATAAGTAAATTCTTCGACAGGCTCCACGCGGTTTTGGCATGCAGGGGAGTGGTAGTAGTCATCGGCACACTTGAACAGAAAGCACATGACTTCAGGCATGAAACGGACCTGGTTGGCCTCACCCCAGCAGAGCAAGTAAAGCGCAATTTGTCGAACTCGATCATGTTGGGACATGCGGTTCATGCGGGTTTTCCACCGGTACTCTGCAGCCTCCAAGCTGTTGTCGCCTTCAAGGCTCTCGAGGGTGGCCTCCTCGTTTTGAGGATTGGCATCTGCCTTCTTCTTGGCAGCCTTTCGGGCCTTGCGAGTCGCACGGTTGGCCTTGCCGAGCTTCATGTTGGCGAATCCAACAGCGTCATCTAGATCGAGATGGGCGGCAAAGTACCATCTTCTGTAGTTGGCGTTCTCGCCGCCAATGTAATCAGCGTGGAGAGAAAGAAGGGCCTGGTTCGGCGACATGCGAGACGCACGCGAGTCGAGCAATGTCATGAGGTGGTCGAACATGTTACGCATGCTGTCACGCTGGAAACCAAACTTGGCAGTCAAGTCGAGGAAGATGTCCTCAATCTCCTCTTTCGACAGAGGAATCTGGGCCTCTGAAGTCCATGCTGGGTATGGTTCTCTAGACCGCTGACCAGCTGGGAGAGCGTTGGTGTAGTCCATGCCGTAAACTGGCGTTGACGCACCCGAAGACCGGTTGCCACCGTATGAGACTTGTGATGACGGCGGACGGTATCCGCGACCTTGGCCTTCGCCGTATGAATTGTATCGCTCATCGCCACGGCCGTAGTAGTCCATCTCGGCAGCGCGAGCCATGTCAGACCTCATAGTAAAGTCACTGAACGTCTCGGATTCCTCCTCAGAGTCACCGCGGCGACCACTCTTGCGTTGACCATTGCCACGGGGCTGTTGCTGGCCAGCAGCGGCACCCTGGTCGTAGTATTGATCATTGTAGTACTCGTCCTGGTATTGTCCTTGGTTTTGATGGCCGGCGTCGTAGTAGCCATCTTGTTGGTAGCCTTCGTGGCCAGCTTGGTAGTATCCACTCTCGTCATAGTAGCCATCTTGTTGACCATGGCCGTGGCCGTAGCCCTGTTGGTCGTAATAGGCCTGGTTGTCATCGTGGTAGTATCCATCGTTACCACCTTGCTGTTGGTGACCTTGCTGGCCTTGACCGTGGCTGTAGCCATCGTCATAGCCACCTTGATGTTGGTGCGCCATGATGAAGGGTGCGGCGATTAAGTATTACTGTCGATGAATGTCAGCTTCGTCGCATCTCGAGATGACGGTGCCAGTGATATGAAGGACAGTGAGATATGTCTTCCACAAATTGAGGGCGGCCAAAGTTTGGAAGAAGTGGATGACCTACCGATCAGGACTTAAATCATGAGAAGCAGTATTACGCGACCGGAGATGATCGGTGTCGAGGCAGGTGATATGTCGGAACTGTCCAGCTCACGCGGTCGAACGAGTGGATGGCAGAGTCGAGAAGCGAATGTGTGTTTTGACAGGACGATGCACACCCGTTGAAAAGAAGAGGCAGGTGCAGTGAGCACAGCGGGCTTGCCCAAAGGTGTCGGATGCAACAGCTGCGCGAGCGGTTGGATTGTCGCTGCCGAATGCGAATGGGATAATGCCCAGGAAAAGGCGGAGCGAACGGTCGTCGAATGCGACGATGGGAATTGGTGTTTTGATATTATCCGAAATGGATCAGGAGGGTGCTGGAGACAGCAGTGAGAGAACGAACGAAAGCAACAACAGTAGTGAGGTGAAAGGGAATACAATCAAGGAAAATGTTGGCAGACGTGTGTTTGTTGCTGGGGAGAACGCGCGGCGGCGTTAATGCATCTCGGGGGGAGGCGAGGCAATTGGACTGAACTACACACCTGCGCGCACACTACAACCGGCGGCTTTCTTTGCTGGGTGAGATTGGTAGGGTTCTGTCAGGGAGAGGGGACACTGCCGGAAGCCTTTTCTTTTCTTTGCCGTTCGCTGCGGGCCACCACTTCTTCTCTCTGTGGGTAGGTGTGTGTGTGAGTGTGTGTGTGAGGAGTGTGAGTGGTAGGTTCGTATGGTGTGGGCGCCAACGAAAAGCGACAATCAGTACTACTCTAGGCGAGAGGCCGGAACAGAGACAGGTGAAGACAGATAGACAAACGGGGCAGAGAGATACCAGCACGATCCAGCAGCCAGATGCAGCACGCGAAATGCCATAGTGCACAACAGTAAATAATAACAATATAGCGGGCCCGCCTGGGAATAGAAAGGTCCTCCTGTGGTAAGATTGGAGAGTCTACGGACCAGCCGGACACCTGGGCAGGTAGGCAAGGCGGGAAATCCGTGAGACCTCCTGAGCGCCGGCCCACTTGATTGGCTGGCCTGGTCCGGGATCTGTGGCTGCGGTGACAACGCTTGGATGGTCTCCCGCGCCACGCTATTCCCAGAAAATCCTCCTTTTTCTCCCTTCCAAACAAATGCATACACTACGGGTTTTTAGGTACTCCCAGGTAGGGAACGTGTTGAAACCGCGGATTCGGCCCATTGATCGCCGCCGCACGGTAAGCAGAGGCGACGTCCACATCATCATCACCTGTTGCAATAGGCCCTACTGCCCTGTGGTCTGTATTCAGATGGGAAGAGATTTCTTCACGAGTGCCCTCCAGATGCCAGAATCCCGTGGGCTTTCCCTTCTTTGTGTCAGCGGATGTGCATCCGGATCGCGGAACGCTGTGGAGCAGAGCGGCCGTGTCCTACAGACCGTCTTATCACGGATATCACTACCTGTCATTCAAGATTTGGTAAGAAGGATGCACAGATTAGGTGAAGAGGGAACATCCCATGGCGGGGACGATCGTCATAGTCTGACACTCGTCAACGGTACCGTGGTCATCATCAGATGGAAATATAAAGAAGCCTCCCCGTTATCGTGCCCGTTGGAAAGGCTAGAAGTATGATCAGTGCTCCCATGGCCTTGAAACACCTAAGAAGATCGCAGACCTGACAAATTCTCATATCGAGTCCCACCGTTGAGAAATTCACCGGAACTTCACAATGATGACCATTCCAACCAGAGAACGGATTGTGGCCATCATGTCCTCTCCAAATACTGATCGGTCCCGCAGTGCGATGCAAAAGTGGCACTTGTCACCCTCTGCCTGCCACACGTGGTTCACAACCCCAGAGCAGCAGATAATCATCTTCATCGTCGCCACAATTACTCCATTCTCCCGCTGATGATGATGACACTGATGACAGACACTACAATCGGCCGGATGGGTGGTGGTGAATCTATCTGTTCACGCCTAGCCCCAACGCGCCAGAGACAAGCTATCTAAACCAAACTCTAACCCATGCGTCCCCCTGAGATATAGATTTCGGCCTGTCCAACGGTTTTCGGACCTATCAACATCCGCAGAGTCCATTTTTCGCCTGGCCAGACAGGCTGAGCGCGGTGAAAGCGGCGATTTCAGCTGACCGTGGGCAGCAGCGCCGCATGTCGGGACATGGACGGTGACGAAGTGGCGAGGATTAATTCCGATTCGCAAAACTGCCGGACTGTTCCACCCTGTCGTGTTACGGTCTCAATTTTCATTAGCCTGGCCACAGAATATGCCGCCAGCGGACAGATCGGTGATCTCGAGGGTACGGATACGGCTCTCGGAATGGGGCACCGTGGCACACACTCTGCTTCTTGGCGCGATCATCCAAGCAGCCGACTCGGTCAAACCCAGCTGGCCTGCACATGTAACGCATCGGACAGCAGAAATAGCTGAGAAAGCTACCATGCTGTCTGCATATGGCCCAGAGCAAGGTACCATCTGGCTCTTCTATTTCCGGTCGCGCTCTACCATGGTGAAGTCTGCCTTTCCACCCGCAAGTATCGCGACTGATCGTCTCCCCACGAATGCTCTTCCGCAATCGAGTGGTCAATCCGGCCAGATAAGCATACCGGATTCGTGACATCTCGTCTTGTGACGGCTTGACGTGGCGATGCGACGTATGGTTTCTCGCGCAGGGCATACGAAATGTTCTCTCGAGATCTGCGCTGATGATCGAAAGCATCGTCATTTACAGCAGTACGAGCTCTCTGGTTGAGGCACTGTCAACGCCCAAATGCAAGAATAGCATCATCACGACGAAGCACTCGCCATCCGTCCGCCGATGACGATAATCCGAATCCGTGAGCATTCTGCGAGCGTGACATTCCCACTATCGGTAAATACCCAGATATGATCTTGGAATACCTGCGTACAGTATACCCATGTCAACAGCCTTTTCAGAGAGAGAAAAAAACAAGCCATGTATCGTCTGCCTCTCAACCTTTCTGTTTTTGCCCCTCACCCACCAATTGCCCAAACAAACCCCCGGTTGCGGCTGCAAGAAACCTGAAACCTCCGTATTCTCGCATGCATGGATTCATGCGTGCATGTAAGCTACTGCAGCCGGTCGTACAAGGCTACGCATTCATCAGCCACTCACTACGAAGATATGGCGCATCGCATCGTACAATGACCTGACCCTCGTACCTCGAGGGATCGTATCTCCTTGCGACGCTGAGAAGGCGAATCTGTAGTCTGCGGTTCTGGAAGGAATGCTCGGTGGATCTTTCTCTTTCGGCGCTGCTCGGAAGGAGCCTTGCCCTGCTATCGAATGTAGTCTGAGGAGGCGAAATGCAGTCTTGAACAAGGGACGAAATAGACTTTTCCGGCATTGCTCACGCGTCCTGCCTTCCTCGTCGTCGTCGGTTTTATCCAATGCGACAGGATGCATGTGGACATGTCATGCATAGCCGGCCGGATGCATCATAACACTGTGTGTTGACACTATATACTGTGTGCGGCACCAATTGAATAGAGATCCGCCTCGTTCGTTTCTGTACGATGTCGGCAACACACTTGTTGCATGACTTGCGTGCTGTGCTATATAGGTATGATATCGATATAATGCGACGGTCCTGTGTGCGCTGGGTTCACTACGGCGGAGAGTTCTTGCCTGTCGCTCGTGTCTTTTCTTCAGCCAACGACGCTGACAATATGCCTCACCTGCGTGGATGATTTGGATCCCATCGTGACAGAACGATTTCTCTATCCACATTGTGCGAACGAGATACACGCAACGTGACTATGATCACTATTCATGATCGGCATACTTCATCGGTACGACGTATCATTACTAATTCCCGTGATGAATTGTTTGTCCGATTGGCACATCTGCGTCTAGGGTTACGAGTTGGGCTTATTTTTGGTTGTCAGCGTCATCCACGCGATCCCACGGCATATGCACCTGTGCGATGGGTGATGCGACTCGATCACCAATGTCATTGCAGAGATATTGGCCGTATGATTGTACAAGGTCGATATCTTATCGCCAATTGTGGACCTTTCATGCAGGCTTCGTCATCAATGCTGCTGACGAACACGAGTGTCGTGCAGTGGAATATTTGGTTCAGGGAGTGATGGATACGAGAATTGAACATTTATCACAGAGTCTATCGATTGTTTGGTGACGAATCCTTGTGTTGCTCTTCCGACGTAAAGAAAGATCCGATACGTTCAGATCCATACAGATCACCCACCGGATATCTATCATATGCATATCATGTCGTCGCGGTTATAATATTGAAAATGCGGCATCTGATCTGGTGTCGTCTGCGATGCGGTAACCCTAATTGACAAATATAGAAATGCAACCTGGGGCAACCAACACGGGCTGTCCACGGCCCAACGTCGGTACTCAGGAGAGGCACGACGGGCACGTGACATAAGCTCAACAGTTCGCGAAATGAATATCGCGGCCGCTCCTCATCCGAGGGGCGAAGATCTTCATATCAAATTTGCCATGAGCACGGGCGGAAGAGATTGAACATGTCGTCACGACCGCTCGTGTGATCATGAGAAGGGGATACATTCTCGGCATGCTGTACATTGCGTTCGCCAGCGTGATGTCATTGTCCCCTTATTATCATCATCATCAAAATGAACGTTTGAAGGTTCGCGGAAGAATGTTTCTACGTTTTTGGTTGTCCCTCCCATGTGAAACATGAACCAGGGGCAATTGCGCGCGTGGTCAAATCGCCGTGGTGTATGATTTGGGGTTCAGATGTGCCCAGCCGGATGGTGATGTGAGGAACGTGGTTAAAAACACCGTGGAAGTTGAGACGCCCAGCATTGCCCAGGCGGCGGAAATGGCCATTGATATATGAAGACGGTCGATGCGGAGGCTGAGTCTTACCAACGAACGCGTGGGTGGGACAAGCAACGCCAGGAGGTGTGACGTTGTTGGTCGTGAATACTTCACAAAAGAGCATGGGTAACGTCTGGCTGCGATTTGTGAGACGTTCGTCTCGTTCACTACTTGGATGGTATACATTCGTTAGGATTGCATGACCTGACGCTTGGTGGACAGAGATTGGTCGATTATCACTTTTCAGGGAGACACACGAAAGGGAAGCGAAAGTGAGATGTGCGCCAATAGGCGGAGGAGGAGCGAGCGATTTGAGCAGGAGAAGGGGGTGGACGCGCAACCCTCGCGCTTGGCTGGCTGAATCTCCGCTCGGCCTCATTTTCCCTCCTGAGGCGGCAAATTTCACGGGACGAGGTGAGTGATGGGAACAGCGCGTGGACGGGACTGCTCCTACTGCGAACTGCTGCCGACACGGGCATGTGGAGACCGACTACGCGTCCTCCTGGATGGTGGTGTTGTGTTTCTGCGCCGCGACTTCCGTAGACGTTTTGCGCTGATTTGAACTGAATGTCCGCCTGGCTCCCTCTGACCCATCCCTCCCTGCCCAGATAAAGCCCAGACAAGGACGAGAGAATAGTACAAATGAGCATCTCCAGGCCTGGCATGGTCTCCGTCGGAATGTATGTACGGCGGGTAATGTGTGCCGGAGTACATACAGCACCTCCAGCGTGTGAATGGTGATGGGCGTGTGTGCCGCGTCACCAGCGCCAATCCCAGAGTAATAATAACAGCAATTACTACAGCAGTAAGTCATAATCATAATAGCTAGTAATAATAAGCCCAAGAGATCTTCTCTAGGCCCTATACTGCTGCCAATACGAACGATCACACCCCTTCCTACTTCTTCTACTCTCTCTCTGCCACCCGACTACACTTACACTTTTCTCTATTGCTACTCAATTATTTCCTTGTTCTTGCCACTGTCTGTTTCTTGCCGTTACATTCGACAAGATTCACTTTCGTTGGTACTTGTCTCCCTCGCGAGTGCCATTTCTTCAAACCAGTCTTTCTTCTCCAACGTTCATTGACCAGCCAACACCATATTACCACCTTTGAAACATTCGCTACGCCTTGCCACTGGAAAGCAGGCGCATTCTTACTCGCCGACCACGGTCTCTTCTTGTTATCCTTTTCTGTTTGAATAGCACTCGTGTGCTCTGATCAACACGACTCGCGACATCTTCGACACTCGATCTCACCAGCATAATTCCGAACTTCACCATGAAGAGCTTCTTCGCAACTGCAGTCACTGCGGCCGCTTTGGTCAGCAGCGCTGCTGCCGCCACCGTCCCTTCGATCGTCATCAAGGGAAGCAAGTTCTTCTACGAGAACAATGGCACGCAATTGTAAGAGGCATATGCTGGCATAGGACGGAAGAGCGATATACTGACGAGCCATTAGCTACATGCGAGGTGTTGCCTACCAGGCGGAATACTCGGGACAGGAGAGCGACAAAGGTGCCACATACCACGACAACCTGGCGGACACCACCGCATGCATGCGTGATATCGAATACCTGAAGCAGCTCCGCACAAACACCATTCGTGTGTACCAGATCAACCCTGCGCTCAGCCACGACACTTGCATGAACGCCCTGGCCGACGCAGGTATCTATGTCGTTGCCGATCTCTCAGCTCCTCCAGATGGTGATTCGATCAACCGCGACACCCCGACGTGGAGCGATGTCACCTACGACCGCTACATCAGCGTCGTCGATGTCATGGCCAAATACCCAAACACCCTGGGCTTCTTTGCAGGCAACGAAGTCTCCAACAAACCTAACAACACCAATGCTAGCGCCTTTGTCAAGGCTGCTGTCCGTGACACCAAGGCATACATCAAGGCCAAGGGATACCGTACCATGGGCGTTGGCTATGCTACCAACGACGACGAAATGATCCGTGTGGCCATGGCAGACTACTTCAACTGTGGCGACCAATCCGCCGCCATTGACTTCTGGGGCTACAACGTCTACTCTTGGTGTGGTGACTCGACTTATGAGAAGTCCGGCTACAAAGACCGCACGGAAGAATTCTCGACATACTCGGTGCCCGTCTTTTTCGCTGAATACGGGTGCAACGAGGTTCAGCCTCGCAAGTTTACCGAAGTCGCAACCCTTTACGGACCGGAGATGAACGGAGTCTGGTCCGGAGGTATCGTCTACATGTACGACCAGGAGGCCAACAACTACGGTAAGCTTTGGATCGTCCCATTCCTCGCCTGAATGAACCTTTACTGACATCATGTTCCCGATAGGTCTTGTCGACATCAAAGACGGCTCGGTCAGCCCGCGCGCCGACTTCACTTACCTCTCTTCTCAAATCGCCACCATCAACCCCACTGGTGTGAACTCTGCCCAATACACCCCGACCAACAAACCCGAGGCTTGCCCAACCAACGACGCCAACTGGAGCCCCAAGTCCAGCCCGCTCCCGCCGTCTCCCAACCCGGACCTCTGCCAATGCATGTACAACAGCTTGTCCTGTGTCCCCGCCAACTCCGTCTCCCCCAAATCCTACGGTGACCTCTTCGGCACCGTCTGCGGTCTCGGCGCGAGCAAGGGCGTCTGCAACGGCATCGCCGCCAATGCCTCCTCCGGAACATACGGCGCCTACGGCATGTGCAACGCCACCGAGCAGCTCGGTTTCGTCCTCAACGCCTACTACAGCGCCAACGGCAAATCCGCCTCAGCATGCTCTTTCGGCGGCTCTGCTACTCTCAAGTCCGCCACCACCGCCACCGGCTCCTGCTCGTCGCTCATGTCCCAAGCTGGCACTGGCGGCACTGGCAAGGTCACTGCATCTCCCACCGTCGGTGGCGGAAGCGGCAGCGGAGGCGGCACTGGCAACGCCGCTTCCATCAACAGTGTCCACAGCGTCGTCACCAGCGTCATCCCCATGGCGGTCCTCGTCACCATCGGTCTCGTCTCAGGATCGGGCATGCTTTTGCTGTAAGCCAGGGAATATCAGAGAGAAAGAGACTAGTTTGTATGCTAGCCATTTCTAAACGATAGTTTTTCTGTCTTTTCTGTTTCATGTCACGAGGAGAGCAAAAGAAAACCCGGCGTGACTTCTTTTATTTTTTAACCAGGGGAAATTGCATCGCACTTTGGTTCTTTCTCTTCTTCGCACTGCTTCGCTTCATCGCTCTTCTTCAATTCCGCGATAAATCCATCCGCCTTACTTAGTAACTACACTTCATGACATTCCGCCCTCGCTCGATCGTGATGACTCCCATCGACGAACCTTCTTGCCTGACCGACCGTTGCCCGATCGACCTACTTTTTTTTTGGTTTCTCTCCCAATGACCTATCCGCTCGTAACCTTCTACGCCACGCCAGGCCACGCCTGTGCCATCATCGGCGTCAAAACATGTAGAAGATACCCCCCTTCTCTCTCTCTCTCTCTCTCTTTCGCCGGTACCGTTCCCGTGAAGGGCGAAAGAAAGCAGGAATTCCCCCCGCCCTCTCTCCTCTCTCTCTCTCTCTCTCTCTCTCTCTTCCAGATGGAGGGAGCAGTGAGCAGCGAGCAGACGGATCACCATCGGGCGCGGGAAGAAACGGGGGGAGGGAAACCCCAACAAACGACGCGGAAGAGAAGGATAAGGTACTACTATCACACGGCACGAAGGAAAAACCCATCATTCTTTTTTTCATTTTTCATTTTCGCGGTAGATTTGAAAGGGGTTACAATAAATAAAATACGATAAACAAATAAATGGACAGCAACGACAATATCCGCACTCTCTCACCCGTGTTTCCTTCCGTCGCGTCGTCTCGTTTCATCTCATTCCATTTCATTTCGGGGGTCTTTCTTGTTTTCGTACAGGTGGGGTTCATACATAACATATCATACATGGCATCGAAACATCGAAACATCCCTGAGCGCGCGCGCGTGTGTGTATATGTGTTGTGTGTGTTGTTCTCCGTGGGTAATCAGTGACGAGTGTCCATCCATCCATCCTTCCTTTCCGCTCTCCCTCCTCCTCCTCCTCCACGTCCTGCTCCTCCTTCTCATCCTCGAGAAAGTCAGCCAGGGCATGGGCGGGCCGACGACTTCCCGGAGAAACAAAAACAAGAACAAAAACAAACCGCGGCATTGCACGTTCTTCATTCATGATACAACAAGGAGGATTGAGGGGGAGGAGGGAGGGAGGGGAAAACGAACTCTCCTCCTCGATCGCCTCCGAATGCAAACAAAATCAAAAGTCCTCGAATTCCCTGCCCGTCAGGACGATCTCCTCGTCGTCGTCATCCATCCTCCTCCTCTCCACCACGCCGCTGGCGTTCGCACCGAGCTGGCTCGCACCACCGCCACCGCCGCCGTTGACGATCGCCCTCTCCAGCTGGCCCCGCAGTTCCAGCTTCTCGGCCTCCTGCTGCAGCAGGCGCTTCTTGGCGCCCTCGCGGTCCAGCAGGCGGCCTTCGCGCTCGGCCTTGAGGCGGCGCTCCATTTCGCGGAGGCGCAGCGCCATGCGGTCGTCGGTGGCGGGGGCGGAGGAGGGGGCTGGTGCCGCGGCCGATGCGGCGACCGCGGCTGCCAGGGAGGAGGAGACGGCGCTGCCGCTGTGGGCGGTCGAGGGCGGGCTGTCGCCGCCGCCGGCGAGCGCCATCATGGTCTGGGTCTGGGGCGGGCGGTAGCCGTCGCCGGGGTCGTCGTCGCGGGAGGAGGAGGAGAGGCTGCCGGGGGGATGCTGGTCCTCGAGGGAGCGTTGGCGGTGGTGCAGGAGTTCGGGGAGGTAGGAGGGGGTGGCGGAGGAGGAGGCGCGGCGGGCGTTGTTGTCGGCGGCAGCGGCGGCGGCGGCAGCGGCGAGTTCGGCGGCGGCTGCGGCGGCGGCCTTGTCGTTGGAGGTGCTGCTAGAGTGGTGGCGGAGGAGCTGGGCGACGATCTGGCGCGCGGGGCTCGTGATGGTGGAGTCGCGTTTGCTGTTGGCGTCCTTGCCGCTGCTGCCGTTGACGACGCTGGTGAAGCTGGCGCCGGAGGAGACGCGGCGGTAGTGTTCGGCGCCGCTGCCGGAGGTGGTGGGGGGGTGGTTGAGTTGCATCTGCTGGTTGAGCATCTGCTGGGCCATGGCGCTGGGGTGTTGGCGGTGGAATTTCAGCTCGGATTCGAGGAGTTTGATTTTGGACTTGAGTTTGCTGGATTCCTCGCTGGACAGTTTGATGAGTCGGTTGCTCCCGCCGCGGCTGGGGGGCTTCTGTTGCAATTGCTGCATTTGAGCCTGCGCTTGGATGGCAGCCTCCTCGGCCACGGCTCGTTTGTGGTCGTCAAAAGCGCGTTCAACGACATCGAGACGGCGGAGGCGCGCGTCCAGGTTGTTATTCAGAGCTTGATAGTCGGAGAGGACCTCCTTTTCGAATCGACGGATCCGGAGCTTGAAGTCACCGATGATCTTCTCCGTCTGCTTCAACGCCGCAATGATGTTCTTGTGGAATGTCGGCATGTGCTTCTGAATCGTCTCCACGGAGGTGACTTCGCCGTTGAGGAGATGATGCCCCTGAGCCCAGTCGTTGCCGCAGAGCGTGGAAAGACGATTCCACAAGGCAAGCAGGAGGTTGTTGCGCTCACGCATCTGCTCACGGTATTGGTCTTCCAACGCGGCCATCTTGCGCTGTTGTTGACTGAACGAAGACTCCAATTCCAGCACACGAGATTCGTGTTGGGCGATGGTGCGCACTTGCGATGCCTGGCCTCGGGCGGCCTTTTCGTAGGAATCGAGGTCGTGTTTGCGCGATGCCCGCTCTTTCTCGAGAAGATCCGACAGACGACGGCTTTCCAGACTCGTGCTCTCGAGGAGACCATCGCGATGACGCAGCAAGCGATCTTTATCGGCGAGATCCATCTTCGCCCGGTCAAGCTCGTTGGCCGTCGCTTCGAGATCTCTTTGGAGCTTCTCGACCTCACCGAGAAGACTCTGCCGGGTGCCGTTGGGGTCTCCGATGACATCGCGGAGGCCTCGCTCGTATTCCTCGAGTTTCTGTCGCAAGTTGTTGGCTTCGACTTCCTTGGCGGAGAGCGAACGGCGGAGCGTGCGCACCGTCTCCTTGGATTTGGCGTTGTCGGCGTTGAGGTCGTCGAGGACCTTTTGCACATCTTCCTTGGACTTGTTCTCCAAGACATCACGTTGCTGGCGCTCTTCAGCCATGGCTTGTTCCATCTCGCGGGACTTCTCCTGCTCGTCGGCGATGTTCTGTTGCGCGTTGCTGATGGAATCCTCGAGCTCGCCGATCTTGATCTTGTCGCCCTCTTGCTCTTCGCGCAGGAAGGTGACCTCTGACTGCAGGCTCTCCTGCGTGACCTCCAACTTGCGGTTCTTCTGGTCGAGCTCGTTACATTTCGACTCCCATTTCTGGATCTCCTCTTCCGCCTCGGTGATTTGCTGTTCCAAGTTTTGGATGGTACGCATGTTGGCCTGCTTTTCGTCCTCGAGGTTCATGACGGACTGGGTGATCTCTCGCAGCTCGCCTTGTAGACCCTTGTAGCCATCAGTGATGTTCTGTAGCTTGTTGTGTGTCTTGTGCGCCTTGTTCAGCGCCTCCTCCAGCTGAGCCTCGAGAACCTTCTTCTCTTCATCCAGTGCCTGGATCTCGACGAGTGCTTCCTCTCGGAGTTGATTATATTCTGCTTCGCGCTCCTCGTACGCCTGCAAGGCTTCGTCGCGTTCGGATTGGATCTTGACCAAGTCCTCGTGAGCTTCACCGAGGTCTTGCTCCATTTCCTGGTAGTCGCCCTCGAGCACATTGACGTACTCGATGTGCTTGTTGTGCGTCCGCTCCAGGTCCTGAAACTTGATGCGAAGTTCTGCATTCTGATCACGAAGTGCTCCCTCCTTCTTGTCCCATTCCTCTCGCTCGGTGTCGGTCACATTCGTCCCGGCGTATTCGCTCGCGCGCGATGGAGCACGGTTGTGTGCACGGGAGATGGAGCGATCGAAGATGCTCTCGCCAGCGAGAGAGCGCGTGTCTCCCTTGCGGTGAAGCAATTTGAGATCCTCGATTTCTTGCTGTAACCTCTCACGTTCGCGGTTACGAGATGTCAGCATGCTTGTCTGCGCGCCGAGATCGCGTCGCAATTCCGCGTTTTCGTGTTTCAATTGATCGAGGAGAGCATCGTTGGCCGCTGCGAATTCCGTATCGTCGTCATCACCATGCCGCTGATTGCCCTTTCCGGCGCGATTTACGGCTGGTGATACTCGCTCGAGACGCAACGCGTGGAGCTCATCACGAAGTCTGCTGATGTCCTCCTCGGCTTGTTCACGTCGTCCGACCTCCGCGTTCAGCAGATCCTGCCACATGTCCATGGTCTCCTTCCTTCCTGCGCTGTCTTCGCCACGCTTGCTCGCCATGGATCGCATGGTCTCGGACATCTTGCGCTTCTCAGACTCTTTGATCATGAGCTCCTCGTGTAATGTGGTGACTTTGTTCTCCGAGTGATCAAGTTTCTGTCGCAGGAAGAGGATCTCCTCATGCATCTCCGCTTGCAGGGTAGGATCATCGTCGTCATCCCCGTTAGAGAAGCGACCATGTTTCTGCTGCTCCCGGATCTCATGAAGCGATTCTTCCTGCTCCTTGATCTTCCTCTCCATCTCGCGCATTTTCCGTCGAAGCGTCTGTGTCTCCTTGCGCTCGTTCGCGAGGTCCGTTTGGAATTGCACATTCTGATTGATCAAATCCTTCACACCGTCGTCGGATCGGTTCTGCAATGCCTGATCCAAGAAATGGATTTTCAATTTCAAATCGAAATTCTCTTTGGTCAATTTGTCGATCTTGCCGTTCTGCTCCTTCAACGTCAGCGCCCTACGCGGACGATCCTGAGCGATCGAACTCCCGAAACCACCACCGGACGAGGCGGGCCGCTTGGCAGGGGAATAGGCGGGTTGATTCCGGGCGCGGAAGTCTCTAGCGACCGTATCGGGAACCTGGATGCGGTTGACGTGTTGGGCGATGACGGTATCTGTGGGTGCTGTGAAGTTGGATTGGTTGGCGCGCGGTGTCTCAGGTCGTTCCTGCTCACTCGAGTCCTCGTATTGCGCCCCACTTCTAGAAGCGAGCAATGAGGAGCCACTGATACCATGAGCGAGGGTCGGTTGATCGTCGGCGAACATGATCGATGCCATGCTCCCCAGACTCGGCAAGCGCTTCAGCAGCGCAGATCGGGTGCTGCTTTTCGGCGATCCCCCGCTCACTTGTGAACTGAACTCTGCATCAAAGCCACCTTCGCTCGCGATCGATGACAATGTAGACTGGGTGCTCACGTTGCGATGTGCGATGGGTCTGGATCGAAGAGAGGAGGAAAGGGTAGGGCCAGTGCCTCTCAAGGTACGGGCTGTACTCTTTTGAGCGGGCGGGGATGAGGGAGGTCGCACCGTCGAGCCTTGCGACACGGGACGTGGGCTGGACGGAGTCTTCGGTCTTGCGGTGCTGCTGCTCGATTTGATCGTTCGCGGTTGAGCGCGAGACGACTTTGTAGCACTTCCGACGGAGAAATTCCGAGAACGGGTCCTCTTGGCCGCTGCGACTGTCGGGGAGGATGAATTGTTCGTACTCGACGTCGGTCCTTCCTCCAACACTGCTCCTGATGGATTCGCCGATCGCTCGGATGCAAAGGTCTCGGAGATCTCTTCCGAAGACTCCTCTTGCGTCATATCCTCCTCTTCGTCCTCTGCCGCGGTGTATTTGGGGATCGTACGTTTTCTCAACTCGGTCGACGGCCCGAATTCGAGATATGTGTCGTCAGCGCCCGGACGGGCAGCCTGAAGGGTGCTCAGGTTCGCATCCTGGACGAAGCTGGAGTCGACATCGGCCAGGTGCGCATGCATTTCGTGCTCATCAAAACTCGGACCGTCGTCGCTGTTCAGGGTCTTGTCGTTCTGGCGAGATGCGAGGAAGCTCGGCTCGTCGGATGGGAAGAAACTGCTTTCTTCAATGGCGACGGGCAGATCGGTGACGTTGCTGTCTTGTCGCGCAGCCGACCCTCGATTGCTATCGGAATGTGCACCATTGAGACTGCTCCTCGCGTCGAGACTCTCTTTCGCTCCACTGCCAGACGATGCCATGACGAGACGACGATCGTCCGCAGGAGACGCCCAGTCAGGCCGGTTTCTCTTGGTCAGGACTTTGCGCTGCGATTTGAGTCGGCGGGCCAGCAACTCGGAACTGGCGTCGCACCAGCTGGCGAAAGAGTCGCGACGGAAATCGCGATCGGTGGTGGTGGTGGTCGTGGTGGTGGTCACGATGATGGTATTGTGTTTGAGATCCGAATTGAGGGAAGCGTCACTGGATCCGTCTTCGAGGGCACGCGCGCCGACGCGGAAGGATCTCCGCTTCCACCACCTCTTGGAATTACTAGCGGCGCGGACCAATGGATTCTTATAGGGCGGAGTCGGAGAAGGCAACGCGGTGATGCTGGCGGCGGGCAGGGAGAAGGAAGCCTCGCTGTCGACCCGGGCGTGGCGGATGCGAGCGAAGAAAGACGAGGTGTTGAGCGGAATGGCGGACAGTGAGGAAGCGTCGCGATCGGCGGTGATGAAGGTGCTGGTGGTGCATCGGGTGTCTCGCTGAGACTGGGAGCGCATGTGCGGCATCGTGAGACAAACAACGTCGCGGAGAAAGTTTCCCTTGCCCCAGCTCAGTTCAGTTTCCGTTCTAGCGTGCACCACTAGAGACACACACGAAACGGCTTTGGCGTCTCTTCTCACACTCTCTCTTTCTCTTTTCTCCCACTATTTTCCCGGCTAGAAGTGATCCGCCTTCCGCTGTAAAAAAAAAAAGAGCCGGAGATGCGTGCTGCAGGGGCAACTTTTTGGCTGCCCAGGCGGTCTCTCTCCGTCAATGCAGCAGTTGTTGAAGGACGCCTTTCCCACTTCTATCGCGGCTTCCTTTGGAGACGTTGATCGCCGAAACACTCGTCGATATATATATCCAACCGTCTTGGATTAGGGATTCACCATCAATGTCTCAGATGAGATAAGCTTGCTCAGGTGTCTGTTCGATCAATGTGTCATCATCATCGTCATCATCGTCGTCGTTGTCATCGTCGTCGTCGTCGCTTAGAATTGTCCGATTGTTTCATGTTCCTGTCCAGCGACCATCATCGTCCTCGTGCTGTGAACAGAAAAGTCTCACGCAGCAGTTGCCATTTCTCATCGATGAAGAGCAACAACAATGAGGAGGAGAACACGCAGGAAGGAAAGAAGCGCTCCTCGAGAAGAGAGACCAGCTTCATCAGAGAGAGGGAGGGCAACAAACAGATTGAACGATAGCTGTGTACCAGATATATATCGTACATATGTCTGGATTCCATCGTGATGACAACCACCGCCCTCACCACCGCCCTCACCACCGCCATCTTCATACATCACAGTATCCTCATCATCCCATCTCCCATCCTGAACCAAACCAAACCAAACCAAACCAAACCAAACCAAACCAAACCAAACCAAACCAAACCAAACCAAACCAAACCAAACCAAACCAAACCAAACCA